GCAAAACACCTTTTATTTTTTGTACAAAGTGTTAAATATTGAGAGGCGTTCTAGTGGCTTCTGTAGTGATTGCAGTACCACTTTGCTCCAGAACCGCACCTGCTTTCCAGATTAAGTTTATATCTTGTCAAAATAATCCCACATGGAAATCCAACATACACCTTTTTGTTATCTCCCTGGACTGTTTGATGTGAGTAGCATGCATGCATTACTTAACTGTTCAAATTCAGTGTTTCTTGGTGATTCCAGGCTCACAAGCTATGTTGTGTACATAAGGAAACAATTTTAACTGCAAGTTTACACTCTATGCAAATCTCAATCTGTGCTTCTTGTGGTTTCCTTAATATGGAACATAAACATTCATAATCAAGCTTCTTGTTCCCCAAAGGGATGCATGCTTTGACTAGCATTTTGCAGATTATTTTTTTTTCTTCAAAATAATGATGGCCTAGCACTTGTTGTTTCTGTACGATTTCCCTGCTGATTGTTTTATTGGCTATTTAGAGCTGTGGTAACCTCATGGCCTTAGAACTGGTTCAAAACCCCGTCTGACCATTTAACCAGTAACTGTCCCTGAGAAAGATGCATAATGATATGTATCAGCCTACCTCAAATCCTCATAGATTGTGTGCTCTTTTGAGCAGGGCCTTCTTCATCTCTTGTCTCTGTTAGTATTCTGTATGTATTGTATATCTGATTTTCTAGAGCAGCGGACACCTGTACCATTACAGCATTTTATTATTGCCAGGTTTATAGTGCACAGAGCATCCGGCACCTGCTGTAAATGCTGAGTGGCTTGCAATTGCAGTGATTTGAAAAATTGCTGAAGCTTTAAGACTGCCTCCAGAGCTGTCAGTTAGGGCAGCAGGAATTATGTGTCTTGGGAATTGTGTCCCTGGCAGGGTTAATTCCTCCTCTAGTGGCTGTCTGAATAATGCTTTCCTATGGGGAGGTCTAATGCACACACATTAGGTCTCCCCATCGCCGTGGGAGGAGAGTAGGCGGAGCCTGACCCAGTGTTGAGGGACATTGACGCTGGATTCAGATAAGTCACTGAAGGGGTTTTAACCCCTTCAGCAACATGGGATGTGGTGTTGGAGGGAGGGGAAAATGGATTTAAATGGATTTGTTTTCGTGGCACTGGAGACACCCATTTAGTCTATCAAGAAGACATCCACTAGAGGTACTTCCTCTGCTATAACATGGTAAAACCTGGTTATAGATCAAATGTTGCTTCTAGAGCAGGATTTGGTTGGTGCAGCATGGGGTTTTGATACGCATGTGCACTAGCCTCACAATGCTTCCCTATGAGGAAGCTTTGGATTGGCTAAGATCAGCCAATGAGGGGAGCAACATGGTGAGTAGGGAAATATCTATTGATATACACGCAGGGCCAGCGCATCCATATTGCGGCACAGTCGACAGTCTTAGGGTGCACCGCCTCTGGGAATGCAAGAATCGCGTGACTGGCAGGAAGGAAGCACAGAGCGCTCCCCCCTACCAGTCACTCAATGAATAGTGGTTGAGCACTTCCTGTCAGTCCGGTTGGGTACAGGAAACGGGAGCTCCTGTATTGCGGTCCGCTGCGCTGGGCCATGCTACAAGAGAGATAATGAGGCACACCAGGGAGGGAAGAGGACCACTAAGAGAGACACACACACACACACTAAGGGGAGGGGAAAGGAACACTAAGGGACAGGGAAGTGAGGGGAGAGGTACACTAAGGGAGTAGATGGGAAGGGAAACAAAAAAAATCTGACTGGCATGTATATTTTGTGCATTTACAACTTAAAGGAACACTATAGTCACCTAAATTACTTTAGCTAAATAAAGCAGTTTTAGTGTATAGATCATTCCCCTGCAGTCTCACTGCTCAATTCACTGTCATTTAGGAGTTAAATCACTTTGTTTCTGTTTATGCAGCCCTAGCCACACCTCCCCTGGCTACGATTGACAGAGCCTGCATGAAAAAAAAAACTGGTTTCACTTTCAAACAGATGAGATGTAATTTACCTTAAATAATTGTATCTCAATCTCTAAATTGAACTTTAATCACATACAGGAGGCTCTTGCAGGGTCTAGCTAGCTATTAACATAGCAGGGGATAAGAAAATCTTATTTAAACAGAACTTGCAATAAAGAAAGCCTAAATAGGGCTCTCTTTACAGGAAGTGTTTATGGAAGGCTGTGCAAGTCACATGCAGGGAGGTGTGACTAGGGTTCATAAACAAAGGGATTTAACTCCTAAATGGCAGAAGATTGAGCAGTCAGGCTGCAGGGGCATGTTCTATACACCAAAACTGCTTCATTAAGCTAAAGTTGTTCAGGTGACTATAGTGTCCCTTTTAATAAAAAAAAAAATAAAATAAACATGTTCAGTAAACAGTAGATTTGTGTAGAAATTGCTTATTTTTTCAAAACGGTAAATATAGAAAGTATCGCTAAGTTATCGGCTATCTGTCTAAAAGTTCACAGATTATCGGTATTGGCTCTAAAAAAAAATTTAAAAAAAATCGGTCGATCTCTAATGGTGAAGGCTAAAAGGTAAGTAGTACTCCCCTTTCAAGCCCTTACACAGAGGAGTGGGACACCTATATAGGTCTCAGAACAAAAATTGTTAGGAATACTTATTTGTATAGTGTTCCTTTAAAGGACCACTATAGTGCCCCGAGGGTGCCCCCACCCTCAGGGTCCGACTCCCGCTGGGCTGGATGGAGAGGAAAGGGTTAAACACTCGCCTTTCTCCAGCGCTGGGCTCCCTCTGTGCTGGAGACTCTCCTCCTTTCCCCATCATCTGCTGAATGCGCATGCGCGGCAAGAGCCGCACGCACATTCAGCCAGTCCATAGGAAAGCATTCTCAATGCTTTCCTATGGACGCTGGCGTCTTCTCACTGTGAAAATCACAGTGAGAAGCGCGGAAACGCCTCTAGCGGCTGTCATTAAGCTGAAGTGGTCTGGGTGCCTATAGTGGGTCTTTAAGTTTGTCCAAGGTGTGCTTGTGACTGTATGTCACAGACAAAATATGTACTCCACTCTCTCTTCTCCCCAGAGACTGTATTCATGTGGATGTGCTAATTGTTTCATGTGCCCACCGTCTGGCTTGTGTATATATACTAAAAGCAGCCATGGAATGGCTATCACAAATGAGTAGAAATGCTGTTAGGGTGGAAACACTGCTGGACAGGTGTTTGTGAGATGAAAGCAGACCCGATAGACCAGTATGAGAGGCTTCTGAATGGTGGAGCTTTTTGCTTGAGTGAAGAGTCTGCCTAAAACAGCTGAGCAGTTTCTGGATTTTGGAAAGTGCTTTTTACTTTGTTTCTTTAGTTTTTACCATTCTTTATAATGAATTGTAAGAGGGCCTCATTTTTACCCAATTGATTCCCTTTTCTTTGTTGTGAATATTGCCAACATTGTAAAGTGAAACTTGGCAGAGTGCTTTTTTTTGTTCCCTTATACCCTTTCATTCCAACCTTGCTTACTAATACTACATCCCAGATTCCAAGTGATTGTTTGCATGCCAACCTCTAACCTATTCTTCTTTCACTCATAATGATGCTTGGCTTTTTTCAGCTACATAGGAGTGATTCACAAGAAGTCTTGAAGTCATGAAGTCTTCTATTTATTTTAGAGAGAAAGTGGGCTGTGGAGGGATGTTTTAGTTACGTAGCATTATTAGGGCAAAACAAAAAAAAGTTTTGACAAAAGGAAGGTCTCTGTGAATACTGTATAGAATAGTGTGTCTTTTCAGATCATTTGACGGTTTTCTTTTGGAGTTCTTGTTGAGATTAAAATAATTCACTAGACATTTTTAAGTAAGATTCTCAACTGGATATATGGAGTTGTTAACCAGTGCATGACATTTTGTTTTTGGACTGCAGTTAGAGGTACACTATAAAGTTAGGAATACAAACTGTAATTCTAACTCTATAGTGTCCCTCTGCCTCCACACCCCCCCTTCCGGTGACAAAAAGGGTTAAAACTCCTTTTTTCATTTACCTTAATTTAAGCACCAGTCCCTCTGCTCTCGATCAGTCTCCTTCTCCTGCAGCAGCATCACAGCAATTGGGCAGAGTAGATGGGCCGAATGGTTCTTATCTGCCGTCACATTCTATGTTTCTAATGGGTGGAACCTAATGCGCATGCACAGCAAGCGCAGCGCGAATCAGACTTTTCTATGGGGATTTTGATGACAATGAACAAAGCTCCTTTAGAAATTGAGCAGATGTACATTTTAACATTTGAAGGGAGTACTTTTCTAGTGTTTATTACTTAAAATTTTGCAGAAATAACCAGAAAATTGCAGATTTTAGGAGAATGTTAACGAAGTTGAAAAAAATTATTCAATGCTGCCTTTTTCTAGCTTGGCTATTTTGGGCTAACATTTTCTATTTGTGGGCCCGTTCCTGACTATTCCCTGTATGTACAATTCATACCTGTAATTTCATGTCTGGAAATAAGTAGAAACTATTTTCACATTATTTACTTGTGCTGGAGATATTTATGGCACTGTTACAGATTAAATGTATGCCTTTATCAACAGGTGGAGTCCATTTAATGTGATTCATTTCTATAGTGTGGTCAGCATTGGTGTAAATGTCTAGCTAGTAAGGTTTAAAACTGTTTAGTTACTCAAGGTTGTTCTAAGAAAATATAACCAAATTGTATATACATATTCACTCCCTAAAGGCATTTGAATTGTGAGCAGTTAAATGAGCAGAATTAGAGTTGGCTATAAGTTGGATTTTATTTCCCAACTTTCTTTTTATGACCTAAATAGCACAACTCATTTGTCAACCCTTCATACCATTGTTTTCCGTGAATACACCTTGTTATTCGGTGCATCAGCATATACATTTGTGGGATAAGTTAACATTATTTCATTGGTTTATTCATGTATTTATTTTTTATTGTTGGAAGGTTTGGATATTTCAAAGGAAGGCAGAAAATCGCACTGAATGTCAACTGAGCCGTTTTCAAAAGCACGGCAGCAGCTGGGATGTTGCGTCAGAACGGAGGAAGTAACAAGCGTGGTTTGGGATTTGCCCGGTTCTCTACTTCGAACTTCTTCAATATCTCAAGTTCTGCCAGTTGGGGAATGGGAAGGAGCACCAAAAGCAACTCGCTAAGCAGCATTAGCACCAATTCGGATTGCTATGATGGTACCATAGTTGATCCAGAGTACATCATGCAGTTGGTAAATGATGTCAGGAAGTTTGCCGACATTCTCCTTTACCTGAAGGAAGCCCTTCTGTTGACAGGTGAGCAATACTGAAAGATCCTTGAACATAATGCAGACTGATATCTGTGCATCACTGTTCCACAATATATAGGGATGTCATTTTAATTTGTGGAGTACTAGCTTCTTGATCCAAATTTAAATCAGACTGAGGCCAAGAATGACCTTTTTCCTAGCTTGTTGCAAAATTGGAAGTGCTTCAAGCATTCATACGCACACACACCCACTCATATGCATAAAATAGAAATAAAAATATTAATATAAAAAAAAAAAAAAATTAAAAAAAATTATAAAAATGCTCACCTCCCACCAAGGCTCTGCATCACATACACACTGCATTCATATACACACTGCATTCATATACACACTGCATTCAGATACACACGGCATTCAGATACACACGGCATTCAGATACACACGGCATTCAGATACACACGGCATTCAGATACACACGGCATTCATTCATACACGCGCACACACTGCATTCATATACACACTGCATTCATTCATACACGCGCACGCACACGCACACACCCCCACTCATACGCACGCACACACTGCATTCATTATATATATATATATATATATATATATATATATATATATATATATATATACATACACACACACACACACACACACACACTGCATTCATTATATACACACACTGTAAATAAACAATTTAATATAATTTTGGGGATCTAATTTTAGTCTTATACTCGAGTCAATACGTTTTCCCAGTTTTTTGGGGTAAAATTAGGGGTCTCGACTTATATTCGGGTCGACTTATTCTCGAGTATATACGGTATATGTTTTCACATTTCTTTAATTGTATTGTTTAAACATACATATTTGTATCTATTTATTTATCCTTATAAAGATCTCTCATTTTCAAGTATAACCTGAAATTGGGGCTGATGTGCTTAATTTGTAAATCGCTCTACAACTGATTGTCTCAAGACCACTTTAAAGTGAACCTGTCATGACAAATTCACTTTAGCTGCCAATCCTCCCTTAAGCAATGGACATATCATTTTGTCATAAAACCAAACATCTCCTTGCTTTCTGAGCTGTTACTCAAATAAACTCTCTCATGCAGTACAGTGCTGATATTATGCTGGGTTCTTGGATGTAAGACTAAACAAATACCTGCCCCTGCACCTGCCCTTTTCTCACCATTCTCCTATGTGATAGGCACATTTTGGGAACAACATGACCTTTGCCAGCATGTCGGTAACAGAACTGAGTGACCTTTTGTTCCTTTGCTCCTTTTGCCCCCAAAGTATAAAATTCACTTGCCAGAGACATGGTCACAGTGTCTGTGTCTGTGACTGTGAGCAGTAGAATCACCTTACACACTTTGCAGTCAGTATGTGTTTGGAATAAATGCTGTCCTCTATGCTCAGTAGGTGCTTGACAGGTGATTGCAGGATCTATTTGTTTACATAAAAGAGAACATGTAAGGCCTAATCACATCCTTCCAAACAGTCTGTCATAGCTGGTATTGAGATGTTTTCTGGTTATTTTTCCTGCACATAATTAACCAGGTGTTAACCTTTGTAGCAAGCTCCGTTCAGAGTAACTGATGCTCTGTGCTGTGGAAGTACATTTATTTGTAGGTCTCAAATCCTCACAGCTCCATGGTTTTCTGTCAAGTTTTGCCTCCATTAAATGGCTAAGTTCATAAATGTTGGAATGGTTATAAACGTACTAAAGTGGTTATTGTGTTTAGTATCTCTTTAATTGTATTCAACAGTCAGCAGTTGATTAATTGGCGTAAGCAATAGATTAGTAGTAATTTCATGAATTATCAAGGTGTTGACGTAGAAGTACCGTTCCTTTATTATTTTTTTATTAATGTAATTAAAATAATTCCGAGATTTGATAAAGAGCAGTTTTGAGTTGTGTGAAGGTGTCAGAGCATTGTAAAAGTTGCCACAGGAACATGAGGTGAAGAGGAACAAACACAAGTAATAGAGCGAGTGATGTGTTCTGAGTTTGTTGATAGCACAGTTTGAGAGGCTCATGATGAACAGATCTCTGTCAGTTTGCAGCCTAAGAAACTCCACAGCAAATACAGAACTCACAAGCTTTTGATAGAGGGTAAGTTTCTTTTGAAGTTGTGTTGGGACAGAACAAAATTAGGATACCTGTAATAGCTTAATAAAGGTTAATAAAACTCGGCATAGGAAAGATTCCTTTCATAGGAATGAAAGACTGCTGCAATCTTTGATGTTAAAGCATAACATCTTGGTGTGAAACGATTAGTGCTATAGTCTTTTCGACTTGTCCAGGACTCTTTGTAATGGAAATGCTGAGACAAGGCAAGAATGCATGTCTCCCTGTTTCTTCCTTAGACGTGGTAAATGAGTGGGCTATTGTGTTCATTAGCTGCTTCTGCGGGAAAGTGTTTTTTCCTTTTTTATTTATTTATTGGATCTTTTATTGGCTCTCTAATTTAGGAAAGGGATGTATGTACATGCCCAGAACATTAAATTGCCTCTACAGTGGTTCCCAACCCAATCCTCAAGTACACCCTATCCCCTAACAGTCCAGAGTTTAGGAATTGCCCAGTTGTGTCTAAGGTGTTTTTAGAAAGAAAAACAAAAGTGAAACATTTTAGACACAATAGGGTAATGCAAAATATCCTGAACTGTTAGGGGGTACTTGAGGACTGGGCTGGGGACCCCTGCTCTAGAGAAAAAAATGTGGATTGTTATATTAAGGTAATTAAATGTATTTAGACATATTCACGTAGCAATATCTGGTGACCTTTTTAAAGCAGACAGAATTCTGCAAGATCTTGGACAGGCTCCCCCGCTTGTGTATATAAATGCTTATTGTTTTCTGTTTATTATATTCTACATTGCTTGTGTATAGGCAGCATTATACATTCATGTATATAGGCAGCATTTTTTCACTCTGACATTGCGTGTTTTAATGGCGTTACAATGTTTTGTTTTATATTCTATCTGTCTTTAGACTACCACTGCAATCTGTGGAGTTATTTTCCCATTTATTAATTTATATGTGTGCTGAAATATGAAACATTCAGTGATTCCCATACTTTTCTCACTGTGGCAAATGCACAAAACAAGAATCATTCAGTCACACACAGTAAAGCCCCTAGACCTGTATATCAGGCTGTTCACATTTAAGGAATGTGTGTAGCTTCTGCCCAGAGGTTTATTGGGAAACTAGGGTTACCCATAATAATTTGGTCCCATTAAAGTTGGTCTTCATGGGAGAAAGATCAAAGCACGCTGACAATATCTATAATTGAACTTTCAAATGTTTATGCCTCCTCCAAGCCATGTTTCATTCCCACCTTGATCTCTTATGAAAATATATAATTGATGCATTGTAAAGCGCTACAGAATTTGTTGGCGCTATATAGTAATAATAATGTAAGAGATTCTATTGACTCTGTGGTGCTTACAATATGTAGGTTGCTACTAGAAATTAACCTAATATTGTGCTTCAAACCTTTTAATTTACTCATCCAAACCTTTTAATTTATTCTGAAGTGAGATGACAACTACATTGCAAACTTGACCAGTTTGAAAATAATCAACACAGTTGTAGTTAACAGGAAAAAAAACTTTAAAAATGTAGATAATGGAGTACTATTTAAATGTGTTTTTTTTTTTTTTCTGACTAGATGACCCTGCACCCTAGAGTTTATTTGGCCCTTTATGCTGTCGTATACACTCTGGTTGAGCACTTTGGAAGGGGAGGGGGCAGGACTAGGCCAACCTGTTCCATTGTCCTTGAACTGACTAGTTACCTAGAGACGCACAAACTTCTGTTCTGCTTATATTTTTGTCTGTTACAGAGTTGGACGTGAGACATTTTTAATGTCTTGTTAATGCATACCTTTTGATAGAGAGGTTTATTAACCGCAAACTTGACACCAACTCCTGCTTAGTTGGTTGGTATTTATTTATTTATTTACATGTTATTCTTTATTTTTGCAGTGCAGAAAAATACATACAGACTTGTCATGCCTCAACTGCAATTAAAAAGTCAAGAGTCAAGATATATAGCTTACACGCAGTAAGGCATTTTGAAAAAACATGCACATTTTTAAAATATATAACAGGATTACAACATGCCTAGTGAGTCGGTCTAGATTGTAGTGTATGCTTTCACATTAGGTAATATAACTAGACACGACTTTGATTTTTTTTTAAATGCCACTGGTTTGATAAAAGCAAAAGAGGAAAAGAACATTATGCTATTTAAACTGACGTGATACAATTATGCTAGGCAGTGTATTCTGTGGCATATCAGAAGCTGATTCTTAATTCTTAGACAGAGAATTTAGCCTATGCCAGACACATGAGTATTGCTTCTGAGCTTGTGAGTGTTGGGCTTGGGTGTTGGGCAAGGATCCTGGAGAGTGGCGGTCTGCAGTAGAACAGAGCTACCGGTATTGAGGCTTTCTTTGCCGTCTGCTCTGCATCATGCAAGTTGCTGCTTGGTGGAAAAGCTACTGCCTCAGACAGATTCAACCCACCTCTCATAAGTTCTCCATATTTTATGTCGGATGCAAGTGTATGTCGTGTGTGTGCGATCTGTGGTTTCCTATTGGACTGTTGCATTGTTTATAGAGCAGAGAATACTTTCAACAAAATAATTTTTGTGCAACTCATCTGAATCAATAGCTATGAGATAACATGGTTCCATGCCAGTTACAGATCTGTTTATCATTACTTGAGGGAGCAGTCTATGCAATGGAAACATTTTGCCTCTTCAAAGCTCTTTCAAACCGAGCTGGCTCGGATAGTGCCAGATAGAACTCTCATGATGTCCACCACATACAAACTCTTCACAATCAACAGTGCAATTTTGTCAGCATTCACACATTACAGTTTGGATATAATTTGTTCTAGTGAATACAGTGTGCCTATAATGTATACTTTTACTGCCTAATTTTGCAAATATGATATATTGTATATTTTACCTGAAGTAGATTCACCATTCACTCATTGTGTCAAATAGTCCTTGATTTTTGTTTTATAGGACTTGATACATTTTATTACAAATAATGCAACGCTATGTCTTGGCTTTTATATCTTTATTCTAAACCTGACTCTCTTGCTGTCACATGTTTAGCACTTCACAAAAGTCCTGGAAAAGAAATATGGATGCAAAGTCATAAACCACAATTCTTCCTTCTATAAGACAAAAGCCATTGTTTCCAATTAAGTAACGCTCCTGGATTTGGTACACACTGTACATGACAGCACTTAATTACCAGTCCACCAGAGCACACAGGGGAATGTGAGAAGCAACAACATACAACTAATGCTTCTACGTGATCATACACAATAGTTAGAAACTATTGCAATCAATATATGATAGTAGGTACTACTGTCAAATGTGAAAGTGCCACTTTAGTTGTACATCGGGTAAACATCAATATGTACAGGTGAATGTCTGTCTGCAAAGGTGAAAAAAAACAACAAACCCCAATGTATTTGAAAAGGGGAATAGAGTGACAGGTTCACTATCTGTATCTATTAAAACATTTTACACTGTTTAAACTGTAATTTAAGAAATTGGACACACGGTATAGCACATCAAGGGACATGGGTTGTATGAACAGCTATGTCTCTGTGCAGTAAGAATCACATGTTGTTAGCCTAAACCAGGTCTTGGCAAGTATAAAATGTAAGGGAGAGCATGCCATACCAGTGGAGCCGCACTAGAGGATTCCTGTAGGCAAGAGGTCAGGGTGCAAACCCAGGATGTCCAAAAATATTTTGGATCTCTCTAAAATACCCAAACAGTTTGCACCTGCATTGCAATCTTTGCGACATATGGTCCCATGACTACTGGGGCTTTTCACACTCTGTCCTAAGACTACAATTTAAACAGCAATTAGCTGTATTTCTACCTTATCAAAGAATTCCCCTAGTTTGTTCTTGGAGTATTTGTAGATTTTTTTTTTTGTATGGAGGATGTTGATAGAATGCTGTCTGAATTCCTTCTGTTGAAATCTTTCATTTTCTAAGGATTGAAAGGCTTTAGTGTTGGGATTTAGTAGGAATTTGAGGTAAATATTGTTTTGAAACGAAGCAGTATAAAATATGGCACATCAAAGAGCTGCTATTTACCTTTGTGATTTGTACCCTAGGTATATGTGAATCGTCCCTACACGCCAAGTAAATTCATGAAAGGCCTGAGGAGACAATCTGCATAGCCGTATGTGTAAATGTGCCATTACTGTGAAATAAAATACAATAGCAACACGTTAAAATTAAAAAAAAAATTTAATTAAAGGAACACTAAAGCATTGGGAATACAAACATGTCCATAGTAAAATACAGCATACAACAAAATCTTGAGAAGTGAAATCCTTTTTAAGATAGTTACAAATGTATAGTTTCCCAGTCTTGACGCAATCTTTAAATTTGTCTCCCTGAATACTATAAAAATGCATTTTATTAAACCCACCCAAGAGAAGTACAATACATTTTAAAACCTGTATACTATTTGCATATATATTAGATGTAAACTTGTAAGTTGGCAGCATTTTTTTTTTTTTTTTTTTACCTCGTGTAAACATTGAATAAAAGATGTCTAGCTAAACTTTGTTTCCATTTGGCACAGTACGGACTCTGCACCAGCAGGAAGTTAAAACAACTTTTTTTCCATTTTCCTGATTAGTAGAATGTTGGTGACTTTTCAGCAAATCAGATTCTGATAGGCTTCTGACATGACAAGCCCTCTACGTAACTTTATGTTAATAGGTTGCTGTCATATGTTTGATAATTGTGCTGCAAGTGCGTGACTACTTTCCCATCAGATATCGTCAAATGTACCATAGCGAGGGTAGCTTAAAATAATATTAATGTGTTGGAATATTTTTTTTTTTTAATTTATGGAAAGAAAATCCCAGTAACATTACCAGTGTAACAGATGTTGATGGCAAATAAATCTCTGCTCATCCGTGTAGTCCACCTATTCCCTGAAAGAGCAGGGTTTATGCTTGTTTTTTGGGGGGTGAGGGGGGTTTCGTGACAGAAGTGCGTACCCTTCACAACACTGTTCTCTATGTATTAGAAAGCTGCTCCACACATTAATTATTTTCAGTAAAGAAATAAATGTTCCCCCATCACCTTAGGGCCTCTGTTCTAGATACCATCTTTCTACAGAACATGTTATGTTGTACTTTGTTTAATTCCTCAAGATATTTGGAAGTGATATCCTTGTCTAACCTGTTCCTTCTAAGTTTTTATAATGAGACAGAAAGTAATACTGTTGGAATAGGTTAATGATACACTGATGTCGCAGCGTGGTAAATAAACTAACCTGTTACTGTGTACTTTTTGCAGTCCGGTGTGAGCACTAGTTGATTAATCAGTGTTTAGGATCATTACTTACCAGTCCGCTGTGAGCAGTTTGATTAATCCGGCTTTAAATACTTTTAATACATTCGGGAAGAGTCACTGTGCTTGTGGGATGAGATCCTGCAGCCGTGCACTGTCTGTAAACTGAATGCAGAGCGTTGGGACATGCAGGTGAAACTTTTTTATGCCGTAAAGCACTTGAAATATACATTGTTCTTTAGATCTGCGGGTAGAAACATAGAAACTTAAAATGTGACGGCAGATAAGAACCATAAGGCTCATCTAGTCTGCCCAATTTTCTAAATACTATCATTAGTCCCTGGCCTTATCTTATAGTTAGGATAGCCTTATGCCTATCCCATGCATGCTTAAACTCCTTTACTGTCTTAACCTCTACCACTTCAGCTGGAAGGCTATTCCATGCATCCACTACCCTCTCAGTAAAGTAATACTTCCTGATATATTTTTAAACCTTTGTCCCTCTAATTTAAGACTATGTCCTCTTGTTGTGGTAGTTTTTCTTCTTTTAAGTATAGTCTCCTCCTTTACTGTGTTGATTCCCTTTATGTATTTAAATGTTTCTATCATATCCCCCCCGCCTTGTCTTTCCTCCAAGCTATACATGTTAAGATCCTTTAACCTTTCCTTGTAAGTTTTATCCTGCAATCCATGAACCAGTTTAGTAGCCCTTCTCTGAACTCTCTCTAAATTATCAATATCCTTCTGAAGATACGGTCTCCAGTACTACGTACAATACTCCAAGTGAGGTCTCAGTGTTCTGTACAATGGCATGAACACTTCCCTCTTTCTACTGCTAATACCTCTCCCTATACAACCAAGCATTCTGCTAGCATTTCCTGCTGCTCTATTACATTGTCTGCCTACCTTTAAGTCCTCAGAAATAATCACCCCTAAATCCCTTTCCTCAGATGTTGAGGTTAGGACTCGATCAAATATTCTGTACTCTGCCCTTGGGTTTTTACGTCCAAGATGCATTATCTTGCACTTAGCCTCAAATAGAATATAAATAAAATCAAAATGGTGTATTGTTAAGTTTCTTTTTATCCACAACCTTTGTGTCTATATATTGTAGTGAAATCTATTCTTCCTAAACACACGTTTTATTTATGAATGGACTCACATTTGAAAGTGTTCTTCTGTTTTGGTATATGAAAACCCATGCTCAATCTAATTTCACTGACCAGGTGCCTGGAGCTGTAAATATTGTCCTTGTCACTTTAGGGCATCATATTCCATAAACCATAGGCTGGAGTATTGGAGCTTACAAAAACAAATTGTCACCATGTACTATATTACTCCGCTTTTGTGTTCAACATGTTTTATGCCACTGGTTAGTTTTCTAGAAAGTGCATTCTAGAAAACTGGACTAAATGAATGCTGTTTCCTACTAGCTTTGGTTTTTTTAAATGTACTTTTATGGACCTGCAAAAATACTGTATTTAAAACTGATTAAGCATCATTGCTAAGTACATTATTGACAAGAGCAGAGATATCCGCCGACAACCTTTTTTTTTTTTTACCCTTTTGATTCCTGATTGATTTGACTCAAAACTTCATATTTCCCCTTGAATCTCCAGTTCAGTGTAGATGAAAAGAAAGCATGTAACAGGAGTATAATGTTTTTCTTCTAATGTAGATTGAACCCTTTGTACAGTGCTGTTGAATATGTTGGAGCTACATAAATATAATGTATCAAAATGATTTTTCCAGTTTGAAAATAAATATTTTTTTTTTGTTTTTTTTGTTTAATAGATGTTGTTTTCTGAGAGCTGACATGGCAAGATCTCTTTAATTTCCTGTCGTCTTATTTTTCCTTTTCCAGAAAACTTGCTCAGTCTTTGAAATGGATTTTTCTTTTATCGCATTCCTTATTACGCAGAGGATAATTTTGAGATAGTTCTAAAGATGAAAGCCCACCATAGGAATTTGTGAGTTAGTTGAGTGGCCTGCACTTCTCAGCTGTACCTCCTCCCCCACTCACATACCCTGCATTCTTCCCGAACAAACCTCTACTTGTTGCTATAGTGTCTAAGATCAACAGCCATTAGGTGTGTGATGTTTTTCCTATCTGCCATATTATCAAATTAAGTTCAGCCTACTAATAAAGTGCACCATTATTGAGATGTCGGGAGAGTGTAGTGACCACCATTGAGCCTGTCCTTGGACTTTTCCTTTCATTATTTCTTTATTCATTGAAGATTATATCACAAAGTGATATGAAATAGCAGAATTATTTGTGTCAATTTTTTTTTCCCTCAATGGTCAGATTTAGCTAGACGAACACACATCTCGTTTTATTTTCTATTGCAAAATAAAGCATCCACAAACATTAACATCCTTGCACTTGCTGTGTATCATGCCAATAAAGGAAGGTGTTGGAATTTTTTTGCAACTACATTTATGAATGAAGATCTCTCCAGCATAGAGTTCATGTATGAACTTGCTGTTTTTGGCCTTGCGCTTAGCACATGTAGATGTTTGTTTTTAGATATGAGTTTTTTGTTTGTGTTTGATGGAAAGTAGCATTTTATTTCTTGCTTCGTTTTATCTCTGACATTACTTGTGTTAACCAAATTCATTTAAAATCTATATATGCACATCAAAGCAAAAAACTATATTTTGTTGAATATGAGAGATATATCAAGCAGAAAATATATTTATTTTTAATACCTTTGTAATTATTTGCGTACATATGTATGAATGGTGTTTTATTTCCCGTACTAAAAAAAAATTATTTTTTTTTTTTCCCCACCCATTCCTCTACTGTTAAAGGGACACTATAATCACCAGAACTACTACAGCTTATTGAATTTGTTCTGGTGAGTAGAATCATTACCTTTAGGCTTTTTGTTGAAAACACTGTCTTTTCAGAGAAAATGCAGTGTTTACATTACATCCTAGTGATAACTTCACTCAAATAGGTGTTAGAGATCCTTCCTGGGTCATGACTGCCTAAAACATCCAAACATTCAGTATCTCCTCCCTCTGCATGCAGACACTGAACTTTCCTCATAGAGATGCATTGATTCAATTCATCTCTGTGCGGAGATGCTGATTGGCTAGGGCTGTGTTTGAATCATGCTGGCTCTGCCTCTTTCTCAGTCTCAGCCAATCCTATGGGGAAGCATTGTGATTGGATCAGGCTACCACTTCTGCGGGCAATGGGCAGGTCAAAAGGAAACCGTAACCAAGCCAGCAGTTTCAGGCTTGAATACAAGTAAGATTTACTATATTTAGGGAGGCATGAGGGGACCAGGGTGGCTACATGGTGGTTTTAACCCTATAGGGTCAGGAATACATGTGTGTGTTCCTGACCATATAGTGCTCTTTTAAGTCTTAAAACTTTGTAATGATTTAAGAGACGGAGCTATTTTTTCAGCTTCTCGTTTTGATGACCTTATCAGCTGCTATTGTTTAAAGACACTATAGTTACCAGAACAACTACAGCTTAATTTATATGAATAGTTTGTCCCGGCAGCCTTTTCAATGTAAACTCTGCCTTTTTCAGAGGAAAACCTCTAGTGACAGTAACTCAGACAGCCACCAGAGGTGCTTCCTGGGTCAGTGCTGCACTGATGTTCAGAGTCTCCACGTTCTGCAGGGAGGTGCTGAACGTTCTTCATTCAATGCATCTCTATAAGGAGATGTAGATTTGTGCAGGGGATGGGGGAGGGGGAGGTGTCTAAATAGCACTAGTAGAACTATATTGACACTATATAGATTTCATTTAAACCAAGCATGTCACACATTATATATTTGCCTTTCATAAATAGGGCACATGTTTGACAGTTTAGAACTGTAGGATACATAAGTGATTGTTTCCTTTCCAAAAATCTTTGTCCATGGAACTTCCAGGTAGAATATTGTCCTATCTGTTTTGATAATGCTTTTTTTTTTTTTTTATTCATTAAGAATAGAGGATGAATAGAACATCAACATTTAGCCAATTTGAAGTACACAATTATTGTACATCAGAAATACAGCTGACAATGCAACAGTGGTGACCTTACAATATGGATAGTCAGATAAAACAATGACATTCATATGAAAAACAATAATACAATGCAGGTTGGAGCTTTTAGATAAAATGAAGTCAGATATATCTCTTTGGTCTTTTGCAAGTTCTCTTGTTAAACGATATGTCTCATGATATGTGACAGTGCGTTAGATGTTCCCCTATGATGCAGTTTTATTGATGGGAATCTTCTTGTACATGTCCCATGAATTTACAGTTTGTTGCAGATTGTGTGAAAAGATCCGATTTATGCAAATCAGTATAGCAATTCATTTTAAGAGTGCATTGTATTGGTTATTTAATTTCTCACTTAGAAATCATTTTTAAACTTGGAATTGATTGTTATATTGAAATTAACTTTTTTTTTTTCCAGCGATTTAGAAGCATCTGTGCTAGTCCTGTTTTGTTATGTTTTAAAGGAACACTATAGGGTCAGGAACACAAATGTGTATTCCTTACCTTATATTGGTAAAAACACTATTTAGGTCCCTTGCCATCCTTAAAAGGGTAATAAACCTACCTTTATTCCAGCACCACAAGGGTCCACCAGCGCTGGCTCCGTCCCCTATTCGCCCCCTTGGCTGTGATTGTCAGATTTGACGTTCTCAGCCAATCCAATTGTTTCCTATGGGAAAGCACTGGATTGGCTGCGATCAAATCTGAATGATCTCAGCCAAGGAGGTGGGGCAGAAGGCAGAGCCAAATACCACTCTGGCTTATCAGCATCTCCTTATAGACATGCATTAAATCAATGCATCTATATGAAGAAAGTTCAGCGTGGAGACCCAGGAAGCACCTCTAGTGGCCGTCTGAGTGACTGCCACCTGAGGTGTCCCTAGGGAGCAATGTAAATACAGTGTTTACATGAAAAAGCCTCCTCTCTTTACTCACCAGAACACCTACATTAAAGGGACACTCCAGGCACCCAGGCCACTTCTGCCCATTGGAGTAGTCTGGGTGCCAACTCCTCCTACCCTTAACCCTGCAAGTGTAATTATTGCAGTTTTTTTTATAAATAATTACCTTGCAGGGTTAACTTCACCTCTAGTGGCTGTCTACTAGACAGCCACTAGAGGGCACTTCCGTGTCTCTAGGACAGATTTTTTGTGCTACAGCGTCGGTGGACGTCCTCACGCTGTGTGAGGACCTCCAGCGTCGCTCAATTCCCCATAGGAAAGCATTAAAAAGCATTTTCAATTCTTTCCTATGGGGAGCTCTAATGCGCATGCATTAGGTCTCCCCGGCCGGTGGGCGGGATCAGTCTCGCCCACCGGCCGACGTAATACAGAGGAGTAGCGGCGGAGGAAGTAGCAGCGATGTGGGACATGTCGCTGCCTCTGGTAAGTGACTGAAGGGGTTTTCACCCCTTCAGCAACCGGGGATTGGGAGGTGGGAGGGAGAGGGGACCTGCAGTGCCAGGAAAACAGATTGTTTTCCTGGCACTGGAGTTTCCCTTTAAGCTGTAGTTGTTCTGGTGACTAGAGTGTCCCTTTAATATTGCTAAGTGGATTAAATGTAATCGTAATGTTACAGTCCACATGTACAATGCTTGGAGATACAATAGCATATAATATTATGGTTCATTCAACGAACAGAGTAAAAAGTCATTCTGAAAGCACCTTTTTCCCCTCTATTCATAAAACAACAAGCCTATTATAATCCTTTAATCTGCGTATTTTTTTTTTTTCTAAATGAGCACAGTAAACGTTTAGCTTTTGAGTTAACTGTTGCCAGGTGTTGTGAGAATGGTTTATGTTTGAAATTAATTTACTAGTGAAAAATATAAGAATATTGGCTTTATTGTGATTTAAATTCTAGTGAAAGCAGCTATGTATAGAATGTTAATAGATTACTATATTTTATTACACCTGTAATTATTGCATGATTTTCTGTCTCTATGGGCAAATGTTTTTTGAAAGTGTTATCTTTTCGTTGTATGATACATTCTATGGCATACAGCAAATGCGAATTGTGTACGGATTGCATGAGTTCAGAGTTTTTTTTTTTTTTTTTGGACAGGTCCATCAATTTATCGGTGCAGTTTCCAGTACATTTCATGGTGTCCTCCTAGTCCAAACCACACAAGCAGGACTTAATTTGCTTGTGACAACTCTTAAAGAAAAACTGCAGGGGGTGTCCAAAAGGGAGATATAATGTCCTTTTTAGTTTAAGAGACAATTTCCCCTCATTGCTGCTTTTGTGTGGGCTATATCCTTTGAGTCCCAAATCAGATGGCATTCCAAAAAACTTCTTTGGCTTTGGTCCTTTAGCTGCAGTTTCTTTAAAGCCTCATAAGTGAGCTCTATATAACAATAGCATTAAATTAAAGGCAATGCTGGCACTTTAATCAGCCCTACCCTGTATAACTCCTCATTGGTTTAGTAACACGTGAACATATTGATTCAGGGGACTTATCCAAGATTTGATGGATGTTTGTGGGTTTAAACCTTTTTTTAATCTATTCTGCTGGGAATGTAACTATGCAAAAACAATTTTATAGAGCCAATAGATGTGATAGCTCTTAACAGACAGTATTAATTTTAGATCACAGACCACAATACACAGAGAAACTATAGATGTTAGTATTTTGCTACTTTGGGGTCACTGAGTGAAATACAAAGTATCAAAGAAATGTATGCTCCCCTACACATCCTTGGAGAGAGATACAGTATATAGATCTCCAAGGATGTTTAGGGAAGCTTTTTGGTAGATTGAAAAACAGTTCTTTCTGTTAATTGATTATTTTAGGTCACTGAAATCAGAATGTTTAAAGTATATCAGAATGTTTAAAGTATATCAGAATGTTTAAAGTATATCTTTTTTCAAACAGTGGAAATGTGGGAGGGATGAATTTGCAGTAGTTGCTGCGTGTGTGCGACAAATTGTCATTCCTGTAAGTCAGCCAATATGCCATAGGGCTGTTATCATCTGCAAATGTATGCACAGGAAAAGGGCGACCTAGCAAATGTATTGATAGTTGGTTCCGTTGGGTGTTTAGAGAAACAGAACTCATGCAGCAACATCTATGCTAAAACTGTGGGAATATTGGTTATTCTGTTTGCTCATGTTATTTAGGAAAATTACATGATTTTGCTATTTCATGACGAAAAGTCATGATTTTATTAAAGACAAGGAGGCGAGTATTGCTTAACCCTTTCTTTACTGTCCACCAATAGCGGCAAAGAATACAACAGTAAGAAAAAATGGTAACCATAGTGATAGGCCACAGCCATACCAAGTCCCAGTATAATAGTCAGCACATCCCCACACATTTCCTCTTTCTTTGGAGATGCGAGACAATAACAACAAAACAGGAATGATGAAACAGTCCAAACCAAATAGAACAGGCAATCCGAAATCCAGCCAGACTCCGATCAGGAACCATAACGGAACTGGGACTGACCCATCACAGCATTGTCCATAAACTTTCTGGCCACTTGGTGAAGCCGAGAGAGAAGTGCTGAAGACCCTTGATCAACAAGGAATCAACTGGTGAAAACACAAAAGACAGGAGCCGAACGGTTAACTTGAACCAAAGTGCGCATACCAAGACATAATTTTATAACTAGACAGAAGCAACACAGTGTGCATAATTCATCATAGGCATTTCGAATAATCATGTAACATGAACAGGTTAATAAACGGTACAAAACCCAGAGCGCATAATGAATACCTACCAACCCTGGAAAACTTGCAGGAGAGAATAAACAACCGGGTGGGGTAAATCAGTAAAATAACTATGAAGGGTGGGACAATACTCGCCTCCGTGCCTTTCATAAAATCATGACTTTTCGTAATGAAATAGCAAAATCATGTCAAGACACGGAGGCTCGTATTGCAAGTTTAAAGCTGATCAATAACTGGAGAAAAAACGTGAGGCAAAGGTCGAAAATAAAACTCACGAAAAATGGATTCGCGGGACCAGTCATCCATTCTCATCAGGTCTGCCAGACGTGCACCTGAATTCACCAGGGCTGTGGCCGATGCCCCTCGGCCTGAGTGGGTGCCAAAGATGGACGTATCCATGTTGGCCAGAGACATCACCCATTTCACCCAGCGAGCCAATGTAGTACTGGACACAGGGGAGAAGCAGCGACTAAGCGAGAGAAACAGCTGGGGAGACGACGTAGCTCGATGTGCGTTCGTTCGAAGTTCATATTCCCGTAGGCAGGCCACCGGACATAGGGCTGGAGTACCAGGAAAGCTTGGATAAGAAACCGATCAAATAGCGGTCTTGGTGCGTCTGGAGATGTTAAACGTCACCCCGTCCAGAGTGAAAGACCTAGCATCATAGTCCAGGGCACGAACATCCGATACCTGTTTGCATGAAATGAGACAGAACAGGGAGACCAACTTGGATGACAGCTGTTGCAAACAGAGCTCTGCATTAGGCGGCCAGGAGGAGAACAGCAACAAAACGCAGGAGACGTCCCATGTAGATGAGTAACGAGGTCTAGCGGGACGCGACAAGCGTGAGCCCCTAAGTAAGCGGCACACATGTTGGCCTGCTGGGCAGCCGTCAAATCCTTGGTGAGCCGAGGAGATGGCCGATCTCTATGAATTAATCGTGCGATATGCCCAACCAGCTTCAAACAACGAAGTCAGGAATAGGAGGATCACAGTCACAGGTGCTGGAACGGGATCCAAGTTCCGAGCCAGACACCAGCCAGTCCAAGCTCTGCAAGCGGTCCCATATGATGGTCTAGTCCCGGGAGCCCATGCGTCAACCAGGAGGCGTCGAGTTGTGTCCGAAACCCCTTGGATTTCCCAGCGACTCCCAAAATCCTCCACACGAGCAGTAGTAACGACCCGTCCGCCAGGAGGGGATGCTGGAGGCCCGATGGGTCCAGGAGGAGGTTCAGTAGAGACGGCAGCAGTCTGGGCATGTCTACTGCCAGTTCCAGGAGTTGTGGGAACCAGGATTGGGTCCCCCAGAATGGGGCTAGTAGGATCAGGTCGGCCATTTGGCGGCGAATTTGGAGCAGGACCCGAGGTATCATAGCAAACTGGGGGAAGGCGTAGAGGAGTGAGCCAATCCAGTCTTGTAGGAAGGCGTCCATTGCCTCCGCGACTGGATCCGGGCACCAGCTGTAGAACCGGGGTAGTTCGGTATTGAGCCTGGACGCGAAGAGGTCGATGGCAAAAGGACCCCATATGGACGATATAGTGGAGAATACTCCTACATCCAATCTCCAATCGTTGTTGTCCGACAGATAGCGTGAACTCCAGTCCGCGTGGAGCCTGGGAAGGTATTCTGCCTGGACCACCAGGTTCCTGTCCAAGCAATAGGCCCAGAAGTCCTTCGCCAAGCGGGCCAGGAGTGCAGATTGAGTGCCACCCATGTGATGTTGTCCATGCGCAGGCGGATGCATGAGCTGGCAGTCCCGTTCGCAAAACTCTGGATCGCAAATGAACCCGCTAGGAGTTCCAGAGCATTGATGTGGAGGTGGGATTCGTCTGCTGACCAGCGACCCCCGGTAGTCACCCCGTTGCAATGGGAACCCCAGCCGTGGAGACTGGTGCTTCGGAATCTACCGTGAAGTCTAGGAACTCCATGCGATATGACGGAGACAGGCAGGAATTTTCCCAGTTGAGGAGAAAACCCAGGCGGGAGAGGAGGTCCGTTGTCCATTGAAGATGTTTCCGAAGGACTGAGCGATTCTGTGCCATGATGAGGATGTCGTCCAAATAGACGATTAGCCGGACTCCCTGACTGCGCAGCCAAGCTGTGGCGGGGCGCATCAGTTTCGTGATGCACCAAGGGGCTGACAGTCCGAAGGGGAGGCACGTGAAGCGCTAGGTGTCTCCTTTCCAGAGGAAACGTAACAGGTCCCTGGAAGACTCGGCCACTGGGACCGTCAGGTAGGCATCCTTCAAGTCCAACCTTGCCATCCAGTCTCCTTGAAGGAGTAAGTCTCGCTGGAGGTGGATGCCCTCCATTTTGAAGTGACGATAGCGCACCAGGGTGTTTAGGGCACGGAGGTTGATAACAGGGCGCATTTGTCCGCCTTTGTTTTCCACTAGGAAAATATTGCTGATCACCCTTGTGGAGGACACCGGGGCCAGCTCTATCGCCCCTTTTGCGTGGAGGTCCGTTAGTTCTGCGTCTATCAAGGCACGGTCGGTTGTAGAAAGCAAAATAGGGCGAGGCAGGGGCACGTGACATGGATTGTCGACCAGTTCAATGTGAAACCCCCGAACTGTGGTCAGAACCCAGACATCTGAGGTGATGGTTGACCAGGTGTGGAAAAAATGACAGTCTGCCACCTACACACATATTGGAAGAAACATGAGGTAGATGTAAGCTTACTGTAAGGGCGTCTGGAACCGGGGTTCCCTCTGAAGCCTCTGGAACGCCATGGTCTTCCACGAGAGGGGAAGAAAGGAGACTCGTCTCCTGGTAGGGTCTTCTCTGAGTGTAGGAGCCTCGTCCCGATCCATGGACATAGTAATTGGAGCGGCTGGACAGGCGACCCCTGAATCTGCCGGCCCTGGTAGAGACCCGCCCCTGAAACACCCTCTTCATGGAGGATTGGGCCTTATCTAGGGCTGTGAATGAACCCACAAAGCGCCCCAGGTCCTTAATAAGGCCCCAAATAAGAGGCCCTGGGCGTCCTTGCCTGCCTCTGTGAGGGCGAGGTTGGCCAGTTTGGGTTCAATCTTGAACAGATTGGCTTTACGCCTTTCAATGGACAGGGAGGCATTTACACTGGCCGCAATGCAGATAGCCCTCTGCACCCAACCACGGAATTCCTCCGGGTCAACCTGCCGGTTCTCGGCTCTGGCTATTTCAGCCAGATCAAACAGTTTGGCCAAAGGACCAAATATGTCAAGATGTTTATCTTGGCATGATTTAAGTGCTGAATCTAGACACTTTGGAGAGGAATTGGGTCATCTTAGGGTCCACTACAGGGGTCTCACAGACTTTGCTAGGTACCAATGGTCTTGGGCATTCTGCCCTAAGTTTATTACGCGCCGCCTTACTCAGGGGGCACCGTACCCACTTTTCAAGGTACCGTGCCACATGGTCCGCCGGGAGCCATTCCGCCGACCTCGGATGATGGAGAACATCCGGGTCAAACATGGGTTTCCCGGGCGGATCCATGAGGGTGGAGCCCGCTGCAGCGGGGGAGTCGCTCCTAGGGCCACTCGCAACCACTGCGGAGTGAGCAGGGCCAAAAGGGTCAGACTTCTGCCCACAAAATTCGTCATCAGAGTTATCCACAGACTCAGCGTCCGCCTCCTCACTAGACCCGATTTCGGAGTCGCTCTCTTTTTGTGCTCTAGCACATTTCCACTGCCGCGCCTGTTCTGCCTGGTGCGGAAAGGCTCTTGCGTGACATAGGCACGCTGTCATGGGTGGCAATAGTCACATCAGTCGTGTTGGTTTTGGAGGCAGGGAGATTTGAGTGCCTGGATTTGGCAGTAGCCTTTTTTGGAACGTTCGGCAAAAAAGAGACTAACTCAATGGGATAAATAGATGAAATTAATGAATAGGAAACAGGCGAATGCACTGAATGTTTGAATGAAAAATAGCCGAACGCTGCAAAACAGACAGACATGAAGCTAAGTGTTAGAAAAAACAAACGAACGGCATGTGTTCATGAAGAATTTACCGAACTGGTTAGAATTCTTTCATGAAAACAGCCGAACAGGACGGAAAACAGGCGCAAAATGGCGCCAAATAAATGGAGAGAAGGAGAAAATGGAGCCAAAGGGTAGTGAGGAAAGATATGAGATAAGTTAGTAATCAGAAGAAGCAAGTGAGCATGGATAACACACAGAATAAAACACAGGGAAGGTCTGGAACCCTGGGCTCAAAGGTAACCAACATAATATATAGTATAAAACAAGCATGTAATAAAATACAGAAAAAATTCCTTAATAACTGGATAAATGAAAGCATACAGGAATTATCAACAAAAGGAGTAATAGAAGTTCAAATAACAATAAATAACTCGTGTAAATAACCAGAAATCAATAAGAGAATAGTAGTATAGTATGAGAGAAATTTTGTCATGTACTTCTCTTTGGTCAGCGCAGCAAAGAAAGAGGAAATGTGTGGGGATGTGCTGACTATTATACTGGGACTTGGAATGGGTGTGGCCTATCACTATGGTTACCATTTTTTCTTACTGTTGTATTCTTTGCTGCTATTGGTGGACAGTAAAGAAAGGGTTAAGCAATATGAGCCTCCGTGTCTTGACATAAAATCAGTACTTGCTCCCATGATGCACTTCTGTCTGTTGGCAGTTAATCCACATAGATCAATACGGTCAGTTTTATCAACCACACGGACGTACAGTTTATATTATTGCATTTTGACTCAAAGTACCCATTTTGCTAGCATGATACAGTTTAGTTTGTTTTAGACATTGGTTGTTTAGTCTCTTTCCATAGATCTGAATAAGCTTGTTTATTTCCACAGCTCATCAGGCACCAGCTTTGTTTTCCAGAATACAAAAATGTAACATTAATAAATTGGGGGATCGTGGTATGGGATGAAATGATTGCTAAACACAATGGAGCAATTAAATACCTGTGATTGTCAAACCTTACTAAAACAGTATGACTTCTTACAGTGAGACAGCATCAACAGCATCATCCTTGAGAATGTTTGTTAATTATTATAGCTAGTGATGTCCCGAACTGTTCGCCGCGAACGGTTCGCCGCGGACTCATCATTGAGTAAACTTTGACCCTGCACCTCACAGTCAGCAGACACATTCCAGCCAATCAGCAGCAGGCCCTCCCTCCCAGACCTTCCCACCTCCTGGACAGCATCCATTGTGAAGCTGCATTCTTAGTGAGCTGTCCAGGGGGTGGGAGGGTCTGCTGCTGATTGGCTGGAGTGTGTCTGCTGACTGTGAGGTACAGGGTCAAAGTTTACTCAATGATGAGTCCGTGGCGAACCGTTCGCCGAACAGTTCGCGACATCACTAATTATAGCTCTATATATGATAGCCGAGGTTATGGCTTGACAGCATACATTGATCGTTATAACCGTAAACCTAACTTAATTGGATGTGCTTTTTATTTTACAGATTAAAATAATGCTGTATTGAAATTTAAATTCTGTTATGAATCTTTGCTGAGTTGGAGAGAAGTAGATATTGGTTTGTACAGCTTTGCAGATTAAGCTGTTCCACAGTGTAATGCGGAGTAAATAACTTAGTGGGGGTGACGATTGCGTCATTATTCTGTCAGCAAGTTTTCACAGTGGCAATGTTCTAATTACCAGAGGTCACTATTGTGGCCACCTTAAGATTGCTATTCTTCTCACTGTGTAATAGATTTGAAGGGTCAGCAAAGGCATCACCCAGAGCAGTCATTAAGTTCATTTACTCCTTGAGACAGCTGTTATCTGTAGACGGCTACAAGAGATTTTATTCACGTGCTGGTTTTTTTTGTTTTTGGATTTTTTTTTGTGTGACTTTTTGTAAACTCACATACCTAAGTAATTTATTTATCAGTTTTTATATAGCTCTCTTATTCAGAGCATTTTACAAAAAGTGTTCATGTAATCATTGGTGTTCTTACAGACCGTTTGTTAAAAACAAACTATAACAAATAGAAACCAGGAAATGTATTGTATTTTTTTCATGCCATCAAAAGAGACATTTTGAAAAGCATTTCATTGTTGCAAAAGTATATCCCTTTTCTAGAAGTCCATTTTGAAAAATCTTTTTTTTTATTTTCATTTTTATATATGAATACGTGTGTGTGTATTTTTAAGATGGTATCCTTTTATTTTAGTCATAACCATTATTGTGTCTTTGTGTTTATAAGCCATGTCTGCATGTGACGTTATGTGAATAGACCGTAAAGTAGCAGGATAAACAATAAATGTAGATGAAGTTTAAGTAGCAGGCTGGTTATTTGATAACCTAGTGGAGAGCATGCCTGGCGGTGGTAAGGCATGGAATGATTTTGTCTCTTTCAACAGACTTATTACATTCTACCTAAATAACAAAAATTATCACAATAGCCATGGGCCAAAATGCGGTAATGCTCACTTCAAAGACATTGGCAGAGGCTTAACTGATCTCATCCTTGACTAAAGATTACTCTGGTGCAGCAATTCTTTAAAATATATGGTGTTCCCTGCTTCTCTCACCTTTCTCTTTTGGTCTGGGCAACATAGCAATACTCATGTCCTCGGTTCCTAAGGGCAGTGTACACCATTTTCTTACATACTTTGTGCTACAACTTGCTAAGGTGGTTTATGTCAGTTAAAGAGTCAAGAAGAATTTTACCAGCTATTTTAATTCATGTGTAGATGATGTTTAACATTAAATCCTTAATATCTGTAAGATTAAGGAATGGGCTTTTTACTCCCATCCCACCCCCCAAAAAAAAAGAAAATGTAAAATAACTTTTACAATAGGGTACTTGAGGATTTCTGAATTGAAACTATTGCAACACTTATTAGATAAACAAGATATTCCACTTACGTCAAGGTGACAAAAATATTGTGCATCTTCTGCAGTGGACCCTGTTCCAGCGAGGAAGTGGTTCAGCCAATCAGGATGCAATGAGAGTTAAGCAGATCTCATAGATGTGCGCCCACTGTCTGTTGCAAGCAGTGCACTTATTTAAAAAGGTGTGCAAGGGTCCTCCTTGCATCTTAACCTAAGAAGTGAGCTTGGCGTATACTTAAAAAAAATAAATAAAAAAATAAAAAAATTAAACCTAAAACACATGTGAGGTTTGCAGTCCTTGTGGGTGAATTCCTCCCTATTTTGGGCCCAATTCCATCTGTCCCTCTTTTTATCCTAATGTCCCTCTTTTTCGAAGAGCTACATACTGTTCATACTGTTCATGTTCAATGATACACACAGTACTGTGCCTTTAAACTACAACAATTCTGATTAGAAATCAGTTTGTGTAATAAGATACATTGTTCTTGTTCTAAATTACATTTTACATGTATACATTGTTATAAATGTGTCACCTATACCTCTTTACATATTTGTAAAAAATTGCCTTAAATGTAAACTAGAAGTCAAGAAAAACTATTCTAAAACCGTTGAAGTGTTTTTATGGCTGGGAAGTAATATTTATTTTCTTTTCTTTTATCTTTTTTTTTTTTTTGAAACCTTTGCGTTTGGGCTTTTGTAAATCCCCTTAACATTCCCTCAAAGACTTTCTATGCACAGTAATAGTGCTATCGGCTCAGCCGGAACACGCCTGCAGATAACGAGCACTGGTCACTGAAATCAGAGGGTCATCACAAAACCATTTATCACTGTGCTCTTTAGGTGTGTGCCTTCAGGTGTGTTGTAGAAACGAAAAACTGGGAGGTGCAATTAGTTTTTTTTTTTCTTTCTTCAAAGTTAACATACCAGAAAACTCTTTCACCTGTCCTCCAAACTGCAGTAAAATGTATATAGGAGTTAACACATAAACCTGAAAATAGCTGAAGTCATAACTGTCAGGGATAACACTTTATTTTGGTCAAGTCAAAATTGCCTAGCTGGAAACATTTTTTTTCTCTGTTTGTTTGTTCCTTTGTCAATTCCCAATAATTTACTGTTTGAATAATTATTTTTATATTGATTGCATAGGGCATGGTTCAGGAATTCTTTCTCGTTGCATTCTTACACTTATTAATGCAGAAGTCACAGCATCGATAAACACCTCTTCTCCTTGATATGTTTTCATAGCTCAGAATTTCAGCCATCCTGCCCCCAATGACATGTGCATCTGACAATTCTTAGCCTGCGGGCGCACACTTAATGCTAGTTATGTGACTGGTGGCAAGAGAAAGGAGGATAAGTGAGACTTAAAACATCTGTGCATCAAAATAATGTCATTTATGAAGTGACTGGGGGGCATAGATGTAGCCCCTGCAACTCTGCATATCAGAACTGTGCGGTTTCTGAGAAGCTTCAGCCAAAAAAAAAAAAATCTATTTAATGGTACACTCACCAATGCCTAGTGGAAAGGTGGACATTTTTAAATCCTGAGTCAATGAAAACCTATGCAGTTGCTGCAATTAGTTCCATGTCTGAAATAATGACATTCACAATACCTTGTTTTACCTCCTCATACTTTGAAGGGTATTTCTTTAATCTATGTGGCATGCAACCAAGAATTTCCATTTTCCGTAATCATATCTCACAGGAAAAGCAAAGAAAGGAAAGTGCTTTGTGGTGTTTTGATCATAATGCTTTGTGGTTTACGAAACGATCAATATTTATACTATTGCATTCCACTGCGGTCTCAAAGGTATCCACATGCCATTAAATGTATACACAGAGCCTCCCACGCTCAGGACATGGTCTTGTCTCCTTATAACATAGTTTATAGTTAAACCACATGAAGCGTCTGGAACCTTAGAGGTGTAATTACAAGGAAAATGAAGGGTTGTGTGGAGTTTTGTGGGTAGACTGCTATACTACAGTCTGTTAAAGAACTCTGTAGTTTAAATACAATGAAACTGTAAGTTACAAATGTATAGCCCACTTACTTGGATTTAAAGTGTACACTATGAACTCTTGGGTGGGACTAATGGCTGATATTTTAATCTATGATTATGCAAATTTCTGATAATACAACCAATGCAGTTGAAATGCATTGTTTATTTATATTGTAATAGAGCAGCTTGCATCATTTACACTTGTATTATGATGTCAGACATGATAAATGTTTACTTGGCTGAGTCCTCTTCTCATTTGCTGATGTTATTTCTATACACAACACCCCCAAACTATTTATTGATTCTTTCAACCTAATGTCCACTGGTTTCACCCTTTAACAAGTAAATCCAAGGGGGATTGCAGTTATAACCTTCTAGTCTTCAACAATGTTTTTGATAACTTGTTTCTTGCTTTGTTCGTTTTTTCGTTACTTTGGTTAGTTTTTTCTAAAAATAAGACTGTTCTCTGCTCTAGGCTCTTTACACCTTTACAGTGTGCTTGATATTAAAAGTATTTTGTTCTATATGGGGTTTCGTATGTTAGGCATCCCATGCATACATGTTTTTGCATGACCCCATTTGACTTCAAAAGCCTATAGGATCTAATCCGTTATCTCTGCCTCCCCCAACCCCTCACCCCAAATGCAATATAAAACTTCTGATTGATAATTGAGCCTCTACATTAAAAAATAATAATAACAGCAGCAGCAGCATATCTGATTGTCTTGTGGAAGTGTTTGCTTTGCTGCTCCCCAAAACCTGCAGGCACAGTGTAAGTCGATAATGCAGTTTCATTTTTATTGGCCACCTTTTTATTCCTAGTCTAGTAAAGCTGGTTGTTGGCAGCAGTATAAAGTCTACCAGAAGAAAAAAACAAAACTATTTGGCACGCTTGATAACTGCCTAAACCCTCAGAAACCGGCTGGTCACGTAAAACGATGTTTAATTGAATTAAGTCATAAAGCAAATAAAGTGGAGTCAGGCGACAGGTTGTCAGAAGCTAAAAGAAGCTTCGAAATAGGTATGCACATACCACACCTAAGTTATAGCACTGCAAAAATGTTACATTAAATTGGTTATTTAGCCAGCGTTGCTATGAATGCACATGTCTGCTTATTTTATTATGTCATGAAATTTAATGTCTACTCTAGGTGATATGATGTTGCTGTAAACTTATTGCCAGGGAATTTCTGGGGCATTAATGATCTTATTTGAAAAAAACGTGTGTCTCTCTCAAACTCCTGGCATTTTTGACCTTGTAGCAGGACAACTGACCTTAGAGTTCCTCTGTTGCTATTTTGGCTGTGCTAGCAATAACTTAAATTTGCACTTTTCCCAATGGCTATTTTTCCTCTTTCGTCATGCACTTTCTTGACCACCTTCTAAGTATACCTTTCCCTTGTTTTTTTTTTTTTTTTTTTTCATCATACTCATACTGGTAAACAAACAACTTGCAACTAGTTTTCTGTAGCAAACTCTTAAAGGAATTGTATACATTTATTTGTGTGTGTATATGTGTGTATATATATATATATATAATATTCAGAAACCGCAATGATTTACATTGCAGGACTGAGGCACTGCAATGAGATGAAGTGATCTGGGTAACTATACTGTCTATTTAATACCCTACATAAAATTTTAAATTTTTAAATATTTTATATATTCACATTGCACATCTGGATATTTCAGATCTATTTTTTTGTGAATTTTCTAGATTATATTACATTTACGTGTATTTAAAAATAATATATCTATCTTTGGATTGTGAAGAGTGCTTTGCAATGTAATGGAATTTATCCAGATCTTGGTTTGCAGCAACTTGAGTCTGTTACAGAAATATCCTCTAATTGTGTGTGGAAAGCTTTGGGTAATATCTTTTTAAAGGGCCCTTATGTCTTTACCATGTTGTCTCACCAGAAACAAACCCTATATTTTTCATGGAACCTATTATCATTAAAAAAAATAAAAAAAAATAAATCTTTTTTCCTTACAAAATAGTGGTGTCCTGCTTGTTCAGACAGGAGTTTCCATGTTTTCTAGTTTGAACAGCTTTCCTGGGTCTGGAATTCAACCCCTTAGGGTCAATATTATTAAATGCCATCATCACAGTCTTGACATTATACCAACTTATTTAGTGTTTGCAGATCCATAAAGCAGGGATACCTTTACATGAATGGAACGTTCTATTTTGGAATATGATCTTTAAAGATCTGATTGTTATTTAACCCGTTAAGGAATGTGAAGGAAATTTCCCGTCATGCTGGCCTTTTATTTCTGAAACTTTGTCCTTAAGGGGTTAAGCTTGACTGCAACAATTTTTTATTTTTTTTTATCCTTGCAGGGTTACGAATTTGTGCAGCCCTGTGATTCATTTACACTTATGAAATTTCCATATTTTTCTATTTACAATTTTTTTTTAAACTTCTATATAATGTATTCAATAAGACGTGTGTTTAACATCTTTCATCTAACCTTATCATCTTAACGAAGTGTGCAATCCTGTGGTCACTGTTCATTGCAAGAGAGGTTTTATGTTATATTTAAAATCAATTTGATCATGATATAAATATAGCTGACAAACTTTGTTAGAAACAGCATCTGTTACTCTAACAGGCATTTGCATTGTTAGAAATTCTAATACTATTTTGTAGAATTTTTAGGGTAATGTTAATCTATATAATAAATAGCAATCCTCTGCATCTGTTTTTTAAATGGTTATTTCAGACACTGACCATTTTAGTAATTTTTAAAGTCTAGGTTTATATGTTGTATTACTCATTTGTAATAAATATTTCAGTATTTTTTTTTCTTTAGTGCAACCTTCCTTTGTATATTTATTTTGAGTTCAAGGTTAGTCTGACTGGCAGGAGAACAGTTAATGAACAGAACATTTAATACAGAATATAAAAAGACTGATTTACTTCCCTGCATGTATTTGTAGTGGAGTTTTTTTTTTGTATTCTCTCCACCATATACCCAATCTTAAAACACAAAGGCTAATGCGACACAGGTCCTATTACTGAATGCAGTGATGCTAATTGTATCGTCGTTTTTTTTTTTTTTTCGTAAGGTCTTTTCTCATCTTCAGTAGCCAGGACCCTTTTAAAGCTTTGTGTTTCTCTTTTGATGGTAGGTAGAAAGTTAAATCACTCCTAGACACAATGAAGGGTAATTGTATCGGAATGGTTCAGCAGTTTTATTCCAAGTGCTGTCTGCTTCTTAAATGTTTTTTCTAATTTAATGTGCTCCGAGGCATCATCCAGAATCCAATACAATCCTTTAACCTTTTCAATTTATAAATAAACACAGATTGTGGATCTTGCATGGATCTTTGATCTCGTGGGGAGGTTCTCTGAGGTTTTGTGGCCACTGAGTAACGTTTCTTACTTTTTGTTAATTGTTAATGAGAAAACTAAAATAAAAAAAAATGTATTTTAAATTTTTTTTTAAGAGAAACCGTTGTCTGTATTAGCAATATCCATAATCCCGTAGATTATAATTTATTTTTATTTCTTTAGTTGAATTCTCAGCTCTGTTAAGTATTAGGAAACAAGTAGCTGATGCTTTTTTTCTAAGGTGCAAAGATGAAGCTATCCACTTGGATAAAAAAAAAACACAAAAAATGTAAGGCCTCATAAAATTTAATCTGCTTATTGTGCCTTCACAATATATATTCTTAAACTATATATTTAATTTCTGATATGGCCTTGTAACAAACCAGCATCAAGCTAAACCTAGTGTATGGCTGTCCCCTAACTAGCAATGGGAAAGTTAAAGGAACACTCCAAGTGTCAATACCACTATAGCGCACTGTAATGGTTGTTTTGCCAGGCCCCAGTCACTCTGCCCTTTTTGTCACACGGTAACTAACAGATTTGTTCTTCATGATTTCTAGGATGTATTGACCGATAGGCTTCCCTTTAGGTTTCCAGTTCATCACTAGGTCAAGACCTTTTGAAGATCATGTTGGGGGTCTGCTCCAGCTTCTAGTCATGGGAATTCTAACTTTCCAGGCCTATTTTAAGGCTTTGCTTGCTGACATGGCTACCACTATGACTCCAAAATGCGACTGTGACGGAGTCCTGCTGGCTGTGCTGGTGATGTGCCTGGCTCCCATACTTTTCCTTAATTGGTCAAGGATGGATGCTGCTCATTCCCTGCTTAGCATTCTGCATGATGACTTTTTAGATCCAAGCACTTGTTCTGAGTCTGCAAATCAGATGCTTGGTGCGCTCCTTGCATGTATTTTCATGTAAGTTTTATAGTTTCAATGTTTTGCATTCATTGATACTTTTTTGACCAGAAGGTACAGTACCCTACATATTGTGGTGGCTTCATGTCCTGCTGTACTTGAGTATAAGTTTCCATATACCATGGCTCATTTGCTTTCACTATACAAGAAAGGACAATGCAAAATGTGTTACCTGACAATTAATTTGCTCCTAGATGGTGAGAGCCCATGAGGTACATTGGGCCATGTCTCCTCTGCTTGTAATTAAATGCCTTGTTTGCTTTGTTTCATTTTGCAAATCCTCCTTTGCAGAATATTGAACTGAAGATTATAGTAGAGGGTGGGATAGCGAGGGAAGAATTTGCTCAAGTTTTGCATTTTGGGTGTTTCTAACCTCTTCCATTGGGAGATGCTTAGTCACAACGCATGTCACAATGCACAAAGTCTTGCTATCCTGAAGGAAATTAATTTGTCAGGGAAGGCTATATTTGTGTTTAATGTTCTATAAATATTTCTTACAAAACACATTTTTAGAAGTCTTTGACTTTATATGAAGATACTGCCTCTCAAATATGGATAGCTGGCTTACCCCCACCACTGTCTCTGAAATTCAAATGTATACACTTAGTTGTCTGATCATCTTTCAGACACGGTATAAGCCATTCTTGCCCCAGGCCTTACTGGCTCCCAGCCTACTAACATATTGCACTCACTGGCCACAATATGCTACACACGAGGCAAATGATACCGGTGATAATAAATCTTTGCTGGTTTTCTAGTCCATTTTTTAATACAGCCAGTGGCATACACAGCACTTTAAAAGAGCCCCAGGCATAAATGACCTTTTCTACAAACTGTATGGGCTATTGTTTTTAACATTTAGTAAAATAGTTGAGTTTGTGATAATTTATGCTGGAGATTAAAATGCATGAGCGAGCACATCTAGGTTGGATGGGATCGGAATCTGCAGGCTAATAAATGGAAAAAGTTAGAGGAATGCGGCATACATAATATTGAAATGGAATGATGAAAAGATGCTTTGTGGTGTGTTCCTTTCTCCTGGTGGGGGAGGGAGCTAATCTATGAATTTCAATGTAGAATTGGTGCTGAAGCAGCGATTAAAAGCAGGATATCAAGTGACTAATCTGTTAGTTCAATAAAATATTTTGCTGCATTTACCTTTAATTAAATGTAATCAAAGAAGAGGAGTAAACCACATGTTTTCCCTGTACTGTGGACAAATTGATCGTGTGTATGATACATTACATATTTATTTATTTATCAAATATTTTACCAGGATGGATACATTGAGATTGTTTTCAAGTATGTCCTGGGTCTTTGTCCACAAAACATTGCATTATTAGAATAGTATACAATATTACAAAAATACAATAAACAAATATATATATGTGTGTGTGTGTAAACAAGAGATAAGAATTCAGCGCTAATTAACACACAATTAATATAGGTAGGCAGCAACCCAAATGAAGGAGGATCCTTCAAGTCCTTCAGTGGATAAACAGACATAGCAAAAAGATAAAATAGGGCTGCGCCAAGCTAAGAGAGAGTCCAGTAAAATCTCACTAGGATATCAGTGGATAATCAGGAATACTTGATAGGGTATGGTTTCTTGGTAGAGGTAGGTACGTCTGATGTTGACTGATCAGTATATGAAAACAGAAGAGAGGTAGAGGCAACCAATGGTGCAGTATGTCTAAAATTCAAGGTGCAGTAGAGAACTCACATTTGGGAGAGCTTTGGCCAGCTCTGGTGTGAATAGCGTACAGCGTCTGGTAATCCAAAGCTCAGAATTTACCATAAGATTGACCATTTTGGTGTCAACGGTACACAAGACCAGAGTCCATCTGCCAGTACATTATGATCTTTGAACGTTCCCTGCTTAATTCTTGAGTTTGTAGTTTATTGATGCATGTTTCCAGCAATGAAAGAAAAAAAGACAGATTCTTCTCTAACATTTTACATAACATGTGTTATATGTCAAACTTACTCCATAGCACTGAACAGTCAGTATATGAGTAACAGGTTTATTTGTAAGTTGTTGTTTTGTTTTTTTTTGCCATTGGGATTTAAAGAAAATGCCCCAGTATTTATCTACATGCAAACTGTTTTCTCCCCAGACTAGATACTGTCTGTTTCGAGTAGAAAGCAGACTGGGAGCTGTCCAGTAAATCTTTCTAGAAATCTATGGGGGGGATATTCTTTACAGATCTATCAAGAAACTGAGCATCCATCCCTAATCAAGTGAAATCTCCACCGACTTATCAGATGTGATCTGTGCTGGGCAGAGGCAAGTCATGGGAATGTTACTTGTCTAGTGAATAGCACTTACTTTATATTGAACATAACTTTATTTCCATAAAGGATAGCCTTTCTAGACATATTTTTGGATGCACACTATTTTTTTTAGTTTTTATTGCTGATTTTGGTTCGTGACGTGTGATTTGGGTAGTTGGGTGCGTTGCAATAACCGCTTTTAAAACAATGCTTATAATATTTAATGGCCTGTAAATTGGCAAATTTGGAAAAGATTAGACACACGCATAGACAGCAACCTTCTGATGTGAGTACAGAGCAGGAACAATAATCTATTTGTCACTCTTTTCTGTATTCAGACACATTAGTCAAATTCCCATTACTTGTTTTTATAAGGGTATTGGAAAAGGAAATTATATGCTTATTTGATTTATTTATTTAACATATTTATTTGATCTGTTTGCAGACAGACTGAGAATTTAGTTACAGTGCTTCAACCCTGCCTGGATGGGGCAAAAAAGTAAAGTCATTATCAATCCTGCTGTACATTAGCTTTTTTTCTTCCATTGTTCCTTTGAAACCATTGTAGGTGCAAAGGCATGTTTCCTTATCACCTGTAAATCAATTGAGGTTGGTGTGTGTGTTTTTTTTTTTTTTATGTGATTGTAAAGGGTGAGAAATCTTGTAACCTCAGGTCACAGGCCTTAAAAGACCTACACATTTGTCTTTTGGAAAAGCTGTGAACAGAGCTGCCTTGGAAACATCTGACTTTGCTTTCTCAAAGGGTCTTTCTTGCATAGAAGAGATCTTAATTTATGGTGTGTCGATTCCTGGTGCAGTGACAATCACTCTAGTCAGCTGGGATCTGCTATGCTATGTTTATCAACTGGTTTATTAGTGGAATGTTTACAATGTTTTATCCACAACTCCAGCCAAATATTGGCAACACTGGTTCTTGCACTATGCCAGTGGATTATAGCAGCGGTTGGCAAAAGATAGTAGGATTACAACTACCATAATGCTTTGACGGCATAAATCCACAAAGCCAGATGTCAACTTTTTTGGGAACACCTAGTCCTAGTCTATAGCTAAAAAAAATCCTTGTTCATAAACAGGGAAGAAATCTCATTTGACCAGCTATACCAGTGATGGCGAACCTTTTTGAGCCCGAGTGCCCAAACCGCAATACATGCCAACTTTTTTTTCTCCTTAAAGTGCCAACACGGCAATTAAACCCAAATACTGAGGTTTAAGTTTAGAAAAAACAACTCGTACTGTTGTCCGAACTAATAACTTTTGTTTTAAAAAGAACACAGAGCGTTCAATGATACACATTTTAAATAATGATATAATTAGATAAAATTAAGCTTGTATTTATTAGTATCTCCAACAAATGCAATACATACACACAGACTGCTGAATACATACACACAGTCTGCTCAATATACACACACACACACACACACACACACACACAAGACTGCTGAATACAGACTGATGAATACACACACACAGTCTGCTGAATACACATACAGACAGACTGCTGAGTACACACACACACACTGACTGCTGAGTACACACACACAGACTGCTGAGTACACACACACAGACTGCTGAGTACACACACACAGACTGCTGAGTACACACACACAGACTGCTGAGTACACGCACACACAGACTGCTGAGTACAGACTTCGCACACTTGCTGAGCGCACACTGACTGCTGAGTAGTGACTGCTGATGCGCACAGACTGCCGAGTGCGCCGCGCTTCACAGACTGCTTTAGTGCGCGCGCACACAGACTGCTGGTAGTGCCGCATGCGCACACAGACTGCTGAGTGCGCCGCTACACTGACTGCTGAAGCGCCTTGCGCCGCGCGCACAGACTGCTGAAGCGCTGCGCACACAGACTGCTGGCGCCGCGCCGCGCCACACTGACTGCTGCTTGGCGCGCATACGCGACTGCTTTCGCGTATACGCCCGCACTGACTGCGGCGCCGCGCCGCATACACTGACTGCTCTTGTACGCCGCGCCTGCACCTGCGGCACCGCTGCTGGCGCCGCGCCGCATACACTGACGCTATAGCGGCGCCGCATACATCACACTGACTGCTAACGCGCCGCATACACTGACGCGCCGCGCCGCATACACACTGACGCTGCTGCGCGCGCCTGTACACTTTGACTGCTCTTGGCGCAGCACACTGACTGCTTTCTTGGCGCCTTACGCACACTGACTGCTTTCGCGGCGCCGCGCCGCATATTACCCACTGACTTTACTTCGCGGCGCCGCGCCGCACACACTGACGCTTTGCTTTCTTGGCGCGCGCCGCGCCGCACTGACTTTACTTTCTTGGCGCTTGCGCCGCATCACACTGACTGCTCGCGTTACCGCGCCGCACACGACTGCTGCGTTACCGCCGCATACGCTTTTGCGAGCTGCTTTCATTTCGCATAGCATACGCACACTGACTGCTGGCATTACCGCGCCGCCGCGCTTACGCGACTGCTAAGTACCGCGCGCCGCAGCACACTTATTTTACTTTCGCGCCGCGCCGCGCACACTGACTTTGCTTTCGCATTACCGCGCCGCGCTGCATACACTGACTGCTGCGTACCGCGCGCATACGCACGCGGCTGCTGCGTACCGCGCGCGCCCAGCACGCGACTGCTTTCGCATTACCGCGCTGCATACGCACATGACTGCTTTCGCGTACACGCCGCGCCGCGCGACGCTGCGTGCGCTATGCGCGCACTGACTGCTCGCGTACGCGCGCCGCCGCACACTGACTGCTGGCATTACTGCCTTGCGCCGCATACACTGACTTTGCTTTCGTACCGCATACGCCCACTGACTGCTAGCATTACTGCGCCGCGCCGCATGCACTGACTGCTTTCGCGTTACTGCCTTGCCCTTACATACACTGACTGCTTTCAGGCTGCCTTTTTACACACTGCACATTGGTGGGGGTGCTGTGTATGTGAGGGTGTTGTAATGTGTGTGCTGTATCGCTGTAAAGTGCTGGAGTAGGGTACTTTGTGTGTGAGGGGTGGGGGTGCAATGATAGTGAGGGGTAGGGGTACTGTGTGGGGGTAGAAATTACTGTGTGTGAGGGGTAGGAATACTGTGTGTGAGGGGGTAGAATTTTACTGTGTGTGAGGGGTAGGAATTACTGTGTGTGTGAGGGGGTAGGGTACTGTGTGTGAGGGTAGGGGTACTGTGTGTGAGGGGTAGGGGTACTGTGTGTGAGGGGTAGGGGTACTGTGTGTGAGGGGTAGGGGAGTACTGTGTGTGAGGGGTAGGGAATACTCTTGGGGGGCCATGGGAGAATGAGGGGTACTGTGTGTGGGGGTAGGGGTGGTACTGTGTGTGGGGGGTAGGGTACTGTGTGTGTGTGTGGGGGTGGTGGGGGTACTGCTGGGTAGGGTTAGGGTACTGTGTGTGGGGGTAGGGGTACTGCTGGGGTGGTAAGGGTGCTGTGTGTCAGTATACCCCCCTCTCCTTCTTACCTTTAATGAAGTGGGTGGGGGGGGGGGAGAAACACATCCCTGGTGGTCCGGTGGTGGTAAGCACTGCAGGGGGAGGGATCTGTGATGCAGCTCCCCTCCTGCGCAATACTGTGTGGAGCGTTGCCATGGTAACGTGCGGCAATGCTCCACACAGCATCGTGCGGGAGGACAGGGGAGCTGCTTCCTAGAGCCCTCCCCCTGCCTCCCGGCCCGGAAGCAGAGTAGGCGCCTGCCGTTTCTGGCAGGCAGGTGCCTACTCTGCATTGATGGCGAACCTGTGGCCGCGTGCCCACAGAAAGGGCCCGGCGTGCCACCTGTGGCCCGCGTGCCATAGGTTCGCCATCACTGAGCTATACCATGACCATACAGAAATAGATTTGCATCTTCACCACTGCAATGAGCTGTTGTGCTTACACTACTGCCTAATGCCACTTCTAGTGTTGCTCAAACACCAACTAGAGAGACTTCCTAGGTTTGGTCCTGCAAAGAGTACAGGACCCACGTGCAGCATCTCTACGCTCTACATGGAGATCTCTCTTTAAATGAAGTGTTTAGGTGGGCTGTACAGCTCACATGTGGGTAGGTGTGGCTAGGGCCTCATGGTTGGCCTCCTACACAAATGACCATGCAGAGAGCACTTCTGAAGCGCTCTCTGCCAGGTCCTATTGCTTTCTGCACAGGGAGAACATGCTCTGCCCCAGTGGGGTTCCTTTGAGTCTCCAAGTGTGGATGCCACAGAACTAAATTGGGGTTATCCCACCAAAAGCAGGACTGTTGGGATATGTCTGAATTTAGTCTATGCTTTCTCTTCTTTTTATTGAAATGCTGTATTATCTAGAGGGAGAGTTATGAAGTAAAGTCACAATATCTTTCCACAAGTGCTCATACTTGTTCAATTACGCACCTATTTTATTTATTTGATTTCGCAGCATGCAAGGGGTTAAGTGATGAGGTAGGACTTGGTAAAATTGTTGAAAAAAATAAATAATGAATGTTTCTTCTTTTGATTGCCAAGAGATTGTCTGAAAATGCAACAATTAATTTTAGATGGAGATCATTTTGAACTGGTCTTTCTTGTCTACAGAATAATAATGTTTTGACTCCAACCTACCTGTTGTTTTAGGCTAAAATGTATTCTGCTGGTGTGGATAAACAAGACGGATTATCACACTATGGAAGCCTGAAAATCTTGCCTTTGCATTCTCCGTTCACAGGTGTGTTTGTGGGGATGATTGCCTCCTCACGTAAAGTGATTTTATTCTTAACCCCTTGCAGACAAAAGATGTTATGTGCAGTCCTGCTATACTGTGGAAAATCTTGCTTATGTGACAGTAGCTCTGCAGAGCCCTAAGGTAACTTATTAAGACAGTCTTTTATAGTGCCTTTAATTACCGGACTATTTTGACTACAGAGGCTGTCAATGATACTTAATTGGTTTATGGTTTAGCTCAACACTTTTTTTTTTTCCCTTAACCAATTGTATAATGGTGTAAATATATTTTTCTTCAATTTCAAATCTCTATGAAGTCAGAGATGCTTGTAAAGACTTCCAGTCGTACTTACTGATCCTGACTTCGTAGTTCTTTGGGTGAAGATCTGTTAATAATGGGTTACCTCAACTACCATGACCACTTCTGCTTTTAAAAGTGGCCGTGGTAGTAGCAGTCTGTATGTGCAGCGTTTCTGCTAGAAACACTGCACTTTGAGATATTTGCATGTTTGTGCTAGGGGCTAATTGCGCCCCAGGCACATGTGACTTAGGCAACCCAGATCTCTTTACTGGGTTGCCTAATGTTAAATGTGTGTTAATTATGATTGTCATCAGCATGCACAGCGCACTTACAGCTGGCATAATGAGCTTTTCCCTTGTAGGCAGTGTCTGCATGTGGAAGCGTGTATGTCCCCTCCATCTCTTTAAAGCCTTCTCTGCTGTCCCTGCCTCCCTATAACATTAAAATTAGGGTTGTTTTTTTTTTTTTTTTTTTTTTAATAGCTGACCCCTACTCTTTCTTTTTACTGGCTCATAGCACACTCATGTGATCTGAGCTGGTGAAATGGTCATTTGAAATGCTTCTATATGAAGCATTTGATTGGACCTCGCAAGGACATTGATGACGATGAACAGAGCATAGAATTCAGCGAGGGGACCTTTGCCTGGTTTCAGGTAAGTTATTGCTTTTCTGTTTTTTTTTCTTTTTTAAAGATTTTTAATTAAATTTGTGGACAAGTATACATAATAGGGGTGCAATAGGCTTTATGAGTTAAAAAAAAAAAAGAAGCTGTTATTCTTGAATATGCTTCTGGATGGGTGTCTCACTATACCGGTTTTAAGAGGACTCTCTGTATGCTCCAAGCCCTTCATACTCTTTAGATTGCTTGTAGAAGGGCAGATATAAATATAACAGCAATGTGTCCATATTTCATGGAATAAGTAAGTGTTGATGCTGTTTATCAAGGTTTTGGTTGGTCTTGGTGTTGTCAAATCGGTGGCTAAAAACTGTGAGAAACCTATTCTCCAACAGCTATGTGCCCAAGTGTAGCCATCACGAACATATTGAGTATGCAGACATCTTTTGGTTTTCCCACCAACTCTTGTTTGCATATATTCCTGTTTTTGGGCATTGGTGCATTTTAAAATAGAATCTTTTGTTATTCCTCTTATAGATCCTTCCCAACTTCATCCTTCCCACAGAATTCCTGAATTAATGAAGTCCTTGTTGTTCAAAATAATTTGCATATTCAAATGCTGCCCCATCCATCTTTTTTATATAAATATAAACAAATCAGACTTTGGGATTGCTTTTTCTTTCAATATTGTCCTAAGGGGATGGCAAGCAGTATTTATGCTCCTTACGATACTTGCTTTATGTTACGTTACATACATAGCAGAGTTTTCGACTCCCAGAATGCTTTTATTTTGGCTTGTGCCATGTAGAAACCACCCCAAATCTTCTAGGACCAATGATTTTACTGATTCCAAACAAAATGAAAACCTGTATGACCTGACTCTAAAATGTGAGGAAAAATAGCTTGTACCTCATTTGCATACATTTAGTTTCTTTCCTTGCCGAAACCTGCACATTTTCCTCTGAATGAAAGCACACCTAGAATCCTGTCTTTAACAGTCAATTTTCCCACTGTGAGAGACAGCTGGTTTCACATGAAACTTACTGTGATGGGATCACTTCCACTGTCATTACATTTTTCTTTTTCTTTTTTTTTTTTAATTCCTTTTTTTTTTTTCTGTCCATAATGTACATTGGCTTCTGTGACAATAGTAGACGTTAACATTTTAGTTAGCACAATATATAGATGAACTTGATAAAAGATTAAAAGAGGGCAGAGCCCGATATGTGTATTTTGAAGAACTAAATATAGCCTTTCTTTGTGGAGCAATATATCTTATTATGGAAATATTTTTTGTTAGTGACACTTGGCACTGTAAATTAGACCCAAAGCAAATTCAAAACTTGTGTTTGTATGAACTCTCTCCTAGCTATTAATTAAGGCTAATTTAATCCATTTTTTTTTCAAGCCCGTTATATACTATATACATATACTATGAAACATGCATATTCAAGGTACCACTCTAAACTAGCTTGTGCTTAGAATCAGAGTCCCACAGATACATTGATCTTTTAAACTCCAATCATTAATACAACTTATTATAGAATTAGTTTAAATAGATTGTGTGCAAAATGTAAAGGGTAATTTCTACAAGGTGTGAAATCAGTTTGGTACGCTGTTTCTAATACAACCCTCTCAAGTTTATTAGATGTTTGTTGCTTGAACTTTGCTCATGGCTTGTCCTACATCTACTACACTACCTACATTTCAGCAACATCATAAGACAAGTGGCTAGCTGCTGGAGGTTTGTTGGAAGGCCAACACCTGCACCCACTCACTAGTCCATGCAAATGGTGTCAAAGATGGGCTTTCCTTTCAGATGGCAAGAAAATGGGACTAAACTTTTTATTTGCTATGACTAAGGAGGCGGTTTTATCTTCCTGGCTCTCTGATTGTTCAATATTTGATTGTATCTCTCTCAGCCAAATGGCCTCCCATGTTCTCCCCTCCTTTCTACTCAAAACATCCTTCCACTATATGGAATGGTATGCTTCCACTTCATTGAACCCATTACACTACAACAGTATATTCCAGACAGTGCAGCCTTACCAGTTCGGAGTTAAACTCTGGTGCGAAAAAGCAGACGTACTCTCCTCCTTTAAAAAAAAAAAAAAAATAAGTTTTTGGATATTTTTGATTGTAATCTGCTGATGACTGTTCTTGATTATTGTTTAATCTGTAAATTTATATTTCCTGTCCATCATTAAAAACGAATCGTTTAAAATAATTCAAAACAATTCACCTAATTCTCTTTGTTCTGTCATAAATGTGCTATATTTTGTGCATTAATGGAAGCAGAATGGACGTTAAGCTCCATCTTAATACCAGTAGTGGTGAGAAAGTACATTGTACTCTTGTAGATCTATTGTTATGAGTATGTCACTAAGGCTGGGGATTGTACTTGTTCACTAGATTAAAGATGTAATCTACTTGTTTTGTGGGTGAAAAATCCATTGTAAAGTTTTTCTTAAATTCCAATCTGTATTTATAAGTCATGTTGAGAAAAGCAACCTTGCTGCTTGTCCTGCATTTCACTAGCAATGAGAACCATGTTTTTTCTGTCCCTTGTGACATTGGGCTGGCATTACTTTTCATTCTGGTATATTAAAGGGGAACAGTCACACCCCAGGATTTCTAATTTTGTGTTTTAGAAATATTTCTTTCTAAAATGTAAAAAATATAATTAATTGTAGAAAAAAAAATCATCTCTACCATATAACTTTATACACCTTAGCGCCTGTCAGTCATTGCTATGAGATACGTCTTTTGAACTGGACGGGATGTTTCTATTTCTAGTTCTTATTTGCAATGATTGCCTGGATTGAACTGGATGTGATGTATTTTGGTAAATCTTTAATAAAAATTTAAAAGTAAACAAGGTACAGGGTGCAACAGAACCGATTGAGCAGCTTTCTTCAGTATCAACGAGGCACATTTTCATCTCAGTTGAGCTGTGAATAAGCAAAATTTCCTCTACCGGGGTTAAAATTATCCCCTGAATGACTTGTGAAAGACCGCTACATTCCCATAAACTAATGGTGTGGAGTGCCGTATCACAATTTGGAGTGATAGGCACATACTTTAATGAGGAGTAAGGCATGACCATAAATTCTGAGCGTTCTGTCTCAATGTTGGAAAATTTTCTGCAGTCTAGAATGGAAGAGATTGTTGAAGATTAATTGGAGAGTTCTGGTTCCAACAGGATGGGGCTACAGCCCGAAATTCACTCAATGTTTTAAGAGATGTTTCCCGGACGCCTGGTCTCTCTGAGGGGTGATGTGGGGTGGCCGGCACGTGGTCACCAGGTTTTGATCATTTGTGATTTTTTTTCTTTTTCTTTTGGGGATATCTGAAGGAAAATGTGTTCAAACATCTCCCTCACACCCTACCAGAGCTAAGGGAGCAGATTATTGAAGAAGTTACCACCATACCCTGCGATATGTGTGAACAAGCTGTACAAAACTAAAGAGATCATCTCCAACAGTGTGTTGCTGCTAATGGCAGCCTTCTCGAGGACATTATTTTCTAAAATTAATGAATATTAAATGTTTTTTCAGCTGAATTAGGAAATAAAGTTTTTCTCTACATACCGCAGTTAATTTTTTATAACCCCTCAACACTGCTTAGTCGGTTCTGCTAAACCCTGTATCATTATGGTGGGAGGGTTAAGCAAATTATAGGTTATCTACAGTTTTTGTTTGTGTTTTTTCTTTTCTTTTTTAATGGTGTAATAGACAGAAAAGTAACATTTCCCCTTTAATGCAATACACTTCTTAATAAGCAGTGTGAATTTTTTCCATATTCGTTTCAGGCTAAGTTTCCACACCAAGGAGCATATCGGTTCTGGCACAGAAAAGAGCTTTCCCAGTTTCCGTTAACCAGCTTGTTATCGCACTGGGTGAAGAGATTATGTATGCCTCTGAATAAGTGGACTATGCTGTCAGGTTATAGAAAGCCTAGCCATTATCACTCTGAAACAAACAGGGTGCATTGTGCATTGTTTTTGTTATCTGTGCTGTAGATGGGGTTTTCTACAAATTGATACTAGCACAAGAGACATCCTGTACCAGTTAGATCAGATGTGCTGAGTTCAGTGCTACTGTAGAGTGCAAGGGCATTCTTTCAGTGATCAGTGCTAGCCAAACAAAACCTTTGTTTACTTACTCCCGTCCCATTCAATTGCTGGATTGAAATAAGTTATTTAGATGTTCTTTGTTAATAAATACATTGGAACTGGATCATATACAACATGCGGCTGAACTTGTTAAGTTCTACCTTCGTCATTTTTGGCATTGGCGTACAGCTTATCTGTTCTACGTCTTACCTCTAGCTTCTCACACATACCTTGCGTTACATTTGTTTGATTGATGTGGTATTTATATATTTTTCTTGCATCAAATTTTGAATCGTATCCATTCCGTATATATGTGAGGTTATTGTACACCCAAATAGCTATAAATAAATAAATAATTAGCTATGGTTGGTGAGATTTAAAATAAAAAATTAAAAATATTGCTGCTTTTTTATTTGCATGTGTAAATGTGTATTAACTCCCAAAGTGTTGCATGCAAGGTGCATACTTGTGTGCAGCAATTTTAATGGAATGCCAAGCACACATGTTCTCGTAAGCAATATCCCTGACTGTGCCTGAGGCATCATGAGTTGGCAACGTCACCCAAAATGTGGAAGTGCAGCAGACATATGTTTTTACTTACTTCCACTTCATTATTCACTCCTTTAAAAATGCTTAAATGGAGAAATAAGTTTGTTTTAACACTCTTTGTTGTCTACTTTGCTTTAAGTTGAGGCACTAGCTGTGGTATATCCGGCGTTTACAGTCCTGATAGTAGGTTAATATACTATATATAATGTATTTGTTTATATTAGAGGCTGAATGAATGTAACTGTTATGGTCCAGCTGCCATGGAAACTAATGGCATTTCTGTCTATGCATAAAGCCTTTTCTTTGTGGATATGGGTGCTTGGGTAAATGCTGGATTTCTTTCAATGTTGTTAAATTTTTCAAATTTGCGAGAGAATGCTTGCAATGCACAGTTTGTTACATGTGTAGCACAGTCTGCCCTGTTGGGATACCCAATGATTTTGGCAAGCACTGCCAGGAAGTCCATATTTGGCCATAATGTCTTGGCTATAAAAACAGCACTTAGTACCCTCCTTTGTCGGGGGTTGGGACGACTTTCTACTTGACAGTGGCTAGTGACAAGTGGGAAGTTTTGAGGTGTGATATAAAGCAGGGCTCACTTTTCCACTCCCAACTACCCATTGGCAAGTAAAAATTTAGCATTGGTGATTGTGACATGAACACTTCAGACTTGCAGTAGCTGGTAATTTAGTGCCAACATATTCCACAACACTTTAATAGTATAGCATGAGTCAAACCAGCTGGTTATAAACTGCAAACCTATATCCCTCATGACAAGTTCAATTAAAGAAGTACTGTTTTTGGCTAGAGTAACTCTAACTATTCTGATCCTAACACCCCCAAAAAGAAGAAGAAAAAAAAACCATGCAGCTAAAACCCCCATTCATTCCACTGCTTCCTCAACTCAATCCCTTGGCTGATGTCACTCTCCCTTTCTGGAGCAATGTCGGGGAGGACATGGGTAAAATTGCCACCATGGCTATCTGTCGCCATCATGCTATGCTTGCTGTCAACACATGCCAAATATTAACAGAACTGACATTAACCAACCCAGAACTCTTGTTCCCGGGTGGCTAATGATGCCCCAGAGTTAATCTCCGTATTTAAAGTATTTCATATTGAAATGCTGGACATGGAGACTCTATGCACCATGACTACTTTAAATCACTGAAGTGGTCATGGTGTTTGGAGGAACCGTTTAATGTTCTGGCCAAAGGAACTCCCATCAGTTTAGTGGTTATATTACTACATCGGTACATAGTCTTTTACATTTTTTAACAAGACTGCAAACACTCCGTTTGTTCCTGTTTCTGTGATCTGTGATTTCATGATACATTTTTAGTTTGCCACTATGGGAAGCAGTGGTTTGTTTTCCTGTGTTTGGGATATTTCTTGTACATGCAGAAAAAGGGAAAAAAAAGAAGCTGAAACTCAGATCAGGCTTCACTTTGAAACTGCAGTCAAAATAAACCACAGTGAACACTGAACATGATTTGCAAATGCAAGTAGCACTTTGCATGGTTTGGAAGCGAATTAGATTGTTTACATTGGACCTTGCCAATCAATTGTGTTACTACCCTTAGTTATTCACTGTAGATCTGTCTGTGTTACAGAGATATAGCTTATTTATATGCTAGAATTTCAGGTTAGTGTAAAAATAAATAAATAAAAATAATGTAAACCATGATTTAAAAAAATATATATACATATTTTATTCCTGCCCAGATTGAATAAGCAGAATTGCACTTCCTCAACAACTCGTGCAAACAGAATTGTAGACATTTGAAAACAATATTATGGCATCTCTAACACTGCACTTTTTTTTTTTTTTTTTGTTAAATAGGGTTGAAGATAACCGTTAAACTACACATTTGTATAAAAGAAAAAGATAACATGGTTAACATCGGGCTGAGCAATTGTGTCTAGGGAGAGAGATTTACGCCGTCATCAGTATACTAAAAAGATTATAGTGCTGTGATGGGTGGCTAAATTAAAGTATATGTGTTCAGGCTAGGCACACATGTTGTACAGAGGTCCTAAGGTTAGCATGTATGTTATTACAGCACTCCTGACATATATGGAAAGTTAATTATAATTATATCTAAGGTGGCACTGCGTTTAAAAACAGTGAGAGAAAAACCTGCTGCAAAAACTCAGCTCCAGTAGGTTAAGATTAAGTGAGTGTAGTTATTACAAAGAAAACTATAGAGCTGGGTGTTACAGTAAAAGGTAAATCAAATATGAAATAACAGCAAAGTTATGAAAGTATGGAAGCATGGGTCCCCGTTTTTCACTACAATATAATTACTACTATGGTTGGCATAGAGATCACGGAGTATAGGCATTGAAATCATAAAGTGTAAGGCAACAGGCCAAAATCAAAATAAAACTATCTTGAGTGTAGATTTGTTAGCCTCCATCATTTATGAGTCCCCTTTTATCTGATCCCTAATGGTGGTAAGCTTCCAGAATTTGTTGCTGGGTCATTGTTGTCCTGCCGTCCCAGCCAGGGTATGTGCGGTCTTCTGTGTAAGGGGTCCTCTCTCTGCTTTGCCCGAAGGGTATGTTGATCAGCAGCCACGCGGCCTGGGATTTTCCTCTTCTGTGCTACATGAGAGCGGGTCCGATGGCTCTCTGCATGTCGGGGAGCCCCCCATGTGCCCGTTTTGTTGCTTGGGGGTCTAGGACAAGGTTGGGTGTTCGTTGTAGCCTTTAGCCTATCTGATTCGGCACGGATGTATTGTCGGTGATAGATGCGTCTCCAGAACAGTTGGCAGAGAGCAGCAAAATGCTCTTCAAAACGCTTCCTCCATGTCTTGAGTACTATACAGTCCTGAGGATGAGGAGCAGCAGCCATTTTAGGTTCGCCACGAGTTGCCCCAGCGGGGACCGGGATAACCCCGCCGTTCCAAAGGGGGAGGGAGCAGGGCGACAGACAAGCCACAGATCACAGCCGGCCCCGTTTTCAGAGATCGTCCGCCTCCACCGTTCACCAGGCCGCTAATCATACTAGGCCTCGTGTTCGGACAGCGGATTTCCACAATGCATATCAAGATAAAGGACTCCCTCGAGTGCCCACTCGTTTTAGTAGTGTTCCACCATCTGCTCCAGGCTGAGTGTTAGTCAATTTTAGTAGTGAGAGTGCAGGAGCTGGTCAAAACATGCTTTTTATATCTGTGTACAAGCACTGATACAATTACAAAGCAGAAATTGCATTCATTATAAGGCTTTATTTGGGAATTTGTAAATCGATGAGTTTTGCTATTTTGGGAATTCATAAAGAAGAAAGGATATTGTATGGATTCTTTTGCTGTGTTTATTAAAAACAAAACAAAAGATTTTCTCTTGATTTTTGTATCTGTCAGTAGAGATCTCGCATCACACCTAGAGCCTCTTTTCGTGCCCTGTAGTTAAAGCTTTTTGAGCTACAAAAAAAATATTATATTTTTTTACTTTTTAAACAGTGTATTTGCTTTATACAAGTATTTTTGTACAGGAACAATGGCAGATTTGCTATCATTCACAGTTTGACATTTTGAAAACAAGATCTGCTATATCTTTTAAAAATGTATCTCCATTAAGCTAACTTATTTACTCTATTCTACGTTTTTATTATTATTTTGCAGTTAGTGAGATGTCACGAGTTCTGTTGTTTTGGCCTGGGATAACTTGCCCTTTTAGTTCATATTGTTAAATGGTGCTTAAGACGCAACTGATCAGTTTCTTGTCAAATATTGTCCGCTTGGTCGTAAGACTGTGGCACAATACCAACCCCATTCCACCCCAAGTGTCCAACAAAATGATCTATAGACATGCAGCTTGCACGTTAGCCCTCTGGAACCTCGAGTAATTGGTATGTTCCTTTAATATATTTTCAACACAAGCTGTTATAAATAATACAATGTTTCTAGCAGGTTTGGCATTGAGAAAGTACATCATATTTTCTCAATTTTATTACAATTTCAACATTTTTGTCCAAATAATTAACAAGTAAGTGAATGTAAAGCATGCTTTGTGTGTGCACTTTGGCTCTTGCAAGTCTGTTTTTGTTGTAAATACCGCACACAGACTGCTCTGTAGCATACCGGAAGGTCCTGTGGTTTCAGTCTCTCGAAATGTGCAGAAACCAAACTTAAAGTGAACTTTCTAAGCTTGTGCAAGAAAATATGACCAACTCAACGTCTGAAAATGTATTTTCATTTTCAATTATGACTATTTAACCAAATGTAGAGATCTTGTTGTTTTATGTATGAGTGTTCTATATTACAAGGTACTGGAAGCCTAAAATGGTTGCCTTCCCAAATAAATGAAATGTCGCACCTTAGAGCTGAACCCCTGTTCACTCATTACACAGGAAATGAGGTTTCTAATCCATCTGATTATTAATGCAAAAAACGAATATCAATGTAGTGTTTGGAGCTACTTGGTGAAATAGACTGCAGATATGGAAATTAAAATGATCAGACAACTGGGGTAATTTCTTATTGAGCATTTAAATTTATGATGTTATGTGACATGCCAGTTCAATGGAAGGAGTCACAGCAGCTCATTCAATTAATAAAACTAAGTGTAAATCCGTTGTGAGTGAAAGTCTGGAAGGTTCTCTTCATTGAGCCAATAAATTGTTTTTTGTTTTTCTTCCCCCATATACAAGTTATTTGGCATGTGTGCTACAGGTTTCTCTATTTTTATTTGTACTAGGAAAACGCTTCACATCTTAATATGACCATAAATGATAATGAACTGCGCTAAAAAAAATTATATCTAAACTGTGTTCCCAGGTTCAAGGTCGTAGAACAGCACACGATATAATCACAAGCAGTTGATAGTATAATAGGACTACCATTGCATTACTTCTTGTTCTGAAAGATTAGGAACGTGTAGTTATTGTGCAGTTTTGTGTAAGCCCCCCAACCTGCACATCATGCAAATAAAGTATTTTATTACATGATAGATTCTTTCACTTCATTAAACAATAAAGACACAAAGCCAAACATTGTCCATGCTCTATAACACTTCTTCTTTTTCAGAGACATATTAAACATTGTCAATTGTATGGTGTTTTTTTATTTTCTTGCACAAGTTGTTTTACAAGTGAAATACCTAGCTTTTTTTTTTTTTTTCTTCAAGTTTGTGAAAGTATCCATTCAACGTTACTTCTATTTTTACTTATTAAAAGTAATGAGTGTCATTAAAGTCTAAAGTATGAGACGTAAAGAAAAAAAGGGAATAGAGCGTAATATGAAAAAGAGAATAAAATAGAAAGTAATGCCAGAAGTTGCAAAAATCTGAATTTCTGGGTGCAATGGATCCAGAATATATGGGATTTATATCAGAATAGAGGTCCATTTAGATCAGGCCAATCACCATCTCTCCACTCTGAACATCAGAACAGTAAGGGAATTGCATATGAATATTTCTGTTCAAGTCAGTGGATTTGACCACTGGGGGGCAGAGTTGTCGTATGCTGTGCCTGCTGTCTTTGCTCCCCAAAACCACTGATTTGTAAGGGGACTACAGAATAGTGTGTGTTTTCCCTATCTGCACAACAAACAGAAATGCCTTCGGATAAACCATCAGGGTTCCTTTAATCGGTGATTAATTCTGAGGCCAGTCATTGCAGCAGGAACATTTCTAATTTTCTATGATCTAATTGGTGATGTCCATTTCCTTTCAAAGCTCTAATGCAACTGCGTAACTAAATAAAGTGCCTACAGAGGAAGTTATTTTGTAGCCCTGGCTTCTTTGTATGTGTGTCCTGTGCTTTTTCTAATTGCAGCTGCTTAACAGTCCTTCAAATGACATCCACATAAAATTGTATGTGTTTGAGTATATGTATATACACTTTTTTTATGTGGCACATTAAATGTTTAATCCTAACTGCCATAAATAAGTGGTTGTCTTTGAAGTGACTAAACCACTTTAGCAAAACCATTTCTTTATGATTGAGTAATTTAAATGAATGCAAAAATGAATGCAAAGGAACTGATCTATGTTGCAGACAAATCTGTACATATACCTGTTAACTCTGCAATATCACAGGCACCAGTTGTGATTTATCCAATACTGATTCAATTCTAAGGGACTAATAAAACCTCACAAATCATGTCTGTAAAGTATTCCAATCTCATTTTCCTATTGCCTATTGCTTTGAATGGTACAATTAGTACAAAAAAAAATGTGTATATCATCCTAGTTGATCAAACTGTCATTTTGGACTTGTTTTGATTATTATTAAAATATCTTTCATAGAAATACAGCCAGTGCAAAGAACTAAATATAATTTTGGAAAGGTGGTCCCCTCTCTGGGTCTAGCATGTGGTTGCAAACCACTGAAATCATAGAAGCTTCCATTTCAGTGATTCCTATCATTTACATTTTTTCTGTTGTCCCCTTTCCTCCAGAAAATCAGGACTGTTTACATCAGGTAGTGCACGAACGACTTGGGGACCTTCTTCGTGTCCTGAAAGGAGTGATAAGCAAACACCATACCTTGAATTCTGTTGATATTCTAGGAGCCGCTGGAACAGTGATTGCGAAAGTTAAAGGTGAGTAACATTCTGTTCATTTGCAGAAATAACTCTGAGTTGCTTGGATGACAGCAATTATGACTCGCATTTCCCAATTGCTAAATTTTTTCCTGTGTTTTTCTGCCATCTGTGAATGACTAAAAATGCAGTGTTTCTTTTCAATGCTAGGTTTTTTTTATGTCTAACAAAACGTGTTTTATTCCCACTTCTGTGAAAGGCTTCTTTTTAAATTATGAATTTTTAAGGGAAAATGCACCATAACTTTTCTTTTTTTTTTTTTGTACCAGATTTTCGTTAGCTCCTGCTCATTGTCTGCTTGCTGATTTTCAACAGCAAATTGTCATGTTATACATCCAGGGCCGTCTTTAACGCAGGGCAAACGGGGCAGCTGCCCCGGGCCCTGTCCCAGCTGGGGGCCCTGTGTCAGCAGGGGCCCGGTCGGGCTCTGTGGCGCTTTAACAGCGCGACCGGGCCCCTGCTTTTCGGCAGCACTGGGAGGAAGTGACAGCCGCGCGTCACTTCCTCCCACAGAAACTAGAGCCGCGCGGGAGGAAGGAGATGTTCCGAAGGGGGCCAGGCCGGGAGAGCTTAACTCCCAGCCACCCCAGCCAGCCCACTGGACCCCAGGGAAGCCACCCTGCAGGAAAAGGTAAGAAACTGGAGGGTGGTGATCAAATTTTGCATGAGTGTCTGTGTGTGTGTGTGAGAGTATGTATGTATGTCTGTCTGTCAGTGTGTCAGTATGTCTGTGTGTGTGTGTGTGAGAGTCGGTCAGTGTCTGTGTGGTTCAGTAAGTCTGTGTGTATGTGTGTTTCAGTATGGCTGTCTGTGAGTGTCAAAATGTCTGTATGTGTGTACGTGTATGTGTGTTTCAGTATGTCTGTCTGTGTGTATGTGTGCCATAATGTCTGTATGTCTGTCAGTGTGTCAGTATGTCTATGTGTGAGTCTGTCAGTGTCCATGTGGTTCTGTATGTCTGTGTGTATGTGAAATGAAAAGTGTGTTTCAGTATGGCTGTCTGTGTGTGTCTCTGTGTCAGTACGTCTGTCAGAATGTGCCTTTGTATCTGTATGTTGTCCGTTTGTGTTTGTGTGTGTATCTATATATAGTTAGTGTGTATCTGTATGTGTCCGTGTTTGTAAATGTATATCTGCATGTGTGTCAGGTTGTGTATCTGTGTGTGTGTCGGTGGATCTATATGTAGTCAGTGTGTGTACCTTTGTATCTGCATGTATCAGTGTTTGTATCTGTGTATCTGCATGTTTGTCAGGTTGTGTATCTGTGTTTGTGTCTATCTGTGTGTCAGTGTTCTATATGTAGTCTGTGTGTATCTGTATGTTCTTGTGTGTATCTATATTCGGTCAGTGTGTATCTGCATCTGTGTCAGGTTTTGTATTTGTGTGTATCTATATGTAGTCAGGGGGCCCAAGTTAATGCTTGCCCAGGGTCCAATCAGAATTAAAGACGGCCCTGCATACATCCTGTAATTTTGTGGTTGTTTTAGCAGTTGGACACACTTGAAATAGCTGAGACAGACACATAAAGCATAATTTTTTTCAGCGAGATTAAAGGTGAATGGCAGACGTTTCTTTGTGACACATGGAGAGAAGGTGTTTGTAGCTCTTGACTTTATCACAAGTTGTTTGTACTGTCTTGTTAGAGTGAAGATAAGCATGTCCCACGTCAGATGAAATTACACTATGTTCATGCTAAGTGAAGGCATTGCTGCTATAAAGTCTAAATTCTCAACAATCTGTTTATTTTTTAAACCCCAAATAATGATTGTGAGGTGCTATTTGTATTGTGGTTATTATGTTTTATCTAAAGGGTGCTGTTGCTTTAGTGGAAAACAAAATTCCAGTTCAGTTAATTGTCCAACACTTTTGCATTTTGTTTTGGTCTTTCATTTTAAATTTCAATTTTCTGTTCACATTAATTCACAGCATAGTGAGTAAAATCTATTCATTTGTGTGGCCGTCGCCCGGTATATTTTCTTAATACGACAGACAGGTTGTTGCTCTATGATTGGTAATTAAGTTTCAGAAAATGGATAGGATTCTGGCCAGAATTTATGATCAGATTTAGATATGTGATCTCAAGTGCAAGTTTTTAGAACTTAATAGTGATTGTGTAAATTTGGAATTGCTGAGATTTAAAAAAAAAAAAAAAAAAGTAGACCAATTTTAACAATTTACCAAAGAGTGGCTGCAGGTCTCCTAACTCCATACCTTCTGCAACACACTGTAGTGGTTATAGAACTTACAGTGCCCATTTAAATTAAAGTGCAGTGTTTGGTTTTTAATGGGGTTACTCCAAATACCATGACCACTTCAGTGATTTGAAGTAGTCATGGTGCCTAAAGTCTCTATGTGCAGAAATGAAATGCTGCACATGCAGAGTTTAACTACACCGCTGCTGGAAGTGTAACTCTACCTGTAGCAATGCCACATTTGCCATGTCGTCATTGGGGGCAGGACTTCAGGCTGCTGGGGACTAAGCATCTTTGCTAAACAGTGAGTAATTGGTTTAGGACTGATGTAGATTTTGTTGCCTCTGGACTTCAAGCACCATAACCACTTTGATCATTAGAAGTGGCTATGGCGCCTACAGTGGCTCTTTAATAGGTTCATGTAATAATCAGTTTGTCATTCTTGTAATAAATATTTTATCACAAGTTCCAAAATAAAATTTTGAAAAAGTCTTTAAAGTGGCACTCGATGCTGGGATTGGGCTGTTCTGCAATAAATTGCACATGAAAATGCTACATTTGCAGTGTGCTCTTTCCAGATTAGGAATGGAACATGCCCTCCGATCACAGGACCCACAGCAGTGATGTCACCATCAGTTTCTGCACATCTTGCCCTATATTGACAGTTGGTGTAAATTAGTAGTATATGCATACTTGGTAGTTCTGTGTTTGTTTCCTGCTTCAAACCTTTTTTGTTTGTAAACAAAGTATTACTGCTTTTTTATGATTATTTTTTTAATTTTAATATTGTAAGTGGTGCAATAGCTGATAGTAAGAGGCATTTCTCATTCTGTGTATTGAGGCTCTCTGGCCATTGTTGCTTGTACCCATTGTGTACAGCCAGGATGTCCTGGGGAAAGAGTGTGTATTTTAAAGTGCACCACATAAGCTTTGCAGCATAAGATATAAAGGAGGGTGTACAAACACTGTCCAAGCCATCTTGCATGCATTTAAAAAAAATGTATACACAGCCTGAAAAGGAAGACGAGTGCTTTGTGCTATGACGGTGCTGCATTCAGATTTAACTTAGGACCTCTCCATTAGCGCTCTTTCCAAATGTAATGTTTTTCCCTGACACTCAGCAGTTCAAAGGCCTAACACAACTGTGACGACAAAACCTTCCTGCAACAGGAAAAACTATTCAGGGCAGATAAATTCTTCATTTCAGAGGAGGATTTCTCTTTAGCTATTCTATTCCTCCCAGTCTTCTTGAGGGAAGGGCACTAGCATTTTACAAAGCGATTTTCCCCTCTTAATTTGACGCTGTAATTAAAATTTTTCCTTTGAATAATTACGTTTTGAAAATTGATACAAAGTTTTTAGACCTGGTATGAATATTTTATTTGTGTTATACATCTACAAACTGATCTGTCTTTCATCTAACCTCCGTTACAAGAATTTGTGTCATGGATGTGAGCTTGGTGTAGGTAAGCCCAAAGACTTTTTAATTGTATGTACGGTTTTATTGTTAGCTGTTTTACAGCTTGTTCTGGTTAATATATGTGTTCGCTTTTTTTTTTGTTCATTTCACTATTTGATATTTTTGAGATTTTCTATATTCTTTAAGTATAATGGTTGTGTATAATGTATTTTTCTGTGTGTGTGAGATAGACCGCTCCTTTAAGAACGTTTATTGAATGTATATTAGACAAAGTTGTGTACGTGTTTTAAAGCATTGTAAGCAGCAGTTATTTCCAGACGTAAATCATGCTTTCTAGATAAAACTGCACATTCTTGTGAACTGACTACATCCTTTCAGTAAAGGCTCTGTGGGAATAAGGGCATACACTCTCTCCTGTAATCTGTGACTGACTCTTATACCAGTCGCAGAAGCATGTTTAAACCAGAAAATAACTCTGTGCCTTAGCCATGTCAGAGAAGAAATTGTTAGTTTGGAAGCCCTGTACTAATGTATGAGCTACTGATAAGTGTCACTTTGTAGGATTTTCTTCTGCACTGGGAGAGTAATAGTTAGTACTGACTAGCAAGCAGCATTACATGAAATGGTTCTCGGTGCAGAAATATCTTTTACATTTGTTCTTTTTAAACATGGCCATGATGTAAAAAACAAGATATTGTTTAAGTTTCTGGATCTGGAGTTACTATGTCCTGCCATCTTTGTTTTTTTTTTTGTTTGTTTTTTACAGTACAAATTTAGTATCATTCACAAGGCTTCCACAGGTTTGCACAAGTTCGAGCAGATGGCAGTTTGTATTTACGAGGATAAATATGCTTTTGGGTCGACATAGAGCACTCTGGCATCCATAGCTCATGTCCCTTGTGGGATCTACCAATAGTAAAAAGAAAAATAATGCAATAAAATACATATTCTTTCAATGGTACAGAACTATTCCTGGTCTTGAAGGATTCCATGCCATCAACAAATGTAGTGGTATATTTGGGCACCAATTTTAACATGGCTTCTGTTTTATTCTGTTGGTACCAAACAGAAAGAGAAAGCACACACCCAAATTGAAACAACACTGTAGATGGATTTCAGTTTTAATCTTGCTTATGTGCTGTTAGTATGTGACCACACACTGGTACAATTTCTGATGGTGTTTGTAAAGTGACACTCATAAACCACCAGTATCTGTGGGTAGCATATCTTGGTTTAAAACACTTTCCTTATGGCAGAGGGACGTAAAATGGGGTTAATCACTCTTTTAAGGGTGAATTGAATTATAGGTTACTGGTGTTGAAAGCACAATGTCTCGTCATTATTTGCTCTGGCAATTAAATATTGTTTTCCAATAATCTTTAAGGGTTAGGCCTGTCATAATCCAATCCCACCTCTTCTTGTATGACTCTTGTGCTTGTGAGTCTTTAGGTATATCAGTTAATTTAGGATTATATTGTATTAAGTAGTAATTGAACAGATGCCTGAATATTTTAAATTCAGATCCACATCTGTTGTTACTTAAGCAACGGTAAGTTAGTGATTGGACATTTTGTTTCCTGAATTGGCCAGGTTTCTTATGTGAAGGCAAATTGTGCAGACATACTAATGGTTAAATGTTTACTGCATAATTAGTAGATATTTTAAGAAGTACTCAGCGTAGTAGGAATAGTGGTTATTTTGCATGAAAACTATGGATTTGTATCTTTAGTTTAATCGATCTTGAAACATTCTACTCCGTGTTATTACTGTTTATTTTCCATTAATAGAAACTGTCACTTCACCGGAGATCTCACAAATCAGTAAAACTTTGAAAATGTACATATAACTCGAGATTGTAAGCTCATTGGGCAGGGCCTTCACCTACCTATTGTTCCTCTGTCACTGTGTAATTGTCTCATTTATTGTACATTTTCCCCCCTGTCATAATATTGTAAAGCACTGTGAAATTAGTTGGCGCTATATAAATACCAATAATAACTTTTTTCATGCTCCATTTTACTTTAAATATATATTAATGAATTGGAAAATTACTTTACAGTCCAAGCACAATTCCTGGTAAAATATTTTATAAATAATAAATAAAAAGGAAAATGGAAACATTATTTCTATTATGTATGTTTTCCTCATGCAGACTGCCGGGTGCAACAGAGAGTGCTTATAACAATCATTGATAGAGAGCTAAAATGGAGGCACGCATTCGCAAGATTAAAAGGTGTCCGTTTCTATGTTTAATTTTATTCTCCACACCTATATTTCTTAAATGTGGGTAATAAATATAAGTAACCATAATGTTAAAGATCCTTGGAAGTTCCCCTTTAAATCATCAGACTAGATGGATATTGCATAAAGCAACCAAAGTTCCAGACCGACCAAATGGTCTTTGAAATGTCACTGTTTTATTAGACATGAACCGTTTTGCACCTCACAGGAATGGGGAAAAAAAACCTATGTGGGGAAAAAAACAGCTTTCACACAACTTTAGGCCAGGGATTGTTTGAAAATCTTGAGCAGAAGAACTATACTGAAGGTAGTTCACCGGCTTAGGTTTATAGCGACTACAGTGTTGATGCCATGCTTGATTTTGTTGTCCAGGTTTTCCCTGATACCTCCAAAGTATTTGGCTTCACAGGAGGACCATAGGAATGGAGTAAATTACATCCTCACTGTGTTCACATGCTAATGTGCTGGCAGTAAAGACAACGTGAGATTGCAAGTGCCTCCTGCTTTGGGAAGAACTGATTTGCTTGAGAACAGAGCCAATCAGACAGGAGGCAGTGGGAGTAGGAAGAAATTCATGTGGATGTAGTGCTAGTGCAACATGCACACATCTGGCACAATGATATTAATGCTGGAGAGGTGCCAGTTATTAAATCTCCCAAACTAATGCAATATATAATTTACTTTTTTATTAGATCTATTCATTGCTGAAGAAAGTACTGGCACTTTCAGTGAACCTGACATGTTTACAAATTTCTATATTAATGTGATATAGGCGATCTTAATTGCATTATTTTTGTTAGTTTAGTGATGTCGACACTATAGCACAGGTGCCATAGCAGACACTCAGTGCCTGTCTGCAAGATGGGGCATCAGTCCCAGTGATAAATTCTATATTTGATGCCAAATTATATTGTTATCAAAAGGTAACCTATTGTGCCTTACCAGAGAAAAGCAAAAAAAAAAAAACAGGCCTGAAATAAACAATTAAATATTGCAAATCAAAAGAAAATTGGTAAGTGGGAAACATAGAATTGATAGTGTAATATAATATGGAGAGAATTAGATTCAGGTGTTAGAGGAGGACTAAGGTACAGGAAGTGAACGAAGGGAAATTTAGATGAGTAGAATTGAGGTTGGATTTAAATGAATGTGCACAAAGCAACAAGGTGAAGAAGAGACTGAAATTCGGTACGAGTGCATAAATCAAGTCAGATTTTTAACTGTTCAGTTTTGTTCAAATAAAAATGTAGCACTGCTACCTGTCATCTTAAATTGATGGCAAACCTACATTTACAAGGGGGGGATAGACCAAGTTTTTAGTGAATGAATAACCACAGAATATTTCTGTAGTTAATTAACAGTTGTTTTAAAGATTCCCCATTGTACCACCATTTGCTATGTATGGTTGTATCTAATTCTCTAATTTAATTCAGTTTGAAAACATTCATTATTTTGTAATGTTTGTTGGATGGTGCTAGTACTTGTGTAAGTGTTGTTAAAGGGTCATCTTACCTTGGTAAAACTAGCTATATGAGCCAGTTTGATGTGACCCAACAGAATCTGTTCAGACCTCAGTCTGAGCTAACTGGTTCTGTGCCCAGTATAAGTTCTACTACTTAATGTATTGCCACAGATGTCTAGTGGCAATATGTAGCCTTGTTAGGCCATTGGAGGCAAGTATGTAGAGAACAAGAAGGAAACGTGTTAGTCCGATGCCACACTGAATTACCTTGTTTGCCAACACTGGCATTGAGATGGGAAACGCACTACAGTAATAGTACACACAAGTCTTATCAAACTTTGAAATTAAATTAATTTGACTGCTTACAGAAACATCTAGCCAATTTAGTTAAAGATTTAACAGCACTGGGTATACATAATCATTTATTAAACCATGTGCAAGATTATGTATTAAGCCATGTTTCCTTTAACACAGTGTAAGGAATCCTACCTCCCATTTATCTGTGACTTTTTAGAAAAAAAAACATTTTGGGGCTTAATGAGAACGGAAGCCGTCCCGCTTGAAGCAGTACAGTTTCTAATGTTAGAAAATATGACAAAAATAAATGTACGTACATTGTTTCACCAGAGGCTAAGGTAAAGTAGGTCTATGTAGATTTTGTTGATAAATGGAAACTTGGCTGCTACATTGACAGCGTGACTGTAAAGGTATCTTCTTACTTGGGTTTAATTTCCTCCGCAGAAGGTCTTGTATTCTTACCATAGTGAGGGGGTAGTAATTACTTACTTTGCTGTTATACATATTTATCCACTTCTGGGCTGATTTGTTATCAACGTATAAAAGCTAGAAAAAAAACTAATTGCCATGTCTTGCCTTTCTGTGTATGTTACTGTTTTTGTCACTACCCAAGTTACCATTGTGATAACAACATTTGTCTTCCTAAAGATTATACTAGCTTGTGGATTAAACACAAAGGATGTTTTGCTTTAATTGATCTAAGCAATATGGTAATTTCTAATTTAATTTTGTGTGTCAAGTTTAAAAAATAAAGGTCTGGTGCAGTGTTTATTTAAACATAGTGTTTCTTCAACAACCAATAGGCTATGATTTGAGGTTCTCCCTAGCAATGCACCAATGCCCAATCTAAAATGAGTCACCTGTGCTAAAATTTGGATATCCTGATACTCTGGGTCAGTCAGGGTTGTTGGGAGAAACAATAATCTCAGAGCACGCATGTGAGATGTGGTGGATTGGTATATGTAAACATAGTTATTAACCAAGTAATTGTTTCAGATCTGATCAGGGAATATCAAATTTTAAGCCAAAATAGCAGCGAGAATTTCTCCACTTTAGCTAGTTTGGTTTAAATGTTTCAAAATGCCCTTTTTAATGAGTAAGTCATACAGTAGTCTGGGTGCCTGAGCTAAAATATTGAATATTGTGAGCATGTTTTTCTTTTGCTAATCAGGAACAATGTTGCAATGTTTTTTTCTGCATATATTCAGTGTGACTCCTTAAGAAAGCTTTCTGAGTGGATGTACACTAACAACTAATTACTGCATGTTCCTTCTGTGTTTGCTGAGCGTCTATTTCCTGTTGGAAGCCACATTGTAGAAGTAAGAAATGAGCACATTAGTAAAGGGTCTGTGCGAATGAATGAAATGCTGTTTTAGCTCATTCGGTGTTTTCTTTACTGTTATGCGAAGTAAAAAAATAGAATGGAGCTTAGAATGACTAACGTTTATTCTTTCTGAAGTTTGTTTAGCAATTTACGTGTTTTTTTTTTTGAAAATAAAGAAAATCAGAACACAATACATGTGTGTAATGTCTTTAGGAATGTTTAGAGTCTTTAACAGTGTCACTGCACAAGGCTTTATTGGATTGGTATTTCATATTTGAGCTATACACACCACTGTCTCTCCAGATTAAGGAACACTCGAAGTGCCATGATCGTGTATGCTCTTTGCCTAAGTTATGGTCCAGTGAAATCTCCTGCCCCTCCTATCTTCTAATCTTGGTTTATAAATGTAGTAATTTAACAGAAAAGAATGAAGCTACAGCTCCCACAAGCTTTGCAAAATACTTGTATGTACTCTATATAATGCATCAAACAGTTGGAATTATCATTTCATGGCCATTTAACTGTGTCATTACAAGTAGTAGTACCGGATATGGAAGATGTCATTGAGTAAAGCAGAAATAACAGGGCTGTTCCTCACCACTGGAATGTGTGTCAAACTTTGTGCTCAGACCATTATATTGCTATATTGGTTTGCACATAGGTTTTATGCGTTTGTGTATATTTTCAGAATTTAGAACCCAGACAGGTAATACCAGCGCGATTTGTTTGGCAGACCATGAAGTGACATGTTAATAAACACTTGGAGTAACATTTTAAGTAGCCAAGGACCCGTTATTCGAATTTACTACTGTGGGTTATGATATTAAAAGGGACATTGATGCATTTAAGCTAAGCTTGGTAGTTGCATGAACCCCCTACACTTTGACCCCTCTGTTTTTCCAAAACCTTAAAAGCCATTTGTCTTCTCCAAACATGTAGACTGTTTGCTTGTGGTGGATTTTCCCTGTGCTGTGTCCTGAGTCCACACTGAATTTAAGTCTCTTGTGATGTTTGTGTTGTAATGTACTCAAAGATACTTATCTGTGAGATAATTAAATGCTGGTTTCCTAATTTACCCAGTGCATAATTAGTTTCTGCCTGTACCATGTTGAAAACATTATGTACGTTTGCAACAGAGCTTGTACTCCAAGTCATAGAATGCATGTGACTAAAAAAGATCCATTAAACTTTATTGTAAAAGTATACACCAAAAGGGAAGGGCTAAAAAGAAATGGATAGTCACTCTTCTGGACTCATATTGAGGGGTACATATTAATAACATTCAGTTTTTTTTGGAATAAGATCTTACTATGGCTGATTGTGCATTCCTAAACCACCTTCTCTACTATTACTTTATTATCATGCCAAAAAAAATATAATTAAAAAAAATGGATTGTAATGTTTTTCAATGGAAATGCTTTCATTTCTACCGATTTTAATCCTGTCCCACGATTTTTTAGGACAAGAAAGTGTTTTGGTTACTTTCATAGCCTTTATTATGAAGTTGATTAGTGTTGATCACCACCATTTGTTTGTAGATATTTTACTTCCCTTGTTACCCTAATTCCCTGATGCACATCCTCGGCACTTACACCCACACCACCACAATAGTCTTACCGGCCTCCCTACTAACACACACATGCACCTTTCTTTCTCTTTTTACCACAACAAGCTTTAACTCCAGCAATACAATTAGCACGAGCACTAAACACAAATGTAAAACTTGCCAGAGATGACTTTCTTACCACTCCCTCCATTCTTCCAGGGTATATTTAGGTGCATCTGTCCTGTTTATTCTGAGACAGTCTGAGCACCGCCCTGGTAAATACAGAATCTGAATACAATGGAGACGAAAACAGATGTGAGTACAGGAAAGGGAGAGAGCCTGTTTTTGTTTTCGTTTGAGTGAGCGAGCACTGTGTTTTATGTAACTGCTTGTGGCAAACTTTTCCAGAAAATAGCACAGCTTATTTCATTAGTATCAATGTTGTGGTAAATTTAAAGCCAATTTAAAGAACACCCACTGCTAGCATTATAAAGATGCTTGATAACCTCTGTTTTGATGGAAGTACTGAGAGGAAAAAACTCCATTGTGAGTCAAGGCAAAGATTCTCCCAAAACTGTAAGAGAGGTGCCCAGAGTGACATAGGGAAACAAACAAAAGATGAAGCGGGGGACAGAAACTGAAAAACAGAGGACTCTCTTAAAGCCTTTACTGACAGTTCCAGCTTGGTTACAAACCCACTGTGCTTTTAGCAACATAAAGTAGACTGTATACTAGAGCATATATTTCATTAATCCTAGATAATAAGTTTAATTTACATCTAGGATTTCCTGTTTAGTAACTTGTGATTTTCCATAGCAGGGTGGCCAAAATATCAATTCCCAGTTGTTGTAAAACAGCAACTCCCCTTATGCCTGTCCAGCATTTGACAACCTTAATTCAAATAGTATTTTCGAACGTTTTAGTGTCTGGTCCTGTTCATTGCTTATTAAAATATCTCAAAATTCTAATGGAACACAAATAAAAGTGTTCATAAAACAAAAATATACGAAAGGATGCAGTAAAAATAATCTCAACAGATTTTATTTTCCTGCCACTACAAACATATGACGTCTGAATAAAGCCAAATGTGTTTCAAACGGGTGCACATACACCTGTTTTCCTGGCTCATAAGCATACCACATGCCTCTTAAAGTCTACATCCATGTGGGCTCTCACTGTTATTCATTCAGGTGTGAATTGCCATTCATTCAAAGAGAATTTCAAATTGTGAACTAAACATATAAGTGACTTTGAGATTTTTCTTCTTCTAGCTCTGCTATTTTAAATTCAGTTTAAATTCCCAGCAAGTTAACCTTAAAGGTAACTAAAGTTTTGTTTTGTTTTGTTTTTTGGAACTGCAGCTTCCCTTCTTTTACTGTGTCTATTGTCTGCCCACTTTGCTTATGAAATCAAAAATTGAATAAAATTTACTCATTCAAACCTAGAGCCAAGACTCCTCTGCTTCAGCTGCTCACTCTGTCTCTGCGGAAGTTTATATGCCTGCTGATGTTTAACACAATCTCGTCCAATCCAGTGCGTCTCTTAAAGAGGCATTGGTGGACAAGGTATGCATGCGCGGGTAAACGCTGCTATACTCAATTAAATGATGCTGTGAGCAGCGTTTGGTTGGATGACCAATTATGACTTTGTTCTGGAGCAGAAAGTGACTCTCTACAAAACGCCAATGCTTTACATTACAGTGTTTAAACTAAAGGATCACTGCACCTAAACCACTTCATTGAGATGAAATGGTCTGGTTGACTTATAGTGGTCCTTTAAGATAAGTTTTGGTTTTTTTCTACCCCCACCCGGGTGCCTGATTTTCTTTAGTCTTTAGTAAGAGGCAGAGTATTCAAAGTTAAATTTTGTTACATTATTTTAATTATGTAACACAATATCAAACTTGGCATTTAACAGAATTATAAAGAACGAGTATTACAGAATAATAAATTCTAATTAATAAAAATATTCTCGATTTTAGCCAGTGCTAAACCCAATTATATCGCTGCCCTCACATTGAATGTTTAGTGATGGTTGGTTAACATGTGCCCGCCACGATAGCTGTGTTTGATTGGATTGCTTGCCAAGATACAGCTTCGTTTTCTGTGCGGGCCTAACCATATAAATTAAACGTTCATTATCCCAGGGCAGCAAACCTGCGTATCAAATTGAATTACTTAACAAATACTTGTTATTGCTCTAGCATGAAAAGTGGGTGGTGACTTTAGGCATTTTCAAAGGCAGAATGTCTGACCTATGGTCTCTAACACAATGGCAAGGGCACTTCTTTAAAGAGGAACCCTTACAAATCAACATCGGTTAATGATGCATGTTTGGTGGGAAGGTTAGCAACCTATTGTAACAAGGCATGAGTGAGTTTTACAGGGTTTTCGGAGCTGGTCTTTAAAAATAATACATAAGATCTATACTTGTGCCCTGACTCAATCCCTGATTTGATTAACTATTTATGAGCCAAGTTACTAAAATAATGTGTTCTATTGCTGGGTTAGATGAACAGAAGCCTCAGGAATAATTAACTTTATAAAAATAATAGTCCACCTCTAACCATAAGTATATTGGAAAAAATATATTTTTAATGTTTGCAATAATTATATCTTGTTGGAAAAATTAAAAAGGTGAACAAAGTGTGTGTGTGTGTATGTATGTATGTGTGTGTGTATATATATATATATATATATACATTGTCCTTTTATCATGGACTGGCATTTATTGGAACTTATTCTGACCTTCAGCAAGTGCTCACACGGAGACTTTCAATGTGAAAACCAAGAGTCTGGTTTGATAACCACCATTCCGGAGTTGTTTAACGATAAGACATGGCAATATGTGTTCTATGTTCCAAAAGGAGGTCTCCTGCTTCTAACACACACAAGCCTGCATATTTGTATATGGAGCTGAAAAATGTAGCTCACATACGTTCGTATTCGCACGTTTTGATTTTCACAAAGGAGAAATGCTGTATTTGTTTTATTTGTTTATTTTGTTGGTAACCTTGAAACAATTGTATTCATTTTATCCAAGATTTTGTAGGTAAAATTAGTAACTTATTGTAACAATTTAAGATCTGTTTACTGTACAGTGGATTTTAATGTTACCTTTTTACATATTTTGCCATCACTGTGGATCCAAATAATCACCTCGATTTTTTTTTTTTTTTTTTTGGCTTTTTCAGGTTATTTCTGATGTTATGTGTGAGTCTCTGAATAAATAAGAAATTCTAATATTAATCCATATATTTGTTTTATGTTTTTTCAGCTGTGAATTTTAAAAACGTTAATGAAGACAACAGGAGAGAACATTTCAGTGAAATCTTTTCATCCATCGACAATTTAGCTTTTACCTTCGGAAACGTGTAAGTAGGATTGTGAGTGGCTAAAGGAAGACTATTAGCACCTTAACCTCTACAGCTTTTTGTAGTGATTATGTTGCAAAGCACCTTTGGGTGCCTTCTCCTGTATTCTGTGGAGCCTATTTCAAAAAATGCAACTCACAGCTCTGACACTCCGATAATGCTGTGTTTTAATTTCAGCATTATTTGTACAAAGTTCATCTAACCTTGTATGATCATGAAAGGTTGCAACTTAAAGCACTGTCTGAGTGACAGGCACTGGGCTTGGCTTTGGATGCTGGGAGAGCTTGTATTTTTTATTAAACAGCTGTAATGAATAAAAGGTGTGAAAACCACAATTGAACTGCTTCAGGCTAATGTGTCTCTGTAGATTTTTAAAATTATTAGCAGCTAATGTTACCAGTACACTTACTCATCAATGTTAATGCAGATGATACTTTTTTTTTTGTCCTACAACTGTCAAATTAGAGGTCTTGGAGATCATTGTGTTTTCACAGAAGAGTTTGTATACATGCCACTGAACGTATACCACCGATAAGCTTTCTTTATATGCAGTTATGTATTTAGACTTTTGGCTGTCTTAGGCTTAGACTTGTATCCTTATAAGCATTATTTACCCACAACTAGCAATTCATTATAGTCTACCTCATACAAAGACACAGTTTTATAAATGCATAGATACACACATTAACACACAGTCACATGCATACAATGATTCACACCTGCACACACAGTCATTTAGGTTAGTCACATGGTGACTAGTGGTGGAGATGCAGTGGAGCTGTGCACAAGCTAACTCAGACTCCTTCCTGCTCGATTAATTTCTTGTATTTCTCTCTATATCTGTCTGTCTATGTGTCTGTCTGTCTATGTATCTATGTATCTCTATATAGACATATAAATAAGGTAACTTTACATTATAATGCTTTACAGTGTTTAAAAAAAAAAAAAAAGTTCCATTATTGTTGAGATGCTAGTCCTTTATTTAAATGGGGGAGAGAGAATTAGACCACATAGTATGTGCCATTGATTATTTTATCTTGTTTCTTTTCAGTGTATCAGACTTCCTTATGGGAGATGTAGACAGTGGGTCAACATTGGGACTTCTTTCATCACGTCGAAGTCGGGTTTGTGTTAAACTCCTTCATTTCACTACATAAGTTTCATCTCATCCAAAATTTGATTACCGTGCGTGGGAACATCAAGTTTAGCAACATAAGGTTTGCTTTACTGGGGGGGAACAGTGTTTTCCAAGCAGGAATAAAGGATGATTGTCTCCTGCCTTATACGCATATCACACCTTTCTAGCAATAGATGCTATTTAATGATCACATAGAGACAAATACATTTTTATTTTAGGGTTATTCAGAGTTTCCCCAGTAAATTTATCTCTAAAATAGAAAAATTTATCTGCAAGAGCACTGATATTAGTTCACAGGTTCGCCTTCATTGTTCACATAGAACACAAAGTCTGTGCTGATTCTCTTGATTGGTAAAAGCTCCATGACAAGAACTTGTCTCTAGAAATTCTTGTTGAGTTACGTACACTTGTGCAAGCACTTCTCATTCAGTACTCACTGCTATACGTATGTGTGCCACAATGTATATTACCATACAATGTCTGCAACGCATATCGCATTAAACCTTAATGCTCGACAATTCCTGGGATCTTTATAGTGCTGCCATTCAAATTTAGGGAAGATGAGCTTTGTATGAGAGATCTCAACCAATTCCTGATCCTTGCAGACATCTCTAGTCATCTACAATTTCTGTGGATTTTACACAAATACATTCAATCCCTCAAAATGGGATCAGAAATGGATGGTTCAACTCCAGCCTGTACCTTTTGATTAAAAAAAAATAACTAGTGTATTTTGATTGCTTCGTTTCCTGCTAAACATCATTGCTGATTGATGTTAGATTCTTGGATATGTGAATTTGCTAATTTTTATCTGCCATCCAGGTCATTTCCTGTTCAAGAAATTGGTTGTCTCATACGTACAGTGGAATGTTTTAGTATTGATTTTCTGCCTACAAACAAATGTCAGTGACACTAAACCTTGACCTTGCTATTTACCCAATAAAGGAAAAGGAAAAGAATAAATTAATTTCCGGAATTCTTATGGCGGAGAAAAATGTCTTAATGTGTCAAAGTACAAAATGATACACTGCCTTTCTGCAAAAAAACCCCCAATGGCAAATATAAATTTCCAGTTTTAATAAGATTTATTCTTAATTAATAAAACCTATGCGTATAATCATCCCTTGTCAATGTCGTACAGAACACACTCTTGTGACATTGTGGGTGTCGTGGGGCTTATAACTGTGGTCCTATATGCTAATCTCTCCTGCCATAAGGGATTGAATCAGTCCCTGCAATATAACCACAGAATGAGCATGTGTCTTTATCAAGTAGTTTTCAGCATAGAATAGCATATATGCTGCGCATTGACTGAAAATAGGATAGTGGAAAAACATTCCTACAGGGCATTCTCCTGATTTGTGCTACCAGTAGAGAACCTGTCTTGTAGTTGCTTTGATTATTCATTTACGCATGTCTCTGGCTTTGCCAAAGGATGGTATACTTGCAAGAGCCAGAGTGCTGGCTTAATGGGAGACACTTTTTTTGCAGGGAGGTTGGAGATTTGAGGGAATGGGTGTAAGACTATAAATATCTACCCAAAATCATGGTGGCACAAACTGCACTAAAGAGGAAGTAGGTATGTCATACCGGGAAGCAATGTATATATCATTTATCTTTTGGTAACTTATACCTACATTACTTTAAACAATGGTAGCACTTAAAGGGAGACTCCACTGCCCAAATACAAAATAAATAAAACTCACTGTTTAGGAGATATAACCCAAATGAACACTTACATGTATTTAATTATGTATTTTTTTTCAATGGGGATATATCTAAAATCTCTTGTCTGCTGCCTTTGCAAGCTCTTCCCTTCTAACCCTGCCCAGGCTTTCTGTGGCTGTGCAATCACAGCCTTCCCAATACAGCTCAATGAGAAGTTTTTGTAGGGCAGGTGCTCTGGGCAACTGCTGCCTCTTGAGGTCAGCTGCATTGGGCTAACGAAACCAGGAAGCAACATTACCTGTTGTCTGCTTGAAAGCCAGGTGGTGTAACCAGGCTAATTTATAAAACACTTTTTGCAAAATGACAAAAGGGATACACTTTTCACACATAAAGCTTTTCAGCAATCTAAAGTTGTTTAGGGGTCTGGAGTGACCGTTGAAATGCAAACCTGTCATGAGAGGTTGGCCTTAAGAGCTAATTTATGTTGACCTTTAGTTGAACTGTCAAAAACATACTTTAATCTGTAAAAGATTACTATTTTTTGTATCTGACGTCCATGGTTCCCACAAACCGCTGTGAAGTACTCACTGGACATCAGGATGCATAATTGATATGCACCCCACAAAAAATTCTGATCTTATATCCTCGCATGTTAAGTAAAAATCAGTGAGATATTTATTTAACATGCTTCTCGCAGATATGTTAGAATCCTAAAAACTAATGAAAACCTAATTATCTATTTGACAATGGCAAATGAGCCAAATCCATTACAAATTGCCAGTGTTTTTAAAGAATAACTCTCTAATAATGTTTTATCAGAAGTATGTTTGCTTTAGCGTTTTATATTAGATAAAAAATATTTTATGTGTGAGCCAAATGTAACTGCTCCTGGATCCTGTGGCCTTGCTGTTGCTGAGAATGTCTACTTTGCCTTTGCATGTAATTGTATGAGTTGAATGTTAAAGTGCACCATAATGACAGTCCACTGTTGTAGTTGCTATGGTGCCAGAATTGACATTATGCCCTCCAAGAATAATCTGTCAAACCAGTTTAGAAAGTTTTGTCAATTTACTTGGATCCTGTGGGTGCATGCACCTCCTGCAGGAGACGCTTCGCTAAGGAGGTGTGATACAGGACCTCGCTAGTTGTCACAGTTCTAAAACATTTTGAGAAATTACTGTGGGCGGGTGCCAGGCCATTCCTGGCACCATAAATTATACTGCAGTCTGTGCACGGTGCTTGGCGTATTAATGTAATAAGAAGCTCTAATATAATGGTTTTCTGATGTCTCAAAAATCAAATTAACACTATAGTGTTAGGAACGCAAACCTCTATTACTAACGCTATAGTTCACCTGTTTGTAGTCATATACAGCTTTCGTCTTCCCTTTTGCCCAATAAATAATAAAAAAAAATAATATAGGTTTCTACTCCTTTCTCCATGCTGCTGGCCTCTTCGCCTCCTGCATCCTCTTCTAGAAGGCATGGCTTCCTCTGGCAATGGTCCAATCCCATTCTTCTTATAGAGTAGCATTGGGGATCTAATGCGCATGTGCATCAAAGGAAAACATTAAATTCAATGCTCTCCTATGAGCTGCATCGTCATGTGACAGTTTTACTCTGCACAGAAGCACCTCTAGTGGCTCTCAGTAGGACAGACACTAGAGGTGTGTTTAACCCTTCAAGATAAACATTGCACTTTCTGCAAATGGCACTCTTTAACCATGAAGGGTTAAACATAGCGCACCACTGTGCCCAGACCGCTTCAGTAACATGAAGTTGTCTAGGTTACTTTAGGGGTCCTTTGTTTTGCTCTCAACAAAGAAAAAACAGTCGCATACCGAGATGGTACCTAATTTCACATAATAACATGTTAAAGCAGAGCTATCACTTCCCAGGAAATGTAATTATGTTTACCTATCCCCGATATCTAGTAAGACTTGTGAAAAGTTCAATTAAATGTGCTAATCAACACTTATTATCCTACAAATGAGCACCTCCATTTTAACTCCCTGTCAACGTTCTGAGTTCTGTGCTTTGCACCTGGCAGTCGGCACAGAGAAAGCATGCAGTAAAGATAATAAATTAAACAATCAGGGTTATTCTGTTAATGGCCTGAAAATGAACCTGTAATGAAAAAGTTACTTTGCTTAAATTGACTCAAAATACATTGAATACATCCTGTATCTCATAAATAAATGATGTATTCAATGTAAACCATCGAGATATTCTTCCCTCATCTCCGTTCCAGCACCATCATGTTCTGAGTATTGTGGGTTACCTTTCTGTAACACCCACCTCCAGCCACTCTTTTGCTGTTCCTCTGGTCTTCCTTGATTTACACTGCTGAAGATTCTTTTTCTTTTGTTACTAGCATGCTTGCATCTGATCGGAGTGACATCGATCACTCTGTTCCTGTATTTCCTAGCCAGCACTAGCAGTGTCGATTAGGATTTTCCATAGCAACCCCTGCGCATGCAATCTTTTCTGCTCTCCCTTGGTAGAACAAATTCTCGGCATAGTCTATGACAAAGATGTTAATAAAAAGTGAGAGAGACACCTATACTTAAATGTTTTTCTCCCAATCTTTAAAATTAATAGCAAATCTTCAAGCATAATGTATAGATAAAATTTTAGTCTCTTTCTAAGGAGCATACGTTGCTTGAGGAATGACAGGTACCTGTTTAATTTGCTATTCATTTTGAATTCTCAGGGTTATTTTTCTAAAGTGAAAATTGAAATTGAATTCAAAGGTTAACGGGGCACTATAGCACCAAAAGAACTTTAGCTTAATGAAGCTGCTTTGGTGTATATATCATGCCCCATGCGGTCTTACTGATCAGTTCTCTGCCATGTAAGAGTTAAATAACTTGGTTTATACAGCCCTAGTCACACCTCCCTGCATGTGACTTACGCCGCCTTCTTAAACACTTCCTATAAAGAGTCATCTAATGTTTACCTTACATTATTGCAAATTCTGTTTTATTTAGAATAACTTATCGCCTGGTCTGCTAAAAGCTTGCTGGACCCTGCGTTAGCCTCCTGAATGTAATTCAAGCTCAATTTACCGAGCAGGAGATGCAAAATTTTAAAGTAAGTTACATTTAATTAAAGCTTGAAACCATTTTGTTTTCATGCAGGCTGTATTAGTCACAGCCAGGGGAGGTGTGGCTAGGGCTGCAGAAACTGAATCAAATGTGATTTAACTCCAAAATGGCAGTACATTTAGCAGTAAAACGTCAGAGGCATGATCTATAGACAGAAAATGCTCCATTAAGCTCAAGTTGTTTTGGTAAATGTAACGTCCCTTTAAAATAGCTGAACTGCAAAATTGTCTGTCTGTTATGCTTTCAGCTTGGCTATTCTGGTCGTAGTACAAGATTCGCATTTAATTTACTTTAGTGCATAACCCTGTTAATAATTATTTTTATCCTCCTCATTTGAAATGTTCTTGTTTGTCCTGCCTGAACTGAATTATGTAATTTGCTAACTTTTTAATATACATTTTAAAGAAAATAAGCATCACATAATAAAAATGTTAAGTTATATAGGTGATTTTCAGTGTAGTAATCATCAATGGTGCAATTTCCTGAGAAGTGACGGTTCCCTTTTTAATGCTACGGAATTTTTTTAAAGCAGAATGTTCTACATGTGATATAGAGTTTGTTCCCTAAGTATTGAAATGGCAGCCACCTTGTGAAATTTTGTAGAAATTTATTTTTTTCCCCACCAACTTGGCTTGTTTGAATTTACAACTCACTCTTCAAATAAATCCCAAGATATATAGAGCTGTTGTTTCTCATAGAGGCAGCTTGTGAGTGTCTCCTCTAATTTGCTTAATTTTCTTTTACATGCAAGTCCTTTGAAAATCTCTCTGTGGATGAAACAGCAGGATCATTTCACGAACGAGATGAGCTACAAGGTAATAAACAAAAATGTAAAAAAAAATAACAAAATAGTGATACTTGTTTATGGATTGCCTTCCAATACAAACAAGGCCAAACCTTGAAATACTGTTATGAGGCATTCAGTAAACTGGTAACATTATTTATTAAATGCGTTTTTTTTGATGGTTTACAAGTTTAAAAACACTGAAGCTGTATTACCAATTGAATGTGATTTTATGCAGATCCACTCGCCTTGCCTCACATACCTTACACTCTAAACCACTAAACAGTATGATGTCTCCGCACAAAAAAAGTTGAAACAAGGTGTTGTGATTCCTGTAAAAAAATAAAAATTAAATCATGTATTTGGAAGAAATCAAACAATGTGGATGATATTTTTGCATGATCATCCAGTGAGTAGATGAATTCTTGCACATTTTGTACCTGGCACACCTGACATGTCTGTTCATGGAGACACCAGATGTTATGGTTTGTTTTAGATCTGCCATAGTCTACATTTTTGTAATTGCCAACATTTGGAAAAGTTGGTGCCATACTGACAATATCTGCTACTCCTCACTGTGGGCAGTGTTTTAAAGGGACACTTTAAGCTCTGTATTGGGACAGCTAGCTTTTACAATGCTTTACGTTATTTTTCAAATGCTGTTTGTTTTTTGTTTCTTTGCATATTTAATATCAACTGTCAGAATCCTGGCTGTTTTGAAAACTGCTATTGCCCACTCTTGTATTTATTACTTTTTTTCCCTGTTTTCTTTTTCCACTTTTTAATTTTTTTTGTTTGGAAATTTTTTCACACAGAAATAGGGTCATCAATGTGCACAAACGTTCTAGTAGTCATATGGCAGACGACACGCTCATCTTCGTTTCTGGTGATTCTGACCCTTTCTTTTTCAAATCCCTGTCAATCCTATTTAGTGTCAACTGGCATTAAAGAACAACTCAAGATCACAGTTACTTTAGCATTCACCGTTGGCTGACACTGCTTTCAGAAACAGCGTGGTGCTTTCCATAGAATTCTGTTCACGCCTCCCTGTTTTTTGTTTTTTTTGCAGGCAACCTTCGTACAGAAGAGCTTGATAACATGCTTCTACAGAATGACAGTGGCATCGAATCTGCATTATCTTATGCCAAAGCTTGGTCGAAATACACCAAGGATATACTGGCCTGGGTAGAAAAAAGGCTTAATGTGGGTGAGTGGCTTCTCTTGGTCTTTAATGAGCTTTGGAATTAAAAATGTGGCTTGGCATGTGCCTCAGACTGTCAGTAATGGGATTTCTAAATAACTAGATGTTTTCCTGTAGCATTTAGGATTGTGTTGTCGTTTTTCATATTGCTCAATTTACTTTTTACCCTTAGAAACTGAAACTGCTCGCAATCTGATGAAAATGGCTGAAGCTGCAAAATCCATAGTTGCTCCCCAGGTAAGGGTCTGCAACATTTTTCAGTCTGACGAGAGATATAAAAATTGAGAAATTGTGAAGCCAGATATCGACTTTTAAAAAATAAAATAAAATATTGAATATTGTGAAAAGCAAATGACTATTCATAAACTGTGGAGAGTTGATGGTGACAATGTTTTTGATATCCTTGGAAGTTAAGTGTGTATGCATGCGCACTTGTAAACTATAATATTTCAGTACACTTTCAGCCAAGTTATTTGATAATATACAATATAGAATTATATTTATTGCTTAAAGAGAATCTGTAGTCAACATTTTGTTTAATTATACGTTTATAGAAACATAGACCTTAAGTGCATAATTTATGTATACTTTATAAAGCAAAAATACTAATTTAAAAGGCCAAGTGTTCATATAAAGCATTGATAGGCTATTGATTGACACCAACCATTCTAGCTCTTTGTGCATTTTATTTGTACTTTAAAGGAACACTATCACGCTAGCTTACTATAAAAAATGTTAAAAAAAATATACTTGCCTGTCTCGGCACTGCTCAACTCTGTACCTCCTGCAACGTCATGGAGGAGGCATTGCTTCCTCTGGCGTTTTCCGAAACAATACTCCTCATGGATGAGCTTTGGGTACATAATATGAATGCTTTCTTTTAGAGTTTAATTAAGTCAGTGCAGCGAAAGTACCTCTAGTGACTCTCAGTATGACAACCACTGTAGGTGGACTTAACCCTGCAATGTTAACATTGTAGTTTCTAAAAAACTGCCATTTCACCCAGTTCCTACATAATGGCCCTTTATGTTGTGTAATGTATTTTATGCGCCTTTAAAGCATCTTAAGTGAATCTTTCAGTTTCTGCAAAAAATAAGCACATGTAAAATATGTACTTGCATGTTAAAGCCTACAAACATTTCATTACTATATACCCTACCTAAAGTCAGTGTCTCAAGAGTTGCATTCTTTGCTGTCATCTTCTCTGCAGAACTCCTCACAGCGCCGCTGTTAACTCCTATGGCATTGTTTTCTTAAGCATACAGAAGTATACAAACCTGGTGTGTGAAAGATCACACAAGATGGCTTCCATCTCTAAGATCTTACTGTATATGCATTAAATGTAAAATGCAATCGGTTACTTATGACACGGAACTTAAATTATAGCTGGCATAAATAGGAGCGTTTACTAGCATCTATGTTGGTTGTGCCTACTGACTTTTTACTTTAGTTTATAAATTACATTTAAGAGAAATAAACAATTGTAACATTTTAATTGGCAGTGAATTAACGTAGAACTTTAAATTCTTTAATTTTATTTTTCTATTTTTAATCATGTGACTTGATGTCTTGGCATATCCAGTGCAAACACATTTTATTTAACCCCCATGATAACGGGTTTTGTAATGACACATGTCTGCCTGTAGCAAAAAGGAAGAAAGTCACTTTTAAAGGGTGCCAGAGTATCACGATGCTCACACACAAGTCTTGTGAAGATTAAGTTTTTTACTTGCATTCGCTGCCCTTCTCTTATTATGTTATTATTTATATAGCGCTTTACAGTGGGTGGACGAACAGACATGTAGTTGTAAACAGACAGGTTGGACACACAGGAACAGAGTGGTTGAGAGCCCTGCTCAATGAGCTAGAGGGAGTGGGGTAAAGTGACACAAAAGGTAAGGCTAGTATTAGACTAATGACAGTTGCAAGAGAGGAATCAGTCGGGAGCTATTAAACAGTTTAATTGATACGCTTTTATGAGGAAGTGGGTTTTTAATGATTTTTTTTTTGAAGGAGTGGAGACTGGGTGAGCATCTAACTGGGGAGGGAAGTGAGTTCCACAGGAACGGTGCAGCCCTCGAGAAGTCTTGAAGGCGAGCATCAGAGGTGGGAGTACGGACAGAAGATAGACGTAAGTCTTCAGCAGAGTGTAAGGGCCTACACGGGACATAGTTATGTATAAGGGACGATAGGTGGGAGCAGCATTATGTAGATTTGAAAGCAAGAACCAGAATTTAATTAGTGCCCTATATCTTACAGGAAGCCAATGTAGGGACTGACAGAAGGGTGAGGTGTGGGCGGACAGGAAGATGAGCCTCGCCGCCCCATTCATTATGGACTATAACGGCGCAAGTTGGGAGCACGTAAGACCACTAAGAAGTGGATTACAGTAGTCAAGACGAGAAAGGACAGTGGAATGGACCAACACCTTAGTTGCATCTGACGTTAAGTGGGGTCGGATGTTTTTGAGATTGAAGTGGCAGGATTTGGCGATAGACTGAACATGAGGCGTGAAGGAGAGGTCAGAGTCAAAGAGAACACCTAGGCAGCGAGCCTGCATGGTGGAGCTGATGGTAGCACCGTTAACTTGGAGGGAGACAGACACAGGAGTAGCAACACTTGAGGGAGGAAAGACGAGAATTTCCGTTTTGGTCAAGTTGTGTTTAAGGAAGTGGGCAGCCATCCAGTTAGAAATAGCAGAGAGGCAGTCAGAGACACTAGTCAAGAGGGACGGGAAGAGATCAGGAGAAGACAGACTTGCGTATCATCCCCATAGAAATTTATATTGAAAGCCAAAGGAGCTAATGAGTTTACCAAGGGAGGCAGTATAGATGGAGAACCGTAGGGGACCAACGACTGAACCTTGGGGGATACCAACAGAGAGGAGTGGGGGATAAGAAGCAGAGCCAGAGAAAGAAAAACTGAAAGAGCGCTGGGAGAGGTAGGAGGAGCACCAGGAAAGAGCAATATTTTGTAGACTGATATTGTGGAGGATGAGAAGAAGCTGTTGATGATCAATAGTGTCAAAAGCCGTGGAAAGGTCAAGGAGAATTAAGATAGAGGAGTGACCACAAGATTTTGCAGTGAGTAGATCATTGGATATACTGATCTTTGGTCAGTGCCGTTACCACAGAGTGCTTAGCGCGGAAACCAGACTGAAGCGGGTCTAGCAGAAAGTTGGACTCGAGGAAGTCTATCAATCTCACATACACAACTCTTTCAAGGATCTTGGATGCAAAAGGCAGTAGCGAGATAGAACGGTATTTGGTTGGGATTCTTTAAAATTGGGGTTATAGTTGCATATTTGAAGGACGATGGAAATATGCCAGAGGGGAGAGAGAGATTGGGCATTTTAGTGAGAGGTAGAGAAAGAGAAGACAGAGTATGGATGAAATCCGAGGGAATTGGATCTAGGGAGCAGGTGGTGGGGCGGGAGGACTGGAGCAGAGCAGAAACCTCTTCTGCTGTAGCGGGTGCGAATGAGCAACAGAGGTAGTGAGGTTAGGGGAAGTATTGTAAGGGGCAGAAGAAAGATGAGAGATCTCTTCTCTGATTGTAGAGATCTTGTCAGTGAAGTGAGTTGTAAAATCTGAGGCAGTCAAGTAAGTAGGTGGAGGTGGAACAATAGGGCGAAGAGGAGAGTTAAATGTGTGAAATAGTCATTTGGGTTCGCAGGAGAGTGTGGTTATGAGGGTATTGAAGTAACTTACTTTTGCGGAGGAAAGAGCCAAGCTGTATGAGCGCAGCATAAATTTATAGTGGAGAAAGTCAGACTCACAGTGATACTTTCTCCAACAGCGTTCAGCAGTTCTTGAGCATTTTTGGAGGTATTGAGTCAGCTTGGCTTGGTGTGCCAAGGTTGTTGTTGGGTGCGCTTGCTGCGTTTAAATGTAGGAGGTGCCGTGATGTCTAGTTGAGAGGAGAGGGTGAAATTGTAGAAGAAGGTTGCAGAGCTAGGGCAGGTGAGGTTTGAGATAGGTAAAAGGAGAGTATGGAGATTAGTGGAGAAATGCTCTAGGTCAAGACATTGGAGGTTTCTGTGAGATTGATGTTCAGACGGTGGTGTCAGTTGGGTCTTAGGTATGCTGATTTCAGAAGTCACCAGATGGTGGTCAGATTGAGGAAAAGGAATATTGGAGAGATTAGAGACAGTACAGAGATTGGTCAAGGCGAGATAAAGAGTGTTTCCCGCTGTATGGGTTGCTAAATTGGACCATTGCGTAAGGCCAAAGGGGAGGAGGTTACAGAGAGCAGACGAGAGGCATCAGTGCATTTGGGGTTGTTGATTGGAATATTGAAATCCCCAAGTATAAGGGAAGAAGTGCTAGATGAGAGAAAGTGTGGAAACCAGGAAGAAAAGTGTTCAATGAATAGCGTAGGATGACCGGGGGGGGCGTTAGATGATAGCAATTCTTAAAGTAGTGGATTTAGATAGGTGGACATTTTGAAGTTCAAAAGAAGAAAAGGATAGGGCAGGTGGAGTTATGATTGGTTTAAAAGGTACATTGAGGGGAGAGAAGGATGCCTACACCATCTACTTTACAGTTGAGTCTGGGAGTGTGAGAGAATTGTATCCAAACATCCCAATAGCGTGTTCTGGAGTGAAGCATTGAAAAGCTGTCATTTTGTAGAAAGTGCCAATTTCGCTCAAATATATATTTTTCTAAACATTGCCAGATGACTGGTCATTTTTACATTTAATTAAGAGTATATGAAATGCTCATTATGTATAGGAAATCTCTGTTTGGCTACCTTCATAACACTTTCACAGGTCACCTAGGTACGGAAGCCCAGAAAGGCCACGTGTTGCATAAACATCTTTTACATTTAATATTAACAAATGGTAAATATATCTTTGCACAATAAATGCAGAAATACTGCTTTTAGCTTAAAACTTGTCTAACCCCAGTTAGCTTATTAGACATTCTAGACCTCCTAATGGCCTTTCTTGTTTTTTTTTAGTCCCTTGTTATGATAGGCATTAAAGTCTCATTATGTTTACTGTATAATGGTCTTGAGGAAGGCTGCTGAAATGGTGGCCTGCAGTTTCTTTTGACTAACGGAATGTTATTCACAAATGCCTGAGTGACATTCTGCTTTAGAACATGTCTGTATGTGAAATGAAGGATTTTGTGATGTCTGCCTAATTTGGAAGAAGCCCTTTCCTGCTGTAATATAAAATAAAGAATGATTTGTTTACAACTGCTAGTACTCTGTACTATGGCAGACTCGTTTAACAGACTATATTATAGAATATAATAAAATTGCCAGCAGAAAACCTTTTAGGAACTTTACAATTTATATATCTTCATTCTTTCTCTGCTTAATTTATTATTATTTTCGGATCATGTAACTGTAGTTGACTTGCCGCAATTCAAATTAATAACATAACCCTTTGTACTCTATTGTAGGATTTTATGCCATTCCAGTCCATTTTCTCTGCAGCGTTCCAAAATGACATTGAATGCAGCCAAGTTTGTCTTCAAACGATAGCGTCTCTGCAGAGTAACAAATTCATGCAGGTAAGAAACCGGGCACAGTCTGCTGATACAGAAATGCCAAGCTGGGGAAAGACTGATTATGGACACAGTAGGGTACTGTGATAGATAGGCACCATGTACAGTTCTTGATGTTTTAGGAAGTGATAGCAGACATATTGATGAGGCCAATGTTTTCTCATTTCTGGCATGTATTCTAGCTTCTCCTAAGAAAGTTTATTTTTTTTATTTTTTACATAAGCTTGTTTAGGCTACTAGTTTTTTTATTTTTATTCTTTATTTTGTAAATTTTACATTTTTATAAAGACAATTTGCAATTTTGAGATGCTTCAGGTAGAGAATACATGTGGTAACATAAATAAAAGAAATAACAGAAATTTCAGCAGTAATTGTGTCAGTATATGCATTTAATTTTTCACATTTTGTCTATATATGTTGGTTACATTTGTTGCCTGATCGTTATTTGCATTGCAGACACAATTCGTATAATAACAATGAGAACATGGGTTGGGTGAATGGGAAGGCAGGGAAGGGGTGGTGCCTGGGAGCTCAGTGGTTTGTTGATGGTTATTTATTAGGGTGTATTGGTGGTTACATTGCAAGTCATGTCTTTTGTGGCACGTCTCAAGGAGGTTTGTTGTAAATTTTGTGTAAGGTCAGTAAAATGTCGTTGTTCCGTTGTTGGAATACAGCATGGACCTGCCAGTGTCTTGTTTCCCTTGTCTGATGTTTATTCTTGTTGTTGCGTGCCCCAGGTGTGGGGTCAAAGTGTTTTCAAAGTGGTGGAGGGGTGGGGGGAGACATAAAGGTGGTTAGGGGAAGGAGATGGTGAGAAGAGGACGAGAGAGGTGTATATAGAGGAAGGAATGAAAGGGGTGGGGGCTGGGAAACAGGAGCCGTGTGTTGCTGGGGCCGATCTGCTCAGCTTGATCTCCGTGACAGCCTGTCACTGCGATCAGAGTTACTATGTGTCAGCCTGTTGGCTGACGCATAGTAACTACATGCAGGATCCCTCTGCAGATCGCGGTGGGGGGCATGCCTGGCCACCCAGGCACCCCCCTCAGGCCAATTACCGCGATATGCAGGAGGTGATCACAGTGACAGCCAATCACTGTGGTCACTGATCCTGTGTGTCAGCCAGTGATGTGAAATATATATGATCTAACTATGTGTGTGTGTGTGTGTGTGTGTATATATATTTACACATACACTAAGTGTATTTTAATATTAATATATATATATATATATTAATATCAAAATACACGTAGAATATTGATTAAATATATAAATATATATTTATATATAATAAAAATAAAATATGTAAATACGTTAAAAAATAAATATATGTGTAATTTCATTCTAACTGTATTTTGATATTAATATATATAGATATCAAAATACATGTAGAATGAATTAATATATACATAAGTATATACGTATTTATCACTATATGTATACCTATATATAAATAAAAATCATTTTAAAAAAATTATATATATACACACACACAAACACACATGTGTGTGTATATATAATAATTTTACTTATATATTTGTCCTAATTTTACATAATTAGGTCCTTTTATTAATTACAATTTGTGGGACCTGCCTGACAACCCAGGCCGAAAGTATAGGGAATTTAATTTGAAACCTGTACATGGGGGGTACTGTTTTACTCGGGAGACATCGGTGAACACCGATCAAAACTGTAAAATGTATTACAACGATATTGTCAGTGAAAGTGAAGTTTTTTGCATTTTTCACACACAAACGGCACTTACACTGACGATATTATTGCTGTAATAATTTTTACTGTTTTGAAACAAATATTTGTGTTCAGCAAAGTATCCTGAGTATAACAGTACCCCCCATGTACAGGTTTTATGGTGTTTTCAAAAGTTAGAGTCAAATATAAGGCTTGCGTTTCAGTTTTATCACATTGAAATTCGCCAGATTGGTTACATTGCCTTTGAGACCATATGGTAGCCCAGGAATAAGATTTACCCCCATGATGGCATACCATTTGCAAAAGTAGACAACCCAAGGTATTGCAAATGGGGTATGTTCAGTCTTTTTTAGTAGCCACTTAGTCACAAACACTGGCCGAAATTGGCGTTCAAATTAGTTTTTTGCATTTTTCACACACAAACAAATATTAACGTTAACTTTGGTTAGTGTTTGTGACCAAGTGGCTACTAAAAAAGACTGGACATACCCCATTTGCAATACCTTGAGTTGTCAAATGGTATGCCATCATGGGGGTAATTCTCATTCCTGGGCTACCATACAGTCTCAAAGGTAACGTAACCAATCTGGCAAATTTCAATGTGAAAAAAAGAGGTGAAATTATGCCTGAACAGACATATAGTGCAAATTCAAGTTTTTGTTTGTTTTGTTTTGATCACAACGTGTACATTTGGCTCAGTCCTTAAGGGGTTAATGTAATTGTGTTAGCGTTACCTGGAGTTTATTGTACAGCACCTATCTAGAAAGATATGTACAGCAATTCCAGAAAGATATGCTTATGGATATACTAAATAATCATAAAATGGCCTTCCTAATCACTGGACTGCAATGTTATCATATCTAATATTTAAACTGAAAAATCGCCATGCAGTTTGAAAGCATTGAGGTATTTGTGTGGGTTAGAAGTGATCACAAATACCCCAGTTAGATTAATCTTAATAATGTTGGTGGTGTTATTGTGACAGCCAATAGAGGTAGGGGCACTTTGTGCACACTGCTAGGATAGAAACATTTCTCTTGATTGTATTCGCTAGAAAACCTGTTAAAACACTTATTTGCACAGTGTAGTCCATGTTTAAAATAAAGAAACTAAATTTGATTTTGTTAAGTATATTCGAGGTAAACGATTTCTTGTTGTATGGAGAGCTTAGAAAATAAATGTGTTCTTGCTCATATGTATTTGCTGCTCATTAAATTTGTCTCTGTATCTTAGGTAAATATAATATAATACCTTAATGATGCATTCAATACGTGAGCAAAAGATGACACACACTCTCTCTCTCACTCTATTACTATATTTCCTTGCTGACTTCATATTCTGTACATATACATTTAGTTAGGATGTTTTTCTATAAATCTGTTTTATAAGCTCCACACCAGCTGTATTCATCACGCAGAATGAACTCTGTACCCACAGCATTAACCCAAAATGTCCAGCATTAAACTTGCTCACACTACTTTACAATCCATTAAAGTCACACTATTACAGATTACGTAATTCCCCAACTAACAACTCCCTACTGGCAGTATACATTGGGCTTCATGAGCTAAACAGTAATTTGTGTTGAATTTAAAATCATTTTGTGGGCACCATATCTGCACTAATCTTTGACATTTGTTATTTTTACATACACTGTTCCCACACTTTGCGCCCATGATATACATTTCAGAACATGTCAGTTTAAGGGAGACATTATTTTGATTTCCCTAGTGGTAAAACCGCTTATTGGGTAAAATCTGCTCAAAGCCAAGAAAACACATAGCTCTCTTGGGATATCTGTTATAAATGCCTGTTTTCTATCTAACTGTTTAACCGGTTTTATCATTGGTATCTTTACTGATTTCCATATTGCCCTTATTTTTATTTTTATTTTTCAATAAAAATGGACACCTTAAAAATTATTTTGATTAAATTAGCCAAGCTGTGGGAGACTGAGAGATCTGGCATAAATTTTGTAGTTTCATTTACAGTTCACTATAATGCATGTTTTAGTGAATAAATCTGTTTTAATTAATGTAATGGTTTTCCCAGTAATGTTTTTTTTTATAAAGCTACCTGCCTCCCATAACCCATCCACCCTCCAATCTGTGTTTTGTGCTTCACTGCAGTGCGTTCTCAAATACTCCACATAATCAACCAGTTGCACACTCCTACCACTACATAGCGCATACACCCAGCCTAGTTCCTCTTAATAAAGTTCTGCTTTAGGAAAGAAGTTGCAGTTTCCTGGAGTAGACTTTTAACTCTGGTAGTCCAGCAAGGTTGTCAGCAGACAAACACATCTCATTCATTCACTGAATTATCAAGCCACAGATGTAGAATAGAAAGCCAAAACTAAACATTTCTAACACTCCATATTACAGGTTAGTATGATTAATTCCAGGTTCCAGATGTTTTTTTTTATTTTAATTTAGTTTTGTAAAAATTATCCTTATCACAGCTAATGTACTAATATTTGTAGTATGTTTTATTTAGCATTCTGTCATCTGTTTTGTGAGATGCTGTGCTTGGCATTTTGTGATGTGCATGGTTAGCAGAATGGCCTATCTTATTGCCTCCATCTCCATTTCTAGCCCCTCCAGACTAGACGATCAGAGCTTGACAGGCTAAGGAAGGAACTAAAAGATCTTTGGCAGAGAGAACAGAAGAAAATGGTTGGTTTGAACCTTCTATTCATATCAAAAGTATTTTCACTTCTCTTTACAGCTGCTTCTGTACCCATTTCTAACTATATATTCATGGAGGAATGTAAAGTGTGTATGTGTGTGTGTGTGTATATATATATATATATATATATATATATATATATATATATATACACACACACACACACACAAACACACACATTATATGTATTTGAAAACTAATTGTGGCTTGCCATTAGTTTAAAATTTTTTTATTTCATTTTCACTTTTTGGGGTATTACAGACACGTGTGTGTATATAGTGTATTTATATAGCACTAACATATTCCACAGCACTATATAAGTATTGTGAGGAAATTACAGTGCATAAGAAACAAATGTTAAAAGGGATACAGGGATGGATAAGGGCCCTGCTTGAATAAGATTTCTATCAAGAGAAGGTGTAATATTAGTGATTAATATGTTTTTTTTTTCTTTCAAGATGTGCTGCACTTTTTTTTTTTTTTTTTAAAGAAAACTACCTTATTCGCAGTAAGCCAATATATGAGAAGTGAGGTTATAAAGACATGCAAATTGCCATTAGATTAAACTAGAAGTAAATAAAAGTAAACATGCTGAGCTTATGTGCAACTTAACCTAGCTTTTGTGACAATTCCGCTGGGTATGAATTCAAACTAGCATAAGATAAGGAAACAACACAGGTAGACGGCATCCCTGCCCACATTAAGCTGCATAGGATTATCCCATTGGCTTGGCCCTTGCCCTTCATGGTTTGTGAGGTGTTAGTGTGCACTATAGACATAAGTCTTACACACTGTCTATGATATGGCCTGCTGATCATGAAAGTAGTGAGTAGAAGCATGGTACCAATGAGTAACACCTAATATAACCTTAACTATTCTCAAATACCATGCAGGGTGTGTAAGTTGTTGTTTAAACCACTGATAACACTTTTAAAGGACCATTATAGTGCCAGGAAAACATACTCGTTTTGCTGGCACTATAGTGCCCTGAGGATGCCTCCACCCTCTGGGTCCCACTCCCGCTGGGCTCTAGGGGGAGGAAGGGGTTAAACTTACCTCTTTCTCTAGCGCCGGGCGGGGGACTCTCCTCCTCCTCTCCGCCTCCTCGGCTGAATGTTGCGCATTCACACGGATGGTGGTGCAGCGTGGGTCTGAGTGAATAATATGTTTTATATTACAACTTATTTGATCCAATAAGCTCCCTGTCCTTTTATACACTTTTTCTATTCATTGTAACTATGGCATTCTATGAGAGAACCACTTGGGTTTATGGAATGTGCATGGATATCCCATTGAAAGCAATTGGAGAATCGAACCATGATTATCTTTAAAGCAAAAACCCAACAAACCAAAAAAAAAAAAAAAAACACTTTCTGATGAATTATTTTTTTATTAATATTTTTTTTTTCTCGTTCGTGAGAATGTTTTACCATGGATTGTTTAACTTGTCTGTTTTGTTTGTTTGTAGCAAGAGCTGGAGACTGCCTTACGGAAAGCTAAATTACTGAATGTCCAAAGACAAGATGAACATGAAAAAGCCAAGTGCAGCACAATACGTGCAGAGGAGGAGCAGCTCAGTATGAGTGGAGGCCTTTTGAAGGATGGCAGCAAGCAGGTGGAGAAAAGGAGACGGCTTGAAGAGGAGGCTTTGCAAAAGGTCACTACTGTTGAACATTGCACCCATGTAGAGACATTTACGTTTTCAGTCACTTTCGCTAGGGTACAAATTGTCATTTTTAAACGGTCAATTATAAAGTACATGCAAAGAAAATTGAACATTGGAGTCAAGATGGTACTTTTATTTTTTACTTTTTTCATCTGTGAATAATGATTTAACATTTTTATTATCCTGTGCAAAAATGCCCACATTTTAAATGTAAAAGTCAGAGAAACACAGACATTGATGTTGTCAGTTATGCATTGTCAGACGTTACAGGGATCATACCAAAACACTATAGTAAGGTTGCCAGATCCTTAATATGTTCTAGTCACATATTATGTCTTCATGCCTTTGGATATCATGTGAAAATCACTATCCGGTTTGTAGAATTCATATGCTGCTGCAGGAAAAACTCTGTCTTGCTTATTGAATTTTTCTCCTTCCTGAAGTATGAATTATACATGCTGCAAAGTAACTTTTCATCTGTTGCCCATGGAAGTGAAAACATAGGGGACAACTATCAGGGCTGCATTGCGAACTTTGAGATTTTATTTGGATAAAAATGTTTTACGTTTGGATTCAAAACAATAGTATCTAACAGTCATTGATAAGTCATCAATAGATTGGCTTATAAGAGTCTGATGAGAATGCACTACTATACATTTTTTTTGTCTTTTTTAACTTACTATTTTATGAGTTTGAATGTAGTTGTGTCAATGAAAAACAATAATTTCCCCCGTAATTTGTTTTATTACATTTTAGTTGACCTTCATGTTGAGTTTTTAAACTTGATGCGGATGAATGTTGATCTTGAATATGCACTCATATTATCCCTATGTAAGTGCAGGTAGCCAGGCAGTTTTAAAGTACAATAAAGGGGCACTCTTAGCACCATAACTACTACAGCAGATTGTAGTGATTATGGTGATGCCTCTCTGTGGCTGTGTCCCACTTGTTTAGTAATTTGCTGCTTGAAATGTAACCCTGGTCTTGTAAATGTTTTTGTTTTTTTCTCCACAGTTCTTGGAAAAGAGTAGGTTAACAAGTAAAGTTTAGATGGCAAGACTTTTAGATCTTGGACTGGCTTCACATAGCAATAAGTAGAAACATAATTTTTTTTAAATCTTTTTGGTTACATATTCTTTAAAAGATGTGGCTACGTATAGTAGTTAAAGACTGCGTTAAGTTTATCTTGAATGTGGTGGTTATGAAAAACACGTACATCTTCTTATGGTTTGACTTATTGCTGGGTGGTCTTGTGATACAGCTGGGTTAAGGTGTTTTCTATTGCTATAATATGTGCCAAACAGTCAAAAATATTCCTAGCTGTTTTATGTTTTCTCGTGGTCTCTTTATTTTCCTTTTATACTTTTTAATGTTTTCTTTTGTTCTGTTTTGTTTACTTCCATCAGGCTGAAGAAGCGAAAGAGAATTATAAATCATGCGTAGCAGATGTTGAAGAGAAAAGGAATGATATGGAGAACTTCAAAAGTGACATTTTAACACAGATTCGAGAACTAGTCTACCAGTGTGATCTTACTCTTAAAGCGGTAAATTAACATTTAATTTAATGTAGAACTGTTATTAGATGTGTTTTACTATGTCAATACAGTCTGTATTGTGTGGTTTTCATCCACCCCCTGATCTCAAATCTCAATAAGCCACAGTTAGTTGACAGCTGTTGTACAGCTCTAACTCCCATGATGCTTTGCCAGCCTTGGGTTCTGCAACAACTTTTTTGGCCACATTTTCGGTTTTTCTGGCAAAGAAAGTAACATACATAACTCTAGCAAAAGTTGTTGAAATTCAGAACCTGAATGTTTTTAAACCATTTTTACCCATTTGGCCAAGTTTAAACTTGCATTTCTTCAATTGAGAAATATCTAAAACCCTTTTAAATATGATCAGTATTTATTTGCTGGGAATCTGGGAATTGCCATTTTGGTGGCTAACCCTTTAGCAATAACATACAAATGAGTTGAAATGAAGCAGCAAGTTAATCTGCCCTTCAGGGGGTGCATGAAGTGGCAGTTTGCCAAATTATTCAGATTTTGCTCTGTGAAGACGCCACAGTTAACTTGCCAGAGTGGTCTTACTATGATTGTTGTACAAATTAAGGTTTTGGCATTGACTGAGAATTTGCCTTGTGTTTTGAGGATTCTGAATAACGAGTTTCATTAAATTGATTTGTCTTCATTCCTACACTTAGTAGAGTTGAGCTGAAAGAGAAGACAGCTATTTCCTTTCTGAAGTCTTCCAGTGACTTAAGCCCCCTTTGCTACCAGTGTCACCATGCATTGTATAAAGCTCCCCCTTCAGCGCTGAAGGGTTTGTACAACAAAGTTTCTTGTGAGCTTGTGAGCTCTGACTGTTGAACCAGTGTTCTTGAATTGTAATAAGTTAATTATTTCACTGAATGACTCTATTATCACTTGGTTGGCAGTCTGTTAATCCTTGAGTGCATTTCTCCTAAAATGTAAGTACTCCAAGTCTAGTCCTTCTCGATAGGACACAGGTTAGATCTTAAATAATGCTCTTACCATTCTTTCGCACAAAGCCAGCCTTCCATAGAGCCCTTTCGTTATTTGGCAGGGCTGATGAAATAGCCACGGCTGGTGGTGTCTGCTTCTTGATGGGATTCTTTGAAACGATTTCTAAAATTAAATATTAAATAAAAATAAGCAAGCTGTTTAACACTTTAAACACCAGGAGCAGTCCAGTTTAAGTAGACCAGGAGTAGCTCAAAAAGTATATAAATAAAGAAAAATGGAAAAAATGAATGGTTATTTTATTTCACCTACCCTGTTGGTTTGAGTTGAGTCTTGGACAGGAAGCTTCTTCCACACACGGGTCTAGGACCAACCCAGTTGCACACATAATGTTTCTGAACCCCAAATTCGATAATCCGTTCCCTAATGTTCTGATTAGGTGTTATTGCAAAATAAAGTTCATACAATATAAATATTGTTGTTCCCGGGAATTGTCGTGAATTTAATCTAAGTAATGATACCCATTGGCATGGTAACATTAAGGAAATTTTCACATAAAGTTTACTAGTCAGTCTATTGAACAAAAAACTAATGCAAAGGTTAATTGTTTGTCAACAGGCCACCGTGAATTTGTTTCAGATGCAGCATGCCCAAGTCGTATCCCTTCCTGTGAACTGCCAGTACCTTTGTGAGAATGCCAAGCTTTACGAACCAGGGCAGCAGTACTCAGAATTTGTAAAGAGCTTGCCCAAGGACAGTGGTCGCATGTCAGCAAGGGCTAGTACTCAAACTGGAGGGTAAGTCAATGTTATTGTTTGTAGCACTTTCCTCTTGCCCTATAAACTCATCTAAAAACAGATGCAAATTATAAATGTAGTCCTCCATCTGCACCTGTAACATGGGTTTAGGACATAAGAATACTCCAAACTAGCAGCAGGTTTTTGTCTGGTTTTCTTTTTGTTTTTTGTTTTTTTTTAAATACCCTGCTGATTTTCCCTCTAAAACTGAAATTCTGTTCTTGCCCTTATATCCAAAATTGAAAAAACAAAAACAAACGTAGCTTAAAAGCCACTGTTACATCCTTCTGTGTTTTTCGTGTGACCAAGAGAGGGCCTTTTGCGTTAAGAGTGGGGATATGGCTGCGGTGCACATAATCACACCACTTTTAAGTGAATTTGTGTCTTGGTTGCCATGTATTTAAATCAAAGTTATGTTGTACAAGTTATAAACACATGCACTATAATCTAAAGATCAATTACATTCCAACACACGAAAAGGTCTCAAGAACAGGGAAACTTGGGAAGTATGCTTTAGAGTCATATAATTCTCTCATATATTTAAAAACATATTTAGTTATATTGTTTGCACTGGTTTAATAACTCTGCCTGTGTTGATTTTATTCTCAAGACCGCGTCTGTCAACAGAACAAGGGGACAGCAACCACGCATTACATGGAAACCTGACTCAAGGTTCATCTGAATTCCCTATTCCATCTCCTGCAGACATTGGTAGTCCAGTGTATGGCCGCTCTCACAAATTAGGGCAGAAGAGATCTAGCAGCAGCACAGACATTCAAGGTACCTTTTTTGATCTAGGTTAACAATGACCTGTGGTTGGTTTGTTTGTTTTTATTTAGTTACATATTTATCTGGCACAGTAGAATTGTTCTGTTAAAATTAGGCTCTTACTGTCCTTTCCTGTGTGTAAAGAAGTCACTCATTTGGGAACAAACAGGTCAGAGACCATGACAATTCTACTGTAATTATGAAATCTGTGTAAATGAGTGAGATCAGTGAGATGGAGCTAGGTACCAGACCTTAACATGTTTGCCAGGCAATTTGATTAAATGAAACACCCAACTCCTCCATAACTTGAAATGTTGGAAAATTGCTGTTCGCCTTTAAGACTTAAATTTACTTATATGCAATATTTATATGGTTCTATAAGAAAGTGCCTTTACATGTATAATTAAGACATATCAAGTTATTATTACTTACCATTAATGAGCTCTGTTGACTTCATCAAGGTGTAAGAGGTCCACCACCTTCAAGATCTTGGTCTGTAGGCAATCAGAATGGTGGAATGTGCAGTGATTCAGAGAGTGCTGGAGGCAGCAGTGAGTCACGTTCCATGGATTCTCCATCTGCAAGTCCAGGTACAATTGGCAACAATTCCATTTTTTTTTTACTTGTATAAATGGGTCATAGGAAGAGTAAATACAAGGTATTTCATTACAGTAAATGCTATGGTCCTTGTTTCTCAGGTGACTTTAAGAGGCGTCTTCCCAGAACTCCCTCTGATGGCACCATGTCTTCAGTAGATGATCTTGATGAAAGGGAACCTCCATCTCCTTCAGATAATGGTAATTCGAGAGCTTAATTACATGTTCTAGCATGTTCTAATCTTAAATTAATCACTGATTGATTATAGCTATAAGGTTAATTTGATTTTTTTCCCACATTTATTATGACTTTTCTTTTGCAGGTTTAAATGACTTGGTTTCAGAGATTGCCAATTCCCCCGGACCCTTCAGAAATACTATCATGTCCAAGGCAGCCCAGACACACAAACTCCGAAAATTAAGAGCCCCATCTAAGTGCAGGGAATGTGATAGCTTAGTAGTTTTTCATGGAGCAGAATGTGAGGAGGTAAGAAATACTGCAGATCTATTACTGATCTTTTCTTTAGATTTGATTGTGTCCGTAAAATCAACACTACTTATTTACTAAAATGCGATGGCAAACACTTATTGAATGGCTTTTACAACATACTCAATACAGTTTTGCTGTGCTCTTCCTTTCCAACCTTGACTTATTTTTAGTGTTGTTTTAAGTCCGTAATTACACAATTGTTATTGCCAGTGGCTTCGAGAAAACATTTCATTTACAGAGTTCCTTTATTGCAGTGTTCTCTTGCTTGCCACAAGAAGTGTCTGGAAACACTGGCCATTCAATGTGGACACAAAAAGCTTCATGGAAGACTTCATCTGTTTGGAGTGGAATTTACTCAAGCTGCTAAGAACACTCCTGATGGCATTCCTTTTATTATCAAGAAGTGTACCTCCGAAATACAAAGCAGGGCACTAACATTAAAGGTAGGTGCATTCCAAAAACCAACAAACCAATGACTTGTGATTTGCAGCCATTCAAAACAAATTCATTCATTGTGGCTTGTGCAGTTTGTTTAAGTTATAATAAATTATTATTGGATCAAGCAATTCTATGTAGAATGAAAATGACATTAATTACCAATTTCTATTGTTTTATCAATACTGATAAGTTACATTTAAGGTTTTCTGTCTCAGTTGTGTCCATTTTTTAAGTTTCTAAATTGTGTACATGGTTAAAAGCCTCTTTTCTCTTTTGGTGGTTTAAATTGTTGACTAAGGTCACCACTTCTAACCTGCCATTCATTAAAATAATTCCAAAATATGTGTGGCCGCAAACAAAGTGGCATTCGTTCACCACTTTAGTCCAATTTAGATTTTTTTTCTTCTTCCTCAGATCTCTTATAGTCACACTTACTACTTACAGAGTTATTTACTAAAGTGAGAATTCAAATTTAATTCAGAACGAATTTCCAATTTAAGGTCACAATAGTCAAACTGGAACCATTCTGGCTTGAATCTTGAATCTACATTAAATTCTCAATTCAGTAAATAACCTTGCAAGTTTAAATGTCAAACAATAATGAATATCACTGAATTTATAGTGTTCCTTTATAGTTTCAGCTTTAAAATAATACGTTTACCAGGATTGATTCTAAGCCTGTTTTATATTTAAATTGCAAAGCAAGCCTGCTTATTTTGTCATCCTTAGTCCCTTATTTATTCTGATGTGTGTGGTCGTGTTTTTACATTTATAAGAGCTTTCCTTGTTGGCACAGATTTAAAGACTCATTTAATTAGAGAATGCCTTTAATCTTTTTTTTTTTTGAGTACCTGATGTGGGATTTGTGCACACTTTCCTTATACTTAATTCTAAAATTCCTTGTCCACTTCTAAATAAAAGAAATGTTGGGGAGAGCAGACCCTGTTTCTTTGCCACAAGCTTAAGTTCTTAGCAAGACTCTGCATCTTCCTGAGGGTCTACAGCAAATTAAGTAGCAGAGTTTACATGCTTTGAATCCATAAATGCAGAAGGTAAAGCAGATTATAGAGCAGATGAATTGTCTGTCTTTAAAGGTAAACTAAATAACAAACAATTGATAACATATTTCAGGGACAATCCAAAGTCAGGGAAGAAGAAATCAGAAGCAGCAGATAGAGAATTGATAGAGCAACACCATGTTCTGGAAAACTGAGGCAAGAGGAGATCAAACAAAATCACAATTTATCAGAAACAAATGCATTCTCAGTGAGCTGAAACAACTAAAAACATTGAAGGCTCTCCTGCGGTGCTGTAGTACATGCAGTAACGAGTTGGCACAGAATTCTTAAAAAATGTGTAAATTGGAGCCTAATAACAAATGGGGCACCTTCTATTTGAGACACGCTTCTTGACACAATTGTCCAACTCCATGACCACGTTCAGATTGGATGTGGCTTCCAAGTGGACTGCCAAGTGGATGAGGTTTTCAGTTCAGTTTTGTATGAAGTCATTTTGTCAGTAAGAAGGAATTTGCCCAATCTTTGAATGCATTGTCTGGAGGAAAGCGATCTCAGAGCTTTTCCTAAATTCTGTATAGCTCTGTGTGTTTGGCTCTATAACTATTCTTAAAGACCCTAGTTTTGTTCGACATCCCTGTGTCTAAGAAGTGTATAAAATCACTAGAATTAATTGGAATAATAAAACCCCATCAGAACAATTCTGAATCAACCATCATTGCATATTTGACATAAATATGTAGCTTTCAACATGCAGATATGTAAAAGTACACTTTTTCCTGAACACAATCTTTTTCCTCCAGAATGCTTCAAAATTATTTAACCAAAGTAAAAAAAAAAATCTATTGTGGGAGGGCCTAGCCAGGGCCCGATGGAGCAAGACGCACATCGCAGCAGCTCTGTGCTTTTACCCTAAACTACACGGCATTCCTGCAGAACTGGCTTCTGCTTTGGGACCCGGAGGGGATATACAAGCATTCCACACTATGGGAAAGAAAAACAAGAAACAAGGGGCAGATCCTGGCTCGGGCTCCAGAGATATTGGGGTTTTTCTGCGCACAATCCTGCGGTCTGAACCATCCAAGATGAGGCCTACACCACCTCTTCGTCTGATGACTGCTTCACGGCTACAGACAGCTCTGGAGCTGGGAGTCTCTGCTTTATCCACCAAGGCCGACATCAATGCATTAATTTTGGACATTAAGGCTATGTTCAGTACAGACTTGGCACTGGTCAGAGATGAGTCTATGCACTTATCAATCGAGTGGTGGCAGTGGAGGAAGGTATGGCTGGCACCAGACTGGCGCAAACAGCCACTGATGCTGCACTGGGGGCACTGCAAAAGCGATGTGCAGACCAACAAGCACAAATAGCCAGCTTGGAGGACAGGGCTAAGGCACGCAACCTGAGATTTCGCAGAGTGCCCAGGGCAGTCTCTGTTAATAAACTACCCCACTACTGCTGAAGGCTTATTGCAACTTTACTGCCACCTTAACAGGCAAGACAGTTGATCGACGCCTGCTTCTGCCTCACTAAGGCTACGAAAGCACCGCAAGACACAACAAGGGATGTTCTGCTTAAACTTGTAAGGGACTCGGATCGCGGGGGCCGCAAGAGGGTCTCCCACAGTGTTCTTTGAAGAGACGCACCTCACACTTTTCCAGGCATACACTGGTGTGGCGGAGGTCCCTCCGACAACTTACTCAGCTTTTCCATGAGCATTCCATCCCCTATAAATGGGGTCTGCACCGATTAATGGCAGACTAGGCCGGCAAGACCCACCTGATATCACACCTCTGAGGCTCCAGCTTTCCTCCAATCTCTGGGTCTGCCGGCAAACGCGGCACTAACCCCAAGACAACGAAGGCTTCCCATCTGTCACCCGTTAACCTCTATGTGCCGTAAGTTAGCCTCAAAACTCGGCACCGTGCCATTGAGCCTATGGGCACACAACACTCCTTACCTGCACCCTCCTATTAATGGCTTTTATTTCTTCAGATTTAATGGGAGGAAAGTTGTTACATGTATCACAAAAATTGGTAAATGCCGGCTACTTGTATAATCTGTCGATACTAATTTTACTATTTCTTTATGTGGTCGATTATCCGCATATTGTATTGTAATATCTGCAATAACCCGCAAAAATAAAGAAAATAAAAATGAAAAATAAAATAAAAATCTATTTTATCACCACTCATAATAAAGTTGAGACCTCAGGGAGCAATTAAAGAGACACTGTAAGCATTAAAACAGTTTTAGCTTAATGAAGCTGTTTTGGTGTATAGCGCAGTTCAATTCTCTGCCATTTAGGAGTTAAATCACTTTGTTTATACAATCCTAATCACACCTTCCTGCATGTCACTTGCATAGCCGTCCAGTAAATACATCTAATGTTTAAACTTCCTTTATTTCACATCCTTAAGAATGTATTTCCTGCTCTGTTAATAGCCTTCTAGAGCCTTCAGGGACAGCCTGTGTGATTAGAGTTCAATTTACACAGCTGGAGATGAAAACTTGTAAAGCAAGTTAATATCTGATTGAAAATAAAAAAAATTTCACATGCAAGCTGTGTCGCAACCAGAGGAGGTGTGGCTAGGGCTACATAAATTGAAACAAAAGTGATCGAACTCCTAAATGGCAGAGAATTGTGCAGTGAGACTGCAGCGGCAGGATATATACACCAAAACTGCTTCATTAAGCTAAAGTAGATATGCTGCTTATAGTATCCCTTTAAACTATCACAAGCTAAACACATAGTTTGATAAAGTTTCTAATCCTGCTGGGTTTTTTTTTTGTCTGTTTTTTTTAGGGCATCTACCGGGTTAATGGAGCAAAGTCCAGAGTTGAAAAGCTGTGTCAGGCTTTTGAAAATGGAAAAGACTTGGTGGAGCTCTCAGACCTCTATGCACATGACATTAGCAATGTCCTTAAACTGTACCTCAGACAGGTATATCATGAAATGTTTTCCCACCTTTTTTGTACAGAGATTTGTTTTCTTCATTGTGATAGGAATGTCCTGTTCAGTGATGTGTGTGGAGGGTAAACTATTATTTTTCTATTAAGGCTTACCAGTAGAGGCAAATTGAAATATTCCCCAACTCAATATCTGAAGCTGCTTAGTTATATTAAAACACTCCAGTGAAAACATGAGTAATTTGCCAAAGGATGTTTAAAAAAAATATATCTTTTTTAAAAAACATCTTTTTATGTGTAAAGGGAAATAAAAAAAAGTAATCATTCACTTACCATTGCTGGACTGGTCTATTTTTTTTTTTAATTGATATTTTTGGGGACTGGTGTGCCTTTAAAATAAAAAATTGAACATGAGGCTTAATGTTACATGTTGAGGTGGATTCTCACGAACAGTACATGGTGTTCTTACCAAACCTCGTATTATTGAAAATCCACAAAGGATCCTGATGAACATGAAGTATGTAGAGATATATAGATATGTGTGTGTAATAAATTTATAATGTAAATATATGGAATGTGAACGTATACTTAATATGCACAATCTGCATGTCTGTTTCAATGCACTGTTTCAGCTTAAGGTATAAAATAGATTAAATACTCCTGTATAACAAAAAAGGGGCTTTGTCTCAGAAGCATTTTGGTCACTGATGCTGTATTGGGCTACCCTAGTGGCTAATAATGTTATTGTTAGCATATATATAGCCAAAACGTATTCTGCAGCTTTTTAGAGGTGAAGAAGGCCCTGCTCAAAGGAGCTTACAATGTCTGAGGATTTGAGAAAGGTGGATATACATTGTTTAACTCTCACTTACTGGTGAGTTAGTCTGACCAGGATTTGACCTTGTCTTTTCCAGTTCTAAGTCAGTGACATAACAGCCAATTTTCACAAACATAAGCTCTAAGGCAGGTAGTGTCTGGATTAGTGATGGAGTTTTAAGTATATAGATATAATAATGGGGTTAAGGAGGATGTTTTAGGCAAGCACTAGGATGTACATGTTATAATGCTGCCTGAAATTAGTGAAAGTTACAGTGCAGGCTGCAGCTGCTGCTTTAGAGTGTAACTCCCACTGATCTCAGGCAGTCTGTGACATGTTCATTACAGGGAATAAATATAAAACAAATATACATCTATATAAATTTGTTGTAATTATCATGATATAACATTTTTTCTCTAGCCCTAATGTTTACTAATATACAACGAGCTTATTAAGAAACATGTAACTTTGTCTAAAATAGTTTATTGTTGTAAAGTGTTTTTTTTTTTTCCTTTTATCTAGCTTCCTGAGCCTTTGATTGTGTTTCGCCTTTACCATGAGTTGATTGGACTAGCAAAAGAAAGTCAACATGCTCATGAAGAGGTTGATGTGAAGCCAACTAGTCCGACGTTAAGGAGACATCCATCGGGAGTTGAGCTGAACAGAGTCATTCTTAAAATACGAGACTTGCTCAAACAACTGCCATTACCCAACTACAATACATTACAGTATTTAATTGGGCACCTCTACAGGTAAATTGTCATTATTATTCTGGCTTTCTCTTTCCTAAACCTTCATTTAGAGCATAGAATTTGGCATTATACATATGGGGTCGTTGTTTTCTTAGTTTTTTTTTTCTATTTATATGATATCTCCAGGTGTGTCTTAATATAAAAACTTACACAACATACATCCATTTGGTAAATTAAGCAGGAAATAGTTATTTTGAAATCTGATAAATGTGGTTATTGAGCAAAGAGTTTTTGGTTGAGAACTGTTGTTTGAAGACAATGCAATTTTGTTTCTCTTCACCCAACAATGTTGTTCAAGTTCAGAAAAGGCTGACTGTTTCATTTCTAAAAAGAAAACCTTAAAATGTGGAAGCAGTTAAATGGTTCTACCTTTGTTCTCATTTATAGGGTCACAGAAGAAGTCGAAGAAAATAAAATGTCTGCCAGCAACCTTGGAATTATATTTGGGCCTACTCTTATTAGACCACGTCAGACTGATGCAGCAATTTCACTCTCCTCTCTTGTGGATTATCCATATCAGGCTAGAATTGTGGAGCTTCTCATAACATACTATGATAAGGTCTTTGATGTTTCTCTTGAGTTGCTCAGCAGTGAGGAAATTCCCTCTGAGAAAGCCATATTAACAGAGGAACGTGAATCACAGCAGATAAGGAAGTCACAGTCACTGCCAGTTGGGAATGAAGTAAGAACATGTTTTAATTAAGACCTATATATTTATATTAAGTGATACATTTATTTGCACTTGTTTTTACTATTATTTTGATCTTTGCTTTTAATAGAGTGCTGTGTCATCCAAGCGAACTAATTCTCTAGATGAAAACTCGTTGCAATTTCAAGGCACAGAAGACAACAAAAATCTAAATGAAGATGTTACAGAAGAAAATGGTAGGCATTTGGTTCTATTTTAAAGACTCTCACTTGAAAGCCAACCTTACGGCAATAAAGTGTTACTGCAGTTTAATTTCTTCCTTATTGTACTACAGCGAGTATATAACAATAGATTATGGGAATAAACGTCTTTTGCTCAGCTTCATAAGTTTTAATTCTAATGTCTGAGATGTGTACAAGGCTTTAACAGAAGTAAAAATAAAATTAAAATAAATGTTTCTATAATCTTTCTTCCAGAGCAAAATTCATGTTTGTTAGGGGACCATTCAAGAAGTGATTCTTCAGAGGCTTTAACCCCATTGTCACATGAGTCCGCTTGTGATGATCTAGGTGAGCACATTGTTCCGTTTGCGTGATATAGCCGTAAACCATTTAAACCAGTCAGAGAGAGAATGAGTTAAATACACTTGAAGTACATTTTGTGTTAACACAATGGGTGTTAAGTATCCATCAGTTTGGGGATAACATTCTAGAAATCAACAGCAGGAACATTCTTTTTGTTTCTTTTTGCACCAATTTTCAGAGAATTGCTGCAGAATTGCTCTTCATTTATAATGTCCAGCTCTTAAAGAATGTTACTACTCCTTTAGGGGACTCTCCAGGCTGCAAGTAAACATTCTAGATTGAATGCACTATATAGATAAGAAATTCAAATGGTATATTGTTAAAAGAAAACAAACTCTTGCCTTTAAAGTTTCTAAACTGCTGCACTTTGCACAGTTAAGTGTGTTGTAGTGGCTATGGTGCTTGGAGTGCCCTCTTCTTCTGAGCAACGCTCCTTTAACTGCTTTTTTGTTTGTTTTTGGGGGACAGTTGAAGGCTAAAGATTAATTTGTTTTTCACAACTCGCATATACATTTTTGTTATGTATAGAAGCTAGGTAAACAGACTATAAACAGTCTTGGTGAGTGGCAGGTCCCTTTTAATGCCACCTACACATTTAGTTTCTAAATCACTTAAAAATGGGTTTGTTTTAAGTACTACCCGTGGTATGTTATAGGTCAGGGGTCATCAACCTATGGCACGTGTACGGCACTCAAGGCTACCCGACCCAAACCAGCATGGCCTAGCAGAAGTCTTTAGTGCAAACCGAGTGGTGATTGCAGGTGGTGAAGGCACCACCTTACACTTTGCAGCACATCGAGGAAGTGATCTCCGATCACTATATCCCAGCACTGGTGAACGAAACCCTGCACTGGAGTAGAGCCACCTGCAGCAGCTATTGTAGCTCCTGCCCTTGACTTGTACCTGGCCAGAATGGTCCTTACTGGACCTCAGGGAAGTCACCCACACTGCTAAATAAACACAGAGCTTTAGAATAATCCTACCCCTGTTATTGGTGGACAGCTAAAAACAGAATATAAACCAGTTTTATTTATTTTTTATGTTGCGTAGTAGAAGAATGCATGTCAATGATATTACACATTAATTAACTGCAATGTACACAATACAAAAGTAGTTGAACTTAATCTGTCATATTTTCCATTTAGAATGTCCTATGGATACAATTTCAGAGAATGAAGTTAGTCAAACAAAAGGGAGCACTGAAGATGTTTCTAAAACAAACTCCGCATTAACTGTAAAATCTTATAGACCAATAACCAAAGTCCAGTTGAGGGCTGCGAGGTCCAAGCCCTTGGTTCGCCCTGTAAGTTTACCTGTTGATCGGCTTCTTCCACCCTCTGTGCTTAATGAGAAGAATTCAATAAACACTGGCGTTTCTACATCAGATAAACTTGTCAAGAATCCCACTATAGAAGAAGTTTCAGAGGCCAAATCTTTACCTATCAGTTCATGCCACAGATATTCTTGTTACGAGACACAGGGCAGTCGAAAACCTTGGGACAGGCAGTACAAACAGTATGACATCACCCCTAGGACTGCAATGATTATGACAAATGTTCCACAGGAAATTAGAGCGCATGAAAGTGGACCTGCAGGCACAGTCATGCCATCTAACACACAAATACCTACCATACTTTCCAAATCGCCTTCTTCAAGCCATATCAAGTCCAGTGTGACAGCAAGTGAAGGAAATACTGCAGAGTTTAATCTGCTTGCTGCTCTAAGGGCACCAAGAACTTTGCAGCCCCCACCAGGGACTTTTTATAAACCGCCTTCATTTCAGGCAAAGCAAACCGAAGAGACTCCTCAGTGCAGTATGGCATCTGCAAATACCAATAAAGCATGCAGTCAAGTTAACAATAACAATGTGAATTTAGTTGCAGACTCAGATCTGGTATCTGACATGCATGGACCTAACACAAATACAAAACCTGTCCCGGAGGATCCCCAGCTAATAGATGTAAAGCCAACATATCAGAGACTCAGGCCAAAACGTCTACAGGAACTGGAACACAGAGAGGCACATTTTGTGTAAAAACAGGACTCATGTCTGGTAGCTAGCAGAGATGGAGGCAGCACTGCTAGTCACTGGATTCGAGGGGTGGGTGTTTAAGTGCCATTTTACAATTTATAATGTAAACTATTTTTTAACTGGAAAAAAAAACCTGAAGAAATACTTTAAAATTTCGCAATTTGTATGCTAATTTTCCCTTCTTCTTCTTCTTCTTCCAATGAAATGCTTATGCATTCATCAACTTAGAAGCAGTTTATAAGGTGCACTTAGTAAAGTATGATATATTAAAATGCTTATTTATAATAAACAGTATTCACACGTGGGACAATGGAACAAACCATTTTGGAGTGTATATTTTGTGTATTAAGGGAAAAATGAAATGTTACATCTCAAAAGACAGCAGCAAAGCAGGCGGACTTTGCTGGATGAAAGCATCTATCTGTGCAATTAAAAATGTGCTTCTATATAGATAATTTAAAAAACCTTCACTGCATATTTTATCATTACTGTGTGTATATTTTATACGTGTGTCTTCATCCATTGCCATTTTTATGTGTTGTCACTTTACTATTTTTACAGAGATGATGCACTTACTGAGATTAATGATTTAATAAAAAAAAGGTATAAAATGTAAATGAATGGTAGAAATGACCAGAGGACACATATGGAGGCCGGAAAGGTTATTTTCACTTACTTATTTTTCTGGTCGCATGTCTATATCAGGTTTGGAAGGTTTGGGCACAGAAGTGCATTCTTGGATGTATAATCCCATCTAGTTTTGAAGACCATTCCTGGTTTAAATCAGAGAACAGTGACCCATATACCACTTATTTCATTTTCAATTTAATGTAGTAAGCCTCCCTGCTGTTTGTTAGGAATGTTGTCAAGTTACACATTATTGGAGTTGCCCAAATTATAAATTAAAATGTGACAAGTTGACCTTTACAACCAAATAACTACCAAAAATGTTTGTGCATCCAGTGTTGCCAATTTGTATTAAAAAAATAATAAAAATCTTTTTTTTATGTATACACATCTGTTACGTACAGTCAAATGAATATATTAACTTTTTTTTTTTAACATATTTCAGAGTTGGTGGGTTATATATAATCTTGTTTTTTTAACTTATTAAAAATTAGATTAGCCATTCTTGGCTACGTTTAATGCTTGAGTTATCAGAATGTTATATAAGCATACTACAAATCTGAAATGAAAAGCATTTTCTGCACAACTGTATATTGTAATGCAGTTTTTCATATTAAAATATAAGGTATTTTATTACTCTAGTATGAGGCTCTTTTTTAAGAGATCAACCAGCAATAAAACCTTCATTTGTGTTTTTTATTTTCCTTGCCTTTTCATGCCATCATGCAATTTTAATTTTGTTTTATTTCCTTTAAGCGATATCTTCTCTGTGTGTGTGTGTGTGTATATATATATATATATTTATTTATTTATGTAAAAAAAACAACAAAAAAAATGCTATTTTGGTACAATATTTGTAGAATTTTTTTTTTTTTTTTTTAAACATTTTATAGTCTGTAGAAATCTTTCCATTCATAGAAGTGAACTCATTTCAAAGACCAGTAGGAACATTTTGCCTCTTACTATGCTAAAGTACTTTACACCAGTGTTTTTCAGCCAGTGCAGATCATGCCATCTCAAAGTCTGCCACAAACTTTTGCACCTTATACTGAATGCAGTCTTCAAAACTCACTTTTAAATAATTGGAAACTCTTATCTGGCAATTAGATTAAGCTAATAATCCAACCCTGCTTCTAGTCAGATTGAGTTCATATATGGATGGGGGTAGCCACACCTCCAGTCCCATGTTATAAAATAGGCCCATGCTGCAGAAATGTAAATGGATTTTAAACTACAGTAAATATATATTTTCTGTCCAGATTAGAGGTAGCGCAAAACTGGGATATCCTCTAGTCTGGACAGGAAAACACAGACAGACATCTAAAAATGTAACAGGCTTATATCCATGCTTCTCCCTTAAGTATAACTTGGCCAGCTCTTGGAAAGTTATCTTCCTGCCTTCGACACGATAGCAGGCACTCACATTATTTGCAGGAAAAGGTGAGTTGGTTGAGGCCAAGGAGGGCTCTGACCGAGTAGAATGGGAAGACACTGCAGGCCTGGTTGCGATGCATTACACCGGAAATTGAAGTGCGCATGTGCAATTTGAGCTCTGATTTTTGGTGCCAAATTTAAATTTTTCCAGGACCCATGCAGATCTTAAAAACCAAACAACTACCTGTTTGCAAGGTGCCCTCAGTTCTGTTGCAGCGTGCTCTCACAAGCACTCCAGCACACTGGGAGGCCTTTAAGGTAAGACTTTCTGCTTTAATCTCGTGGTCCCTTACCTTAATTTGCCTTTAGTTATAGCTAGTAATTTTATTTTTTTTTTATTCTCTTTTTTAGTATATCTAATTATGAATCTGCTGGGGAAAAAAATCTTTTGAGATGGGCAAGTGTCTAGCAAAATCCAACTCTTTGATTTGCCATGGTTCCAAAATAGTTTACAACAAACATTTCTGGGGATATTAACAGTTTAACACATTCAATCTGCACAGGCAGAACCTCCTAGCAAATGGACCCCATTAAAGAAATAGAAAAACTTTTTGAGGTTACAGATTTAAATTCTAATTCCTCATCTGTAGACTCTGCCTCTGAAGATTCTATTATCTCATCTAAAAAGAAAATTATTTTCCTGAAGATAGTCTTCACGAAAATTATTTTCCTGAAGATAGTCTTCACAGGCTTATTAAAGACGTGCAAAGAAAGCCTTTTGGGAAATGAAGAGGCCCTAAAAGATATAGAAGCTGGCAAAAGCAGGAAACTAGAGTTATTTTAATTTCATCCTAATTTAAAGGATCTCATGCTAAGAGAATGGAAGTACCCATCTCAAAAATACTTTTTCTTAACATTTATAACTATCCAATCCTTTAAAGAATAAATTGGAGGCATTGCCTATGGTTGTACCAATTGCTCAATTGGAAAAGAAAACCACCCTATGTATTTAAATTTCTAGTATTCTCCGGGATTCCATGGATAAGAAAGCAGAATAATCTTTAAGAAAATGGTTTTCATCTACGGCAGGACAGACTAAATCCCTTATTTCAGGAACATCAGTGGCTAAGGCAAAGCATTTCTGTTTTGATTCCCTAGGAAAGCTTTATTTGGGTGAATCCAAGGAAGATCAAAACATCAGAATAGCATCTATCTTTTTTGCAGAGCTTTTTTGCTAGTTAGAAGCTCCTTAACCTTCTGCTAAAGTGATGGGTCTCTTTAATGAAGCCATGAGGGCAGTATGACTTAGAAACTGATCAGTGGATTCAAATAACTCCTTTTGGGTCACATATTGCTGAATTGCTTAAACATATGGCAGAAGGGAAGAACCCTCACTTAACCCTAAATGTCCAGTGTGCCTAAGCTTAGTGAATGCACTAACTATAATGAAAGTGTAAAACTAGTTTTATTTACCTTCCAGGACCTTTCTGTGGAGGAGTAGCAGGAGTGCTAGCACGCATGTGCAGCACAGGAGCCAGCTGATTCCCCTCACCGGAAGTGACGAGGGTAGGGGATTTTCACGAGGTAGGGGATTTTGATAGAACACCGGCCGCCTGGGAGTGCTGGAAAGAGCTTCCAATACACTCTCAGCAAATGCACTCGCTCCAACAAGCGGCACAGGATTTACAGCAGCAAAACCTGATTTATGAATGCCGTTTTGCGTCTCAAGAAGACTCTCAACCCCGGAAACAACCTAAAGGTACAGGGAATCTCTGAAGACCTACCCGAGGCAGAATTACCACACATAGTAAGGCGCCTGCTGGGGGCCCTGCTGCAGCCGAGACAGGCCAAAGCCCTATCATTGGAAAGAGGCTTCCGTGTCCCCAAACCAACTAAAGCACAGACTGTGGCCCCAAGGGACCAGGTAATTCAGTTCATGAGTGGGACTGACAAGGCAGTAGTCAGGACAGCCGTATGCAGTAACTTTCCCTATAATTTTGAAAATATGCCACTCATCTTTTACTCCGATCTTGCTGAAGGCACTCTGGTGTGGCTGAGGTCTCTCGGACCACTTACCTTACTCCTGCAAAAACACGCTGTGCGTTACCAGTGGCGCCTATCTCGCACACTCATTGTATACCAAGGTGGCACAACTCATTCCATCACTGACCTCCAGGAAGCCACAGCTCTCCCACAAATCCTGGGGCTGCCACTGCATTCACTGGACCAAAACAGGCAAGCCACGGCAGAGCAGAATATACAGGCATGAGACCCGAAACGGGTCACTCCGTTTGTCCCCGGCAGCCTACACCAGAGCCATGTGCTGCAGTCACCACCTGAGCTCCAGCTGGAGACATCACCTGTTGTAACAATAGATACCCTGGACACCAATAAGCCTTTTTGCTTTGTTATACTGTTTTATGGTTTTGTTTCCTCAGACCTCCAAGACCCAGTCTCTTTAGTCTAGGACAGTTAGAATCACACTCATCCTAACCAGCCAGGTTTCTCTTTGAGCCATCTCATCCCCTCCCCACCACCTCAGGTTATCCCAAATAGAATAAGACACTGATTGCTAGAGGTGTTCACCTGCCTCTATACATAAGACCAAGCCACAGCGAGCCAATCTAGCAGTCCAATTCTCTCTGTACCCTAAGTTTCTCATTAGAAGGTGTTATGATTTTGCATCATTATGAGTTTTGATATTTAGGTTCTGGGCCGGGGTGGAACCCTACACTTACACTGCTATGCAGATCCTCTCACAGTGCCAGTGTCGCATTCTAAACCCCACACTCGGAAGGATCGACTTAATCAGCTGGTGTATTTGTAGTACCACCAGTTACTATTATGCTGCTTTTAAACATTCATTCCTAATACTTACTCCCCCCCGAGCGAGGGAAGCGGCTAAACCTGGACTTTACACGCAGCCTCTGCTGCCCACTTTAACAACCTGGCTCTCTCAAGTGGCCCTCAACTTCCATTCTTAGGCCAGACACACAATCCAG